TGGAGGAGCTTGTCGCTTTTGCTGCTGACCATCGATGATTTTGAGATTTAGCACTGGTGGAGGAGGACCACCTGGAGGAGGACCGCCTGGAGGAGGACCGCCTGGAGGAGGACCGCCTGGAGGAGGACCGCCTGGAGGAGGACCGCCTGGAGGAGGACCACCTGGGGGCGCTTGTCGCTTTTGCTGCTGACCATCAATGATTTTGAGATTCAGCACTGGTGGAGGAGGGCCACCTGGAGGAGGACCACCTGGAGGAGGACCGCCTGGAGGAGGACCGCCTGGAGGAGGACCACCTGGTGGAGGACCACCTGGAGGAGGACCACCTGGTGGAGGGCCCCCTGGGGGCGCTTGTCGCTTTTGCTGCTGACCATCGATGATTTTGAGATTCAGCACTGGTGGAGGAGGGCCCCCTGGAGGACCACCTGGAGGAGGACCACCTGGAGGAGGACCACCTGGAGGAGGACCACCTGGAGGAGGACCACCTGGTGGAGGGCCCCTTGGGGGCGCTTGTCGCTTTTGCTGCTGACCATCAATGATTTTGAGATTCAGCACTGGTGGAGGAGGGCCCCCTGGAGGAGGACCGCCTGGAGGAGGACCACCTGGAGGGGGGCCTCCTGGAGGCGCTTGTCGCTTTTGGGGCTGGCCGTTAATGTTTTTGAGATTCAGCATTGGTGGAGGAGGCTTCCTCCGACTGACAGATAAGCCGGCCATTTTGTTTTGATTATCAGATAGATCTGGTCTCTATACTGATCCTGCGTTGATGTCAGGTAATGTATCGGACGCTAACAGTCGTGGCAACCAAGAAATAAGAATTCCTAAGGCGAAAGCTATCACATACCTGAGGAACGATGCGCAGAAATTCAAAACATGCGGCGGTGTTTGAGCAACTGGCGTTGGATCAACTGAGGTGAAGAAAGGCGAGAGATCAGCTTGTGAGATAACAAATGACCAGATGAGAGATGTGTTGAGAGACCTCCCTTTATATGCCCGAATGTACATGTAGTGAGGCGAAACGGAAACAGAAAATGGATTGCTGCCATCAAAACTCGCCCCGGATTAGCCTTTTGGGTTGCGGATCTATTCTCGGCATCCAGCCGGGGCATCCCGTCGTCGGAAGTCCCACCCCCAACCCCGCTCGTGCTGTGCTTCTCGGCGCCGTGGACAGCATCTGATGTTCGGCGCCACACCTCGCAATTGTTTTCCCACCCCTTTCCAGCCATGAAGCATTTGTGTTGGACTAGGTATGAAGAGTGAAACAAAGTCAAACTTTACGTCCGATGATGGCAACGCGGCCATCCCAACGCCCCGGGGGTGGGAGGCGCACATTCCTTAGCCCGGCGCACTTGATGTTGGTAGGTAGGTCGGCTAGATTCTGTCCTAAAAAAGTCTCTTGTCGGAGCAGAGTTATTTGCAGGCAGAGAGGGGGTTTCTTGCGGGGCAAAATGCATCGCCACGAAGGCCGGAAAGCAAGAGCGGTTGTGAAGCAGACATCTGCCGCCTCTAGGGCATCCGAAAAAAGTGAGGCGCAAGTGCCGGACATAATACGCCGCACGCATTTCGAAGTATCCAGGTTCATGCCCACTAATGATACTTGGAATGGATTCATCTGGATCCTGCCAGGGAACAACTGTAGTTTGCCAATTTTCTCAGCCTTGAAAATCGGTGCCGCTGGGGCCCGTTGTTCGCCTTGATTATCAAGCGACCAAGGCCACATTCGGGATACTCTGCCGTCGAGCCGATTAGGTAAACGACCTCTAATAGTTTGCCGGTTTAAGCTCGGTGTTTCAACTTCTGTTTGGTGTCCTCCCAGCTGTGAAGTAAGGTTCGTCTAATCTGGCGTGGCGAGGGTCGAAACTACCTAGGCCGGTTCCAGACGAATCACGCGCACAGCCCGTAGATGGCTACCGGGATTACCAGTCCATTTCCGCTCAATGAGTGGAAGACATGGCCATTTTTCTACTGTTCGATGCAGTTGACCAGACATACGTAGTAAGTAGGTAACATCGCTACTCCTGCTCATCGTCGAATATACGGTTATCCCTGTATCTGGTGACGACTACAGCCGCACCAAGAGGGTGCGGATACGCGAGATGAGATGAGAATGACTGCATACAAGATTCAATGGTCAGATGAGGATGTGAGCGATAAGAGCGCTGCTGCGCGTAGCGCCTTATCGAAGGCTGCCGTGTGAATATGTCGATTCGATCCTGTCAAGATATTGCGTAATGATGATTAGCCAGGATACACCCGACTGTACCGTTGGGTCGTCACATTGTGGTTTATACCGTCAGTTTCGACTATAATATAGTGCGTGGCGTGCGGGGTCTTGTACATTAGAAAGCTTCACTGATATTCCTTGTCGGCGGTTGACTGGCCAGAACAACCAGAGTTCAATAGTGCAGGTCCGTTATACCCGTGGAGCATGTTGAACAAAAGGAATATGCAGGAAGAAACCGCGCGAGAGCCTCGTAAAAAGCCCTCCAGCTTGCTTACATCGTGATACTCTGAAGTTTGCAGCGACTCAGTCGCTATAGGGTGCAGATATTGCGCCGATGCTGACCGTATATGATGGCTCAGGTTGACCAGGACGAACGATACCCACCCACACGAAGTCTAAGTGGAGGCAGAGCCACCTCGCCACTGCATCTCGTTATCGGCATGCGCATATCATCCACTACAAGTTGTACCTGGTCGACGACTTGCCTGAGTGGTATGCGAACGTCATGCTGATTTGTTGACTGTTGGCGCTAATGTCGGTAGAAGTGTTATGGAGTATTACACCCTTCTCAAGGTTTCAAACCACATTCCCCGCTTCATAGCCAGCGACATCGCCTAGCGACATCATACGATCGAGTCCATTATAGACCTGGATGCGGTGGTATATACGCCGTCCTTGGTTGCTTGGCACTCCGTCTCACCGTCGAATCGGCCTCTGTGATCCCCATTCGAAACTTGGTTCTGACCCTAAAATGCATCACCAAATCACGCAGCATAGCCACTGCGATGAATCACGAGCTCATCTTTGCTCGTGGGTGATGCATGTTTGAGCAGCGGATGGGAGCTGGGAGAGGGTTCGTTTCCGCCTGCGCCACATGGCATTCGCATGAACTGCCGGGACATTTACTGTTTATCCTTTCTTTAGTACAGAAAATTACCTTTGGTAGCCTTAAAGCGCCTGGATTGGAACAGCCACTTGATCATTGGCTGTTGGCCTTTGGCATATTCCCGCGGCTATAAGTCCCGCTTAAGGTTGACTGCAGACGCCAATAGCCCGATTGCCGAGGATCTACGGATAGACACCCACAGATTTATTTATGGATAGTAAGTCGCTGGTCCAAGCTACCTTCAGTTATTAGCGAGCTTGTCGTAAGTATGACCGCCCTTGACCCTTGGGGGCGTGCTCGTCCCTTCGCGGCTCGGGAGGGAAGAGTGGGGAGCACAATGGCCTCAATGGACCCAGGACGACCGGAGTGACTTCAACGGTACAGAACTCAGATCGCGATCCAGGTGTAGCAAGAGTTTAATGTTCAGCCAAAGTATGAACCGGGCCATGCGCTCAACGGCTTCAGCCATGCGGGTAAACCTTATCAAGACGCGTAAGAACGACTTGCCCCTTGCTTTGAAAGCATACGCTGCCAAGGATGTGCCATCCTGTTTCGTTTCTTCCAAAAGATGCCCGTTAAGGATATGCCATCCTGATTTGACTTTACTTCGTAACCCTTTTGTTTACGACGTACACCTCCCGAAGTTTTTGACCACACCTTTCCCACGCATTGATAGTTGGCACGAGACAGGCCGATTAGCCGCGAGACCAAGTATCGTACTTCGTGCGTTTACCCCACTCCTTTGGGCAAAACAGATGGCAAACACACGAGGCTGGGTGGTGCATGATCCATAAGAACCTACTGGTTTCGGTGATTGGCCTTTAACATCTTCGTTAGGACCCCATCCTGGAAACGGCTTGATACGCACAGTCCACGAAGACACCAATAGACGCGATGTAATGCTCTGAGTTGAAACAGAGTCGTCAAGCGAGTCGTACACTTCGCTCGGCGTTTCCTCAGGCATGATGCCAAGTCCATGACAGTCCGTGGCTAACCGTCAATTCTGGTCGTCAATATTACGTATGCCCAGATGAGTACGAATGCCTACGCGGTCTGTTGCCAGACTCTGAGATTTCAGGCGTTGTCGTACGATGGAAAAGAAAAGTCAAAAGGAATCCGATGGGATCGATCAAAACGTGAAATTAGACTTGGCCTTCAGATGGCATGTGGGATTAAGAGGTGAAATTTACGACCACAAATGCCCAAAAGGTGAAAAGTGACGAAAGAAATACAGGTATTTCGTGACGATTCTTGGCTTCTAAGTTCTGATGCCTGGTGGTCTGGTTGTTGGCCTTTCGTGCTCTGGGCCCTTCCCATAGCCGAGGGCACCTTTTAAACATTTCCAGCGAAACGGGCCACGGACTCACCATGGTTCAACAACATCAGATATGTCATCCCAAGAGTGCTAGAAATGGCCTGCGAGATTATTTCTAAGGTTCTCGTGAGTTGTGCGCGGCAAGGCCATGGTTAGGTTAGCTACCCGTCCACCCAACAACGCATGAACGATGGGCCACTGCTTCTCAAATGCATTCAAAAGGCATTAAGTCGTGATAGATGTTTCAATTTATCGTTTTTTGTTTTCGAACAATCAAGTTTCTCTCTAACGAGACCAAAGCTTCTGCGGTGTCTAAAGCCTATGCCCACTATCATTCGAACGAGCTCTGGGCCAACCCGTGAAGCTCGCAAGATATCAAAGCAAGTTCTTGCGAGAGCGTAATGCAGTATCGAACCTAGACAGCTAGACAGAAACTCGATGTTCTAAACCATCTACCTAACCCAAAAAGCATATCTTCTTCTTTCTTAAGGGGATTGCCGTACTCGTCTATAGACCCCGCGATCGCGTAAGATGAGCCCATTGTCGTGTATCATCTCTTCTTCAGATGCAATTCAATGTTGGCTTTCGGTACCTCTCCCAAGACGGATGCTTCAGTTCCGCGGCTGTAAGGATAATTAAGCATTCGGGGTCAAAAAAGATGTTGCCAAGGTTGGCGTCAGTTTGATACCCCAAAGTCGTGCGCAAAGAGCCCTGCATTTTGACTTTACCGACGATGGCACGGCGGGACGGCTCGTCCGAGTTGGCGTCCAACCGAGCCATCAGGCCTAAGCACTCCTGTGAACCGAGAGAGGCTGTAAAGAGCTTTAAAGAGACCGTTCAAGAGACCTTGAATGAGACGCACTCCCACACTGTACGCATAGAGGAAGAAATACCAATGCCTGAATATCCTTAAAACGTATGTGAATTCCAGGTGGAGTCTTGTGCTGGGCAATCTCATAGACTGGTAGGTTCAATGGTACAAGTTTTTCGAATTTTGGCTTCCAGTTATATGGTTATTCGTATACAATGTGCCATGCCAGCCAGAAAATGCTATGTGTCTTGATGAGTGACGTAGTCTTTGTTGATGTATCAGTATGACTGGTTTCGTCGTTTGAACACCGCGTTTTGCGAAATGCCTCGGCGACCTCCAATGCTTAAGCGCTTAGAGCCAACATATGTATTAGCTGCACTCTGGGGCCTTAGAAATGATACGAATTATCCACGAGCTTGAGATTGACAAGCTTATATAAAGCCTGCAAGGCGATGATGTCTCTTCTTCTCAGCATCACGCTGGTTGATGCAGATCGAGTCGATCCAGAAATAGCAGCCGCCTATGCTCCCGGGATGACTCAAGTATGCTGGCAAAGAGCCTGAAATTGGTTCTCCGTAACCAAGGTCCGCTGGCTGCCACGGGTGATTGTTTTCACGGCGTTGGCGTGGCCCCAAGTACATGGTATAGGTTGGTGGGTGGGAGCCCTTCGGATGGCCTACGTCGTTAACTTGCAACTAACAACGGAAGCTTCGCATGGTCGAACGTTGTTGACAAGCCTGATTTCATCTTCTGGGTCAGATAGGGCCATGGACCTCAACAATGCAGAATGCGATTTTCTTTTCCTTTTTTTCTTTTTCTTTTCTTTTGGAAAATCAACGCCTTGAGAGGTGAAATTGAACAAGTTGGAAGCCTGATCTGGCTATGGCATCAACAGGAAACAAGAACTAGAAGGAATAGCGACGAAGCGGCGTGAATTTTTGGACATGGAGTTGATACTTCTCTTATGGACCCACATATGAATGTGCCTGTCACCCAAGAACTATGCCAATGTCAAACTAATATGCCTTGCCCTTGGCTTTTTCCAGTCTAGTCCTCCTGTGTAACGCACTTCTCGGCAGGATGGAGATTTCCCGTAAACCATACACGAAAGTCCACAGTATCGCATTGCGTCTTATGTCCTCGGCGAGGGAACCAATCTGTCGTATTCCTGAAAGTAGGCGAAGGTTTTGCGATGCCGGGCGTCGCCAGAGCTATCGGCGATAGAGATATTATCTCCGACAAACCACCACCGCCTCGTGGTGGTTATCCTGCCTTTCAACCAGGCAACCCACGATAGTTGTTGCTTTTCCTTAGGAATTAAACACCTTTTTACGCTTAGTAACGCGCTCTTTTCTAACTTATCTTGTGGGAGCACAAGAGCAACGAAGTGAGGCACATAAATAGTGATATTGCCGATCTGTAGTGGTGTGTGGTGGTGAGGAGGAAAATCCTCCTCTTGAGGCTATAGGCAGAGGCTAGATGAAGGTAAGGGGCCCAGGAGGTCACGTGACCTCCCAGCACACAGGCCCCCTCACAACACTCCCCCTTAGGCTCTGCTAACTTAATGAATATTATACATAGGGGCAAAATAACAGCCTAATCTTAAATCCTCTAAATCTAAGGAGTTTTTAAAGTATTTAATAACTTTAGTAATACGCTAGTAATTATCCTATTAGTCTAGTAATAATTAATCTATACGCTAAAGTCTACGTAATATTAATCTGCTAATATATATCCTCTATAATAGCCTATATAGCTCTTTAATCTAACCTATCTACTATACCTAGTAACTATATAAAGTCTTTATGTTTATTTAGTGCTAGTAGCTTAGTAAGCCTATTAGTAGCTATTTTAGTACCCTTAATAAGTTAGAGGGTAATATTCTTTTAGGTATAGACCTCTTATATTATTTATTTATATTAGATATTAATACTTTAGGTATATACCTTATTAAGGGGATTTATAATATTAACTATTATATTAGTACTATTAGTAAAAAGGATAGTTAGTATATCTATTAGTTAGCTAAAGAGCTACTTAGTATAGTAGTAAATCTACTTTATAGTAATAATAGTAGGTATAAGGTTAATAAACTTTACTTTTATAAAGCTTAAAGTAATAAAGGTCTACTTCTTTAACTTCTAGGTAATTAGTAATCCTATAAAGTAGATAATATATCTACCTATAGAAACCTATAATAGGTAATTATTAGTAAAAAAAGTATTTACTATTATATAAAGGCTAACGTTAGTAGAGGGGTTAAGTCTACTAAATAAGATACTATAATAGGTAGTGCCTTTAAGATAGTAAAAAAGATACTTAATAGCAGCTAGATAGGCAGATAATAGGCTAGTATTAGCCTAAAAAAGCTTACTAACTATAAAAGTAATATCTAGGCATATACTAGTAGCTAACTAGTTAAGGCAGCTAGTCTGCTTAATATAGGTTTATTAGTTAGGTTTAGAACACTTATCTTTTACTTATATAGTAAGTAACTTATAGTTAGTAAGTAATAAAGTCTTAATAGGTTAAAGATTACTATATCTAAAGTAATAAAGTATACTATTAGTATACTTATATTAGTTAATAAAGATCTTACTAGTAGTAAAGCGCTAGATCTAGAAGCTAAGAAACTAAGAAGCCTTACTAAGGTCCTTTAATAAGCAGACCTTAGTAAGTATATTACGTACCTTTTTAGTAGTCTCCTTATTAGTAGCAGCTACTATATTATTATTAATATATATTAAGGTGTAGGTATTAAGCTCCTTATTAATAAAAAGGTAAATTTCTCTCTTAACTAGGTAGAAGCTAATTTTCTCTATTTTACTCTTAATAAGTGTAAACTACTATAGTAGTGCCTTATAAAGGCTATAAAAAGCCTTATAGAGTAACTATACCTTATTATTATTAATAGTATAACTAGTAGGTTAATAGATATAGACGTAAGTGCTATTAAGTATAAAGGTAGTAAGAAAGGTAGTATTAAAGTTATGTATTTTATATACTAGTCTATATAAGGTAATAATAGTAAAAAAGAGGTGTATAGTAGTAGTAGTAGCTATAGTAGTATATACCTCTTATAAAGACTATTTACTTTACTTATAGTTACTATAAACTACCTATTAGGCCTTATATCTAATAATCTTATTTTTTATATTAGTTTTAATATTAAATACCTACTTACTAAGAAGAATCTTTATATTAAAAAGAGGATTAATAAGGGTATAAACCTCCTTATTAGTAAATTATTAGATCTTAGTATTATAAGCCTACTTCTAGTGTTACTAGTGTAGGCTTTCTTTAGCCTTCTTAATAGTAAATAAAATATTATATCTAGGTAGTAGTATATATAATAAGGTAGTAGCAGTAAGTGCGCTAATAAAGTAATAATAGGCGTTATTATAAACCTAAATATTTATAGTAAAATAAGCCTTTTTGTTATACTTTTAGATACTAGCAGTATTATAGTAGTAGCCTAGTAGCTTTATAGTGCTAGTATAGCGTAGTTAGCCCCCTTTAGTAACTAAAGTAGTAGTAGCCTTAGTAATAAGGTCTAGCTAATCTTCCTCTATAATAGGGGCTAGAAAGTTAGCCTCCTGTTACTTTATATTATAAAACTTATCTTTAGTAGTATCTATATTATTAGTCTGTTAAGTAAGGTGTATAGTAGAAATAGGTTACTATTAATAATTTTCTAGAGAAAAAGTTATATAGTAGCTATTATTAATACGCTTACTATCTAACTTACTACTATTAGATTAATTAATTTACTAGTTATAAGACTTTTTAGTAATAAGTTAATATAAGTTAGAGATATAGGCTAAATACTAAGTTATTAGATTAGGCTTATTAAATAGCATATTATAGTTAGTATCTACTAAGATAGTAACTTTATTAATAGGGTAAAGAATAGTCTTTTTAGGCCTTTTATAAAAACAAACGTTATAATAGTAAATAACTTACTTCTTACTTAGGATATAGATATAGTAGATATAGCTATATAAAGAGCTATATCTAATAAGGTAACCCTTTATTATATATAGCTTTATCTTTATAGAACGTAAGGGGCGCTTACTACCCTTTTTATATATATATACTATATAGCTAAAAGTATAAAGGTGTTTAATATAAGGTAGCTTATAATTAGTAATAAGGTTAAGCTTATAGGTAATAATCTTATAGGGGCTTATCTTACCTTTAGTAGATTAAGGCAAAAGGTTAAGGATTTACACTATAGTATTAAGGGTATAATCCTAAAGCTCCTCTAGTAGGCTGTTATTAATTAGTAATATATAGGTAGCCTTTATAAGTATATAACTAGCTTACTTAATTAATCTATTTATTAATAAGGTATATATAATTATAAGGTTAAGCCTTATGCCTGTAAAGTAGGGATTATAAAGCACCTTCTTTAGCTTAGGCGCGTTATTAAAAACCTAGCTCTTAATAGTAAGGCTAGTTATATTAGTAAAAGTAGTATTAAAATTCTTAATAGTATTAAGTATAACCTTATAGTAATAAGCTTATAAGAGTTAAAGCTAATAATAGCTACTATAATAGTTAAGAAAATAAAAGGTATATCTTATACTAGTTTTTAATAGCAGTTTAACCTTAATAAAGTTAAGATAAATCTCTTTACTTACTAAGGTAAGAGGCAGTAAAGTGTTATAGCTAATAAGCTTTATAGATTTAGCTAAGTAGTAGGCTTTATAGTAAAAAGTATTAATCTTAGCCTAAGTAAATTATATACCTACTTAACAGCAGGCCTTAATAACTTATAATAAATAGGCGTAAATAAGTTAACAGTGTATTATCTTAAAGGTTAGTTAGCACTTACCTCTAACTACTAATAAAGTAAAGGCAGTTACTATAAGTATAGTTAGCCTATCTATAACATAAAGTATATAGACGTTAGAAATCTATTTAATAGTAGCTAATTAGGCCTTAGATTTAGTATTAATAATACTAGTAGTTATATAGTTATACTTAATACCTACCTTATAAAGTTTACTAGGGCTAAGAAGGTTAGCTAGGCTATAAAGGCTGTACTTAATATCTTTAATAGTCTAGTTAATTATCTAAGATAAATTAGCTAGATCTTAAGTTTAAAAGAAGATAGTACTAGATCCCTCTAGAAACACTTACTCTCTATTTATAGCAGTAAAAAAAAGAAGGTTATTATAAATAGTATATAATATAAAAAGTTAAAGTAAGTTAAAAATAAGGCTTAAGTAGCCTAAATCTAGTATAATATTAAATAAGGTAATAGCTTTATTACTTATAGTAGTAAAGATAGCCTTACTTAGTTATATTATAAGGCTAGTAATTAAGGAGCTACCTAGTGCGCCTAAGGCACCTTTTATAAAAACTAATATAAAGGAATTAGGTGTAGTAAAGGCAGTAGCCTCCTTATAATCCTTATTATAAATATACTTAGCTATATAGGTAAGTAGATTCTTATAAAACGTATAGTTAGTAGGAATAAGCTCTAGATAAGCAGTCTAACACTTTATAGTAATATAACCCTTCTTATAATAAGGGTAAATATTACAGCCTAACTTCTTAGTAAAAGTAGCGCCTTAGCTATTAGTGCTAGAGGTAGTAGTAATTACAGCCTTATAGTAAGTAATAAGGCCTATCTTTTACTCCTTATCCTAAGTAAGTATATAGATAGTCTTAATAACTATAGCCTACTTAGGCTTCTTATTATTATTAGTATAGTGCTTATATATATTAGGTAGATACGTCTTAAAATAATTAAGTAAGAAGATAGCCTAATAGTAGTTAGAGTTTTTACTATAGAGGCTAGTAATACAGGCGTATAAATACTATACGTGTTTAAGGGCATTATAAAGAGTCTTATAATCTTAGGTACTACCTTTAGAGAATTTATTAATAAGGGCTCTAACTATATCTTTAAATACCTTAGGAATATATTTCTTAAGTGCCTTTATTAAGGTGTAGGGATTACTATTATCTTACTATCCTATATTAAGAAGCTTATTAATTAGTATATTATATAATAAAATAAAAAGGTTATATATAACGTTATAATTAGCTTCTTATAAGGTAAAAGCTATAATATCTTTAGCTAGTTAAGGGATATTATAGTTAATATACTTTTTAACTTTATTAGTATAAAAAGTAGTGCTAATAAGTATAATCTATAAGGACTAGTTTAACTTCCCTTTAAGCTTAGGGATAGTTAATAAAACTATTTAGTAATTACTACTATTAGCTATAATAATAGTAATATAAGTAAGTTACTTTAGACTATAGTTAGCCTAACTATATATTAATCTTTATATATTTCTTTTACTATAGTAAAAGGCATATCTAAAACGTTATATAATTTACTACTATTTAATAGACGCCTAAAGTAATAAATTAAGGTAGTTAATAGGTAAGGGTATCCCTATAGTAATTAGCAAAAGATCCTTAACTTAGGCTGTAGTAAAAACAGTAAGTAAAGTTAAGTAACTACTATAACAATTAGTAGATAATTATAAATTAATAAAGATAGGTAGAGGTAACTAATTAATTTATAAGAAAAATTAATATAGGCCTAGGCTCTATAACCTATAGGAGCATAAGAGTAATAAAGTAAGGCAAATAGTATTATAGTAATCTATAGTAGTGTGTGTAGTAAGAAGGAAAATCCTCCTCTCAAGGCTATAGGCAGAGGCTAGATAAAGGTAAGGGGCCTAGGAGGTCACGTGACCTCCCAGCACACAGGCCCCCTCATAACAAGAACAGTCCAACAATCCTCACATTATTGACGGATATTGTGTGGAAAAGCGAGCTGTATTTACACGGCGGTCCGTGGTAGGATCTCTTAGGTCCACAGGAGGATAAGACGAGAGTAGCAAAACACAGTACGGTTATTAAGTCTGGTGGTCACCACGTCTGACGTGATGAAGTGAGGCAAAGCAGCTGATTTTCAACGTGGCCCCGCCATTGCTTTTTGGCAGATCGACTAGGATATAACATGACGCATGTCTGCATAATCGATCGGTTGCGTATCAGTTACTGTTTGACATGTATCGCTAGACTGAGTCTCTGCGTTCTTAGGATACAGTAAGTGAAGCTATTGTGAGGTAGGTGTGTGGCGGTGAACAAGCAATAAGATGAATACGTATCTGTACAGGCATGCACAACAGCACGTGAGACACGTAGGGCTCCAGCCACATAAGTGATGAGGTAATCTGTCATTGCCGCCACATTCTGGATCCACAAAAGTCCGTGCACCGGCCCTACCTCTCGCCGGTGCGCCATGCAACGTTGGCAGGTAGTGCACAGTACGGATAGTATATCCGCATATTGGGTACCTAAGTACGTACCTTCTTGAGCTACCCGCACCGCCTATGGAAGGCAGATACGGATACCTATGGGAGGTAGAAGGGTAGCTGCATGGTGGGTACGTACCGAATAGGGCGGCAGCAACAGCAGCAGCAGCAGCAGCAATTATTACGTGGGAGCAGCACGCGGGTCGAGGAGTCTCGGAATGTCATTTCGCGACGCTTGACTGACACTTGACACTTTATGCACCGAAACTCGCCTGCATTGTTCCGTTTGCCCCCTATACAACCTATCCTCGGCCATTGGGTTCAACCGACAAACTATCCTCCCACCGAATCACGCTCATCTCCAAGCTTGAATGCGTGAATAACCTCTTCTATCCGTCCGACGCTGCTGGAGATGCCTTCGGCGCCATCACCATGGACTTTGTAACGCTCCTCCCCAGATCCCAAACATTCCACCCCCCCATGCCCATTGGGAGGAATTCATTGCTGATGACGATGCATGGGGTTAGTGGTCGCGCCTCCTAGCCGGCACTTCGCTGTCTCCCTCGGCCCATCGCAAAGAAGAAGCAAAGAATCCCACGAAACGTCTGCACCGCTTCGACAAGGAGTATAACCGCATCTTGGTAAGAAGCCGGCTTCCCTCGTGTACTCCTTCCTGCTCGGCTGATGATGAAATAATCTCTTCCTCCAGCAAATCTGGCGATCCTCATCCAACCTAGCCAGCGATGTCGATGCCGCCGAGAACCTCGAGCTCCGCCTCCAGGAGCTCACAAACATCATCACCGACGAGTCCCGACGACCTCTCCCCCACCCCTGCATCCAGTATGCCGCCAAGAAACAAGTCTACGTGCCCATTGGCAAGATCGCGACGACGTCCTACAACGAGTGGATCATCAAGGAGGCCGTGCTGTTCTTTGCAACCCTGCTCGAGACGGAAGAAGAAGCATTCGTCGAGAATACCACCTTCTCCGCCAGCCTGACGAACCTCCTTGTGCGCATCACCGGCGTCAACAGTGTTCGTCTCGGGTCCGATACAGAGGCCAAGGTCGTCGAGCTGGCTTTTAACATCACCACCAAGATCCGCCTCAACCGGGACATCCTGCACGCCTGGTTCAGGACCCATCATGATGGCAACCCCCAGGGTCGCCCACAGGGTACCCACGACGCTTTCGCTGGCCGAACTCAGAGGCAGGATTTCCCCCTCTTCTACATCCTGATGGACTACATCCACCACGAGGGTAAGGTCGGAGATTTCGCTAGGACAGGTCTGCTGTACATCATCGAGTCGGCATCGAGCGACGAGTCCCTTGAGCAGTGGATCGTTGAGAGCGACCTTTCCACCTTGATGGCAACCGGTCTGGGGGCCCTCTACAGCCAGCTGAGCCGCAAGCTTGTCATTGACTATCCCACCAACGACCTCCCCCCCGTCCTCGCCTTGTCCGACTACCAACATCCGATCTCTACCTTTGAGATCATCAGCTCATGCTCCCCCGACTTTCAACTACATCTCGAAACCTTCCTGTCCCACCTTCTCTTCTGGCAGGATGTATTGGACCACTGCAAGTCGGTCGAGGTCAAGCAGACGCTGCTGGAACACTTCCAGGTCATATTCCTGCAGCAACTCTTGTAGGAACACCCTGCCAGTGACGTGACCGGTTCCCATGCTGACCAAGTGCCCAGATACCCATCCCTGCTGGAGTCGTCCGATATTGACGGCGGCTCGTCCGTCGCTGTCTTGACCTATCTTCGTCGCATCCTCGAGTCCCTCGACCACCCTGACATGATTAATCTGATCCTCCACTATCTCCTCGGCTTGCCGGAACACACTTCCCTCGACATGACTGGCTCCCGTGCCTCCGTCAGTGCAGCTCGTAAACGCAAGTCGCTGGATCTTGCAACGATGCTGGCTCAGACCAAGTCTGACATCACCGCAACCCCTCTCCTTTTCAATTTGGTCGACCTTGTCCAAGCCTGTTTGCGCTCCCACAACCAGCAGACCATTCGTGTGACGCTCCAGCTGGTTTCGGCCATCCTTAGGAGGCACCACCGGTATGCAGTCAGCACCCTTCTACGCACCGAAGCCGTGCTCGGAGACAAGATGCACAGAACAGTTGGTGCTCACGAACAGGAGGTGGACTTCATCATGAGCCTGGCAGGGTCCATTGGTGGGCAGGACAATTTTGACGAGGTCTACGATAACATCTTGAAAGACACCATGTCCCGCCTCGAGAGCCATCCCTGCTCGTTGAAGCTCGTTGCACCCAAGATATCCACCAACAACCATGACTTACCCGCCGTCCCTGATACACTCCCTGGGGCGCCGCGCGACGTGCATGAGCATACGCTCCGCCCGGACGACCCGTTGCTCAATTCGGTGCTGGATCTTCTTGAGACGTTCTTCATTAATCCGGTCGACACCAACCTGTCACTCACCGAGGCCATACTAGACCTGGCCATCTGCGGTTACGTGACGCCGGAGGGCTGGTTGATGCGTAACCCACATAAATACACCTTTGAGGAGCGGCCACCAAGTCCGATGTCCCCCGACGCCTCGGCCACATCATTCAGGCCTCCAACGGATCCCGATTCTACGACATCGGCCGAACAGAAGACTCTGGAGTCTCTGGATGCTTGTCGCCGACGTCCGATATGGACACAGTCATCACTGCCTCGCATACTCGTCGTCCTTCAGAGGCTGTGTAGCCAGGTAGCGAGGTATCGTGAGACGATTCCTCGCTTCGAAGATTTGCTCCAAGGGCGGAGGGAGGCGTTCCAAACGGCAGATAACCCGCGGCCACCGCCGCCGCCGTTGCCAGCACGCAAGGTCACCCCGCAAAGACGCAGCTCAGCGCACACGCCGGAACGCTCTAGTCTAGACGAATCAACACGCAGTGGCTCTCCGGCGCGTCCATCAGGTCTGGAACGGTTTGCCCAACGCTTGGTGTCGGAATTGAGTACACCCAGTCGAGGAGTAAGTCCCAGGGGAAGGGAGAACAGCCAAGGGACCAGCACAGCAAGCCCAGGCCAGAGCAATATGTCAGGCGGATACGGATTTGCCACGCCGACATCTCGGCCTTTACCACCTCAAAAAGACACGCCTGGTAGCCACGACACTCGTGGCCGAAGTGTCACAGATGAAGCTGGCTCATTGCATACTCCCAGAGATCCTGTCGCCAGCCAAGCCGCCGCATTCGCAGCCATAGATCAGAGCATTCTCGCCCGGAGGGTCGGGCTCCCCGAAAAGGTCGAGCCGATCCCGCTGGACCTCGGGAGAAAGAAACCGACCTTGCACATGCCGCCACCAAGAGACGAGGAGCCTGCAGAAGACCAGCAGGAGAACGTGGGGCCAGAATCAGAGCAGCAGACGGATAACGCTGAGGCGGAACCGATCAGTGACGATACCGTGGAGGTCAATACTCCAAAGCGAGAAGATGTGAAAGAGGGGCGGAAAGCGTCGGTGTCCCATGTCATCACGAACGTGATTGTGCTCCAGTCCTTTTTATTTGAGCTCGCAGCCCTGTTCCAGGCGCGCGCCACGGTTTTCAACGAGGTTCGATATGCGTGAGTTTACTGGATGCAAAGCAGACATAGACTAGGAACCGTGAAGGGAAGGGACCCCACTACGCATGTATATCAAAGCATAGGTAGCTATTCATGGCCTTATCTAGTGCCCTTGGCGTCTGCCGGTTTTCAATGCTCGTCACGAGACTTGGCGTGAGACAGATTCTCTGGCTCGTCTGCGGAAACAAGCAAACCACCTTCTCCGCCTTTGCCTCTTTAATATTTATAGAAATACTCTTGATTTGATATTACCGAGCAATGTGAGGTGTTCAGTAGAATGGTGAGACGACTAACATGCGATGCTTGATTGGGTTATCGAGATGAAAAGGGCCTAGGGACTCAAATACAAGTTGCCGAGTGGCCGTGGACCCGCCGAGAGGGGGACAGGCTTGGATTGATGGTCGACGTGCTTTACTGCATTGGTATGGATCCGGGATGTTGAGCACCCCTGGCCGCATTGGTGGGGTGCACACGATTGGGCTTGGATGCCGAGTCCGGTATTGGCTTGGCAGAGGCCGTGATCGGGCAAGACTAAGAGGCCGAAGGCCGCAGCCGAGCGGGCGTTTTCGTTCTTTTCGGCGCGAGCATGTCCTCCTGTGTTCGCCATATTGAGGGGATTTGATAAGAGTCATCGTGAGAGGGGGGCGCTCGGCCAAAACGTGTGGCACGGCACAGGCGAAGAAAAAGCCAGACTGGCTTCTGTTGTAACACGACTCTTCTCTCTCAAGATGCGAGACGAGGCTTACGGAGATGAAGCAGGCAGTCTGGTCTGGGTGGATCTCGATCACGGGCTATCTGTCTTCGTCAACTCCAGAGAGGTCCAATAGCCGAATCCATGTGAAATCGAATGCTACTCGTGCAAGAGGGGAGTTTCGGAGTCTAACCGGGCGGCTGGCTCAACCCCAAAAGGGGACGACATGGGAACGCCGTCGCCGCGAAAGTGCGAACACGCGGCTGGGAATGACTTGTTTGGGATGACTACACGACCGGCTCGGGTAGATCGGACTGCGGGCAGGTGCTTCGGCCGAAGGGGTCAGAGGAGCGTTGGGACAGTCTGCCATGTCTGTGTGTGTGTGTGTGTGGCCTTTTCGCATGGGAGGCTTGCTTGCCGTTGTTCTATTTGGAAGTAAAGCGTTAACCGACTTGGCGGTCCTTGGACTTGTGGAAAAGCCAGGTTGATGGTGACGCCATGTCGGCCAAGGATGGAGGCAGTGCGCTTGGGGCTACTCTGCCCAGGTGTCACAGCTTCCAAAGGAGGGGGACTTGTCGCGAGTTGAGCGACCAAGAAAGATAGTCGGGGACGCTGGTCGGGGTAGCCGGAGGATGGGACGACGCTCAAGACCGGAGACGCGTGGCTTTCGTGTGGTCTTGAGTGTCTTGGCTGGTTAGAGGAGACCAGGCAAACTTGATACGACGTCAGCTGACAGGAGCAGCTGTCGATGTGTGTCTATCATATACATATTGTCTGTGGGCATGCGTATATGTAGAAGACAGAGTATCTGACGACCCAGCCGAGCACAAGCTGAAAGACTAGTTACTTGAGTCTCGGGGGATTTCGCCAAGGTGTGAGATATGGATGAAGAAGAAGGTCGACGGAATTCCATGGAACAATCTTCGAGAAGCGAAGCGAGACGCTGGTGAAGGGAAGCTGGCTGCAGAAAAGGGAACCCCCGCCGTGTGTGCCAGACGCTGGCCCGTGATTGTCGCGGGCTGAAACTCTGGAAACGGCGCTTGTGAAAGTTAGACACGAACCGTTCCCCGATACGTCACCATTGCGCAAGCAAAAAGATCGGGGATGGTCCCTGAGAAACCGCTGGACCCCATCCTCTCTTCTATCTTAGGCATCTCATTGATCTGATGCTGCGCCTGGGTACGGGTCTGTCTGGACGGCCGTGCCACGTTGTGGTGCGGTGCGAGGCAGGTCGGCCGGGATATACGCCGTCCGCCAGCGGTGCCGGGGTGCGGCGCCGGGGAGGGAGAGCAGGGCTTTCACCAGGTGTTGCAATAGGCCGCCCGCCGGAAGGTAGGAATGTGGGGGGGCCGAGAAAGGAGAGAGTGGAGGAGGTTGATGGGGCGTTGTCTGAGATATAGAGAGATAAAGGGAGACCGGGACGTCTATTTCTTGGTGTTTGTTGTTGGTTCGGTGTGCCTGACTTCAAACGATCGATAGCCTTCATCTTCAATAGCATCACCTATACGACAACACTAGACAATCTGCGACTCGATAAGAAGACGAAGCGCCCCATCACTTTTATACAGTCCGACTCATCATCGACGGTTCGAACAGCATTGCCACACTAGAGGGACGAGTGTGACGATCTCAAGACACATATACACACACAAACGACGGCATAGCATTGAGACATCCAATATGAAGTTCTCTGCCCTTGTCATCGTCGTCACTGCCGTGGCCGGTGTCACCGCCGCCCCGGTGGAATCAGGGTAAGTCCCCAACCCCCATTTTCTATAATAGTGGTATGGAAAAGAAGTAGAAAGAAAGAAAGGCATAGCTAACATTGGACCCCCCCCAGCCCGTTGGCCAACCTCCAAGCCCGCGCCTCGGACGCCATTGGCAGCTTCGCCCACTACATCCGCAGCGAGCAGGCCGACACGGCCGCCGTGCCCGAGGTGAAGCGGTCCCCGGTCCGCTTCCACAGCGGCCTCGGCCACGAGAACGCCGTTGAGCGGCGCGCCAAAAACCCGCCCCCGCCGCCCCTGAACCCGTTCAGCACGCCGTCCCGGGACGAGAAGCGGTCGCCGGACCTAACGGAGAGGAGCCCGGCCCAGAAGTCTGTGCCGCCCCTGAACCCATTCGCGGCGGGCGGGAAGGCTTCCCGGGTCTAGATCCCCCATTCTCCAGTGCCGTCTCGACGACCTCGTATCAGAGGACCGCCCTCCCCTCCCTGGCGGGGTTTCGACAAAGGACGGGTCCCGCGTTCTTAAGCCCCCGTTTTGATGGACTGGAATCCGCTGGCAAGACCTCAGGGTTTCGAAACATAAGCTGGGCTTTCATCCTGATGACAATCTTGAGGGGGGTTTGTAACCCGATAGAAAAGGACTTTCTTGTTGTCGTTTGTGTATGGGCTGATGTCGAGACGCGCAAATCCAGGGCAATTGATCTCCAATTCAGTGTATATCTTTTCTAGACCGCTACATAAGAACATGCCCGTGAGATATAATATTTGTCAAAGCCAAAATTTGACGTGACCCAAAGCGAAGACCGAATGAGGATAGGGAAATCAGGTGTGGGCTTTCCACAGGGGAGAATTAACAAAGGCCGCCCTGATATACACTGCACATGGAAAATATCCCTCAATTTTCCCGGGACTTAAACGGCAGGCTATTTCTCGGAGTCAAAAGATCCAGAGACTCGGGACGTGGGGACCACTCTTTGTCCTCAGCAGTTGCAGTGTGGGATATTTCTGAGTAACGCATGAGGGCGATTGGTCCCTGCTTGCATGAACATATGTGCTCACTTGTAGTGGTGGGACGTTACTGGCTAGGTCAGAAGCCGAATTACCAGCCGTACGTGTGTCTATATGTATATGATTGTCGGCTATGTATCCACTAGGAGCACTTGGCCACCAGGCAGATGATTTCAAGTTAGCTGCCGGTGAATTCAGTCTGCGCTTGGCAGTACTTGGCCATTTTTCCAATCCGAGTTACCGAACATGAAGGGCAGAAGCTGGCTCGATTGCATGCCCCTGCGACATAAGGCCGGCTTGTCGAAGTTGGTGGGAGTAGACTTCCAGTCATTCAACGGCGTCTATGAGTTGACTGTTACTTCATGTGGACCAAGATTCGGCATATGCCAAGGTGGCACTAGTGGCTGAAGTGATGCGGTCTTGAAGTTTAGCAACTATGGAATGGTAAAGCTCGACGCGAAAGCCGCAAGTGAAAACAAGACAATCAATTTGCGGATACATTGCAGGAGTAAACGATTCATGTGGTCCGGAAGGCTCTTTGGATTTCTGGTAGCCCTATTCGCTTCAGATTGATGAAAAATAACTACTGCGCACTACGTCCAGTCTTCAACCATGCATCGTGGATTCGATATACTGGTTAAACCGCGCCACTGCTCTCCCCTCTAATGATTCTCAAAGCACCCGCCTCTGTCGAAGTGAGTGGCGATGCCACAAGTAGTGGACTCGATGGCCGCCTTGATGCATTCGCGGTTGTCCTTGCCGGCAACCCAGGCGTTGCTGTGAAAGTTGACGTGTATGCCCTTTCCCAGCTCGGTGAGGATGTGCTCAGTGTTGCACTTAAGCAGCGGGTAGGCCCAGTCGGCTTGGCCCTGGGGGCAACGAGCTCGCACAGCGGCTAGGAGGCGGTCACACCAGCATGCGGTGTTTTGACCGGTTGGGTTGATTGTGACCTTGTAATCGAGCTGGTTGATGTTGTTGCCCTGACCACGGTTGTAGGAGCAGTGGACCCCGACGGAGCTGATGAGAGACCTGTCGACGCTGCCGCAGCCGTGTTGCACGTCTGTATAGTCCGGGCACTTACCAACGGGCCTAACGTCCTCCTCAATCTTGCTGTGGACACCAGAGTCGGCAGCCATTGCAGCTTGGTTGACGATGATAGCAGGAGGCTCGTCGCGAGGGACGATGTTGGTTGTGGTAGGCTCAACGGAGACAGTTGTGGCAGTGATGGGAGCGGCGTAACTGAAGAATGCTGGCTCTATCTCTCTGGCGGGAGACATCACCTCGGGCAGATTACCAGAGAGTTCGCCGAGGGATCGCTTCCACCAGCGGTGGCGGCAGATGCTGGTACGGTAGCACCTGGTTCCATGAGAAATTGTCAAAAGGCTGACCATAATTGATAGTCTAGAAGGAACTGAGCCTGGACCTACCGTTCATTGACCCAGTATGTGAGCTTGGGACCCCCGGCACAGAAGTTGTCCTTGATGGCCTGTTCGACTCTGAGCCGCCATTCGCCGAATTTGGCAATTGGCTTGGGCAGAGTGAGGACGACTACCATCCCGTTACCGTTCTCGTTGGACCTATAGGTACGGTCACACTCCTCCTGGCGGATATGGTAATTGATGGCTCTCTGAACCAAATGGAACATCATCTCGCACCACTTGGGACTCGTCTTGCCGATGGCGTTGATACGGATGCGGTACTCCAGATGGTTGTCAAAGCCGCAGTTCTCCCAGGAATAAGAGCAGTCGATTTCTGGCGTGATGACACGACGGAGGATGTCCTCGCAGTCGTGCGGAGGGACGTCATCGCGTGCCAGGAGGTTGGAGTTGCGGACAGTGCTGATGATGTCTGGCGCAGCATTGTTGACGACCTTGTCAGTGCCGCCAGTCTCTATGGCCATGCTACCCTCAGCAAGGACATGAGACGCCATGCTGAGGGCACCAATTGCAAAAGTTGCATCGACGAGGATGCGAGGAATGAGCATCTTTCTTTCCTTGATAGCAAGCACGCTGCCAGTTGGGGTATATGGAGATCCAAGAGGCAAGCTCAGGCGTGCAAAAGAAGGTGAAGTGGGTAGGTGGACTAGTTAATGCTAACTGAGACGGGTTGTGAATGATGAGTGTGCAGAGAGCAAATGGAATGTCGGAAGAGATGGGCAAAATGATACTCGCTGTGGAATTGTTAGCAAGGATGTGTTTGTCTTGTGAATCATTGCACAACACAACTCCCAGTTGCCACAGCATTCTTGGCATGTAGGAATACAGGCTCACGCCTTTGTCTTGTTTTACTGTTTGTGGAAAGTTGTTTATCTATGGGCACCACTGAAAACTCATAGTAGGATCATCAGGTATATTGTGTATAACTCCAATCAGCAAGTTTGCAGCCCATGTTTGTATAATGCGTCCATTAATGATGGATTTTGCATCGTCGCCCAGTATGAAAACTCCGCACTGCAATTTGACGGATGAACCATATGACCATCAAGACATACTTGCTTTCTTTGTCCGAAACTAGCTTGGAGTAGGCTCAGATAAATAAAGCTTGTAAAACTCGTAATACGCAGTTGAGAAGGGGGGGGGGGGGGGGGTAGGTAAACACGTCCAGACCGACTTTTAGCCACCATATTACGACTTTTAAAGTCGAATTTTGGATGGGAAGAACGGGCTTCATTGACTCTCCCAAAGATGTTAGTATGTTTTCATCAGCGTCCAAGGCGGTATTATATTCCCATCTCCACAGTCACTTAAGCAATGGATTGCAGATGGCCATCAAAACGAAAACTCTAGACCAAAGCTCTATAACTCAGAGAATGCTATGAAAAGAGAGCCTCAAGATAGGAATATATAGACACCTTGGAGAGCTTGATAATATTACATGAAATCATCAAGACATTGGCATACGGTTATGGAATCCACCTCAAATGCATTTGTTTGTCATTTTTAAGTCACTACGTTACACGTATGTCGATATTATATGTGTGATCCGTCAGCATGCTTTTCAGAAGCGACTGAGATTTAATAAAATTGCAGTTAACAGGGAAAATCGGCTTCTTCACTGGCCACTTTAACCATTCGTTCTCCTGCAGATATAATTCAGGAACCCTTCTTTAATGCTGCAAGCAACACGTCCGCAGGGCTCAAAATACCGAAATATCGGTACAAAAGATGACCAAAGGTAACCTTGGCATGACGCGATTATGGCCGCTGCCTGATATAGAAAATTACTACGAATGAAAGGAACGGAAAAAGGTATCGTCAGATATAAGCAACGTCTACCCGGTCCGTCTACAAACTCTGTTTGGCCATCATATCTTGAAACTTCAAGAACTTTTTGGAACTGCTCCATGTAAATGGAGCCCCCAGAAATGCTAGCGGATTGTGCCTCAATGGTAACCTTGGCAGCAGCCGCCCCTGCTACAGAATACTCGTTCTTTTCCTTACCACTCTCGTCCGAGTCATCCTCATCAGTATCGGAATCTGACAGATCACCGGAGTCGGATACCTGCGGCACCTTTTTCCGTGCCTGTCTGCTGTGAGACGACCAGGCCGCCTGCGATCTTTGAGCCGTACCTGGATGATTCATAGCCATGGGCGCAGGTGCAACCATGAATCCATCATCACGCCAGCCATCGCGCCTGGCTTCGCCCGCCTCTGTCGACCCCAAGACACTATACAGGTAATTATCAAACTCTCTGGATCCCTGGGCCACAGACTTGAACTGTTTCTTCCCGAGAGAAGGCTTGGGTTCGTCCGTATCCTTTGTCATATACTGGTACTCGACAAGTGCTATGGCTGTTTGAAAGGCGTTACGGATTTGCCTGATTCAGTGGTCAGTATTCCGAACGATGCTGCGAAATTAGGCATCGAGAAGTTTACCTTCCATTCCAAGTTTCCCGATTTTTCCTCTCAAGTCCGATGAAATGCTTCTTGGCAAAGGCTAGGATCTCCTTGTCTCTAATCTTGAAACGATGGGTCCGAGTGGCCTCTTGCTCCGCTCTGGCCCGGTCGATGAACTTTTGGTAGAGCTGAGTCGTCACGCTCAAGTCCAACTTCGGGTACGAGAGTGACATTTTGATCCTCGACTTGAATGCCGGATCAATGGCGCCGACCCTGTTAGAGGTCAAGAACAAGATACCAGCGTAGTACCCGAGGCTGCGGAGAAACACGCTGGTCACTGCGTTATGTCGAGCGTTATGTCGAATATCGGTTTTTGTCCGCTTCGCAAGGAAGATGTCAGCCTCGTCGAGAAGCAGAACGCAGCCCCATTTGTGCGCAAGCCTGAAGTTGTATTGGAGGTTTGACTCGAGTTCGGCAGCTGTTCTGCCAATGTCGCCGCAGGTAATCGGGTAGAGCGGTCGTTTCGTGTCGTCGGCAACGCACTCAGCCGTCGACGTTTTGCCAACGCCTGGCGGACCATGTAGGAGAATGATCAGCCCAGCACCCTTTCCCTTGACCAGGTCTAATGCAGACCCAATGCTTGGTATACAAGCTCCAAAAAGGTGAGAGGCTCGTGCGTCCTCATGAGTCTTTACCAACGCTCTCACCGTCTCTTTGTGATCAACCGGAATCACGAGGTCCTGGAAACTGTTCTCGAACATGACGTCGTGTAGATCTGATGTCCTTACATTCACCCATTGTCTAGAACGAAGGACGAACGCATAGACATAGGGTTGCATTAGCATCAAATCTTCTTCCGTCAGATCATCTGCCTGGAGCGGGCCCAGCATCCCCATCGCTTTTGCAGCAAACATCGCCGCGTCCAATTCCTCATATTCGAGGTCTTTGAAGATGGCGTCGCTCCCACAACAGGCTTCTTCCTGGTGCTTACACCAGGACTGCTCTTTCGTTTCTCTTTCGTCTCTGAGTGAAGTCGTCAGTCGATATGCTGGACCCGAGTCGCCATTCGGACTTTGCGGTCGACGCAAGTGTCATATCCACAATGACTTGCGCATCGAGTTCGTATGATGGCTCATCCAAAGTCTTTCCCCGGACTGTCTTGTGACAAAATGGATGACGGGTCAGGTCCAAAAAGCGTTTTCCATTGGCAGAGAACTTGGTGCGCAACTCGGCCTCTCTGGAATCAAACCGAAGAGGGTATACCGGTAGGGTCGGGATTCTTCTTTTTCCGTTATAATGTTTGATAGCAATCGTTTCAAGTTTGGGGACATAAGAAGAGCCATCGGTTCCAAGACTCAAGCAGTCAACGACAAAACCATCGAGGTGACCGGACTTTTCGTCGTCGAATCGGTTGATATATCCTAGACGCTCGCGCCCTCCGGCAAGTTGACTACTCGACGAGCATGAGTTTGGTCGGATTGGCGGACAACAATGTCGCCTCTGGAGAATAGATGCCAAAGACCGCCGTACTCGATATCGAGAGCTGTGCCTTCATCTATCATTCGACGCAGTTCAAATGTTGGTCGGAGGTCAACATAAAAAAACTGGTACACTAGAAGTTTTAGATCCTCAAGAAGATCTTTGTCTTCGTACTCGCGTCGAGGCGCCTTCCCTGCCTTTGAAAACAATTACGTCTGTCGATTCATCAGCCGTAGCTGCCTTACACAATTTAACATACAGTTCCTTCAGGCTCTCCCTAATGAGTGACTCGTGTCTTACGAAAAGTTTGACAGGCCGCAGAAACACAACACCACCATGCACCTTTTCCTCATTGACTGTAGACTGTTGCGCAAGAGAGTAGACATCGCTTCCCGTATATCCTCCAGATGCTTCAACAGTGAGTACGATTGGATGCGTAGCCGCTCTGGTGTATGCAGTTCGTCGCCCTGGGGCCTGTTTGATACCAGCTGCTCTCTATCCTGAATCTGAACTTGCGGGTCATGATTGGTGCCCAAGTCCATTGTTTTCGATGCCGCTCTTTCTTGGAGCTTGACCTCTAGCGCCAGCTTTTGTGAACAAGGCAATCTGGCCGACTGGCCGGTGGCCCGAAAATGATGCGGGCTTAGCCGCAGCAACTGGTGCCGATGAACGGGGAATCTAGCCTTTACAGGCGTTTCAACGGCTTCATCAAGTTTGTAGACATCAGTCTTCAATTGTTTCAGCTCTCTCTCCAGGTCTTCAATTCACATGTTGGTAGAAGTGTGATGTAAAACGGCCCTGGTGGCTGCGTAGTCTTATAGAGCCGTTGTTTTTCTCCGTTGCAAAGACGGTGCGTCTTGTGGTGGGATGATTAGCCCACGCTGCATTCATTACTACACGCTCTTCTTCGACATCATCAACGAGGGCGGCTAAGTCTCCCCCATCATCTGACTCCACAACATCGACGTCGGCATTTGGACCATCTCCCTCGACTTTGGCTGAGGGTATGAAGCCTTGGATTTCGTTGGATTCAGAACTCGTGTCCAATGCTTGTTTGGTGGGCCCGACTAGTTTATCCTTGTTGAGTAGAGTGTACTGCGGCAGCGACTTGGGAATTTCGGGCGGCATCGTGATACCAACACGGGTATAATAGCGTTTTAGATAACAACGCCAGTGGGATAGGGCTAATTTTTGAGACGGATGGCCCAATTCATGCGTGGAATCGAAACTCGGAAAGGGTAGAATTATGAGGATTATGAAGGACAATGTTAGCGGTAGTCCCAGAAAGTGGCTTATGTGCAATAAACTGGTGTGATGAGCCGCAGCGTGTGGCCCTTTCAGAGAGAAGTAGATTTTCTTTTCTAAATCTACATACAGGAGGAATCCGGGGTAGAAATACCCTTTCCTATGTGGGTCTATTTTTTGGTAAGCCATGTCTCTGGCGTTCACCACTGGGACTAGCCACACGAAGCTGTCCCAGCTTCATGGCAACTGGCATTTAAGTCTGTAACAGGCCGAACCCTTCTTCCGCTATTTTCTCGACCTCATATTATGGTCCTACAGGACAGCCTTAGTATGATGACCACAAATCGGCAACAGCAATCACCCCTGGGGTCTAACTCTGGACATTCCCACCTCCGGGCACTGAGATAATTAGCTGACGCTACATCCACTTCTGCAGCCTGCCGCATTTCTGCCTACAGCCTGCTTTTAGCTCACATATTATCAGCTGCATTCCCTGAGAAGCGGTGCTTATCATTCAATAGTTCTATGCATAATGACAAACTCTATGCATGGGTGGTCAGCAGGTCGAATATCAGTATCCCAATTGGTGCGCTTGGTTGTTCCTTCACGACCCCCATGAGCTCTGATTTCCGTTGGATTTCTTTTATGATGGGAAAAGTGCGACGCTTCCTACTTGGAACATCAATACTATATCGGTATTCTAAGTGGCAATTTCCATTATGGCCTACAACGATACAGAAGTGGGCGACAGGGACCTTTTTCTGGCTGCACGAAACAGACATCCCGTCAACGAAGCCATTGTTTTCATGGAGAATCGCATCACCATACCTGGGAAACAGCAACCTCTTTTCAGCGAGAATAAGGGCGAGCTGGTTTACTTGAAGGAGGCTTTGGCGCGAGAAGAGGAGAGGTACGAATGTCTACATGCTTCTAACGCATCATGGGCTGACCGCAACGGCATTTCATCAGTGCATTGATGTGGAAGGAAGTTGATGATGAAAAAGAGCGCCTCTTCTCCCTGATGTTGCAAGTACAGGAGAAGTTGTCAAAGAAGAGAAATGGGGGACCTCAAATCCAACCCATTGCGGAACGTGATCTGAGACAATGTAGCTGGGGGCAGGTTTTAAACGAAGACAAAAAAACAGCGGAGCGATGGAAAGGCAGCCCAGATAAAGAGAGCAAGACAATGGTATTCATCGACAAGATAGGCAAGTACAGCGGAGCTCTCGAAACCTGGCTTGAATTGTTGCCGATGGGCGACTATGGATCCAGATATGTTATGCTGCCCCTATTCCAATCAACTTTATTAGACTTCACCTTTATGTATGTTGTAGAGGCTTACCTGCGTTTCTTTTGAGGCATTTGCGGCGTCTTCAAGCTGGCCGATGGGGCAAGTGAATACCACATCCCTAGTTAATCAAACGTTAAGATTACTCACAAGGTGAAAAGGCTGCTGCCCAGCATAGCAGTACCGGAGAAGCAATCTTCCAGTTCCTGTCTGATATACCAGACATCATGGAGAATGCAAGGCAAACCTTTGCTCTATATAAAGAGATGGGAGGTCATTCACTCGATCGGCGAAGCTTTGAACTATTCAGAGCAGTTCTAACTGCGCTCAGTCATATCATGCAGTTTTTTGCAGACAGCAAATTGGGTAGGTTTTATAAAATCCCATCGCCAGTCAGGTCCTTGTTCCATTTTCTGACTCAAGTGCAAAACAGATAAGTTCTTCCAGGTCACCATAAAGCAAAGCGCATACAAAAGCGATTTGCAAACCAGCGTTGACAACGTCAGAAAGCAAGCCCAAGCATTCGAAGAAGAGGCTCACATTTGCCATGCAAGACAAACTCACGAAAATTCGCATCTTTTGGCAAGAATCAAGGCGGGAAATGAGGATTTTCAAAAGCATCTCCTTCAATTGCTGGAGTCCAGCCCACTTTTCCGATCAAACCGCTCAGGTATAAACGGGATTAGTTTTCGTCTACCAAGGACACGCTGCTAATTCCATGGTACCCAGAACGTTTAGCACCAGACCATCAAACTTCCCCACCGAGGATAGCAGCCTACGACATGGCAAATGTGGACTACACAGTGCCGTGCGAGTGTGTCGAATCTAGCCTGCCATTGCCTCGTATAATATCTCAAGAGGTTTATAATCAACTCGAGAGAAAGATGGCCAACGACAAAGCGGAATCAGAGGCGAATAGGTCGGATCTCTATCAGATTCTTGGTTATGACGAGAATAGCGTTCAGCAGGACATCGCTTCTTGTCTCCGACATGGCTATCGTTTGGAAGAGAAGAGGAAGTCCAAAGCTGCCTCTCTTTTTCAACATCGCGACTTCAGGGCATTTATGGGACAGTCCAAAGCTTCGACATGTCTGTTAGTGAACGGCAGAGATGACCTTGCCGCTTCCGATGGGATATCTCCGCTTAGCTTGGCGATGGCTGAGCTCATGCGCATATCTCAGGCTACGGGGCCAGAGATGGGGCAATCCTTCGTTATTGCCTTCTTCTGCGGCGAACACAGGCCTAGATACTCACCAGACCCTAATGTAGCGTGGCACTCGTCAGTAATCGGCCTCATTGCGAGTCTGATCGGTCAGCTACTACAGCAAATGACAGACAAAGGAGCCAGAATTGATCTCTCGTTCTTGACAGATTCCAAATGGAGGAAACTGACGAGACTTGAGCCAAAGATGCTTTGCGTGTTATTCAAAAAGTTGGTGAAGCAAATGCCACCCGGGACTGTAGTATTATGCATCGTGGACGAGGCAGCGATATACGAAACAGGAGGACTCCAACCCCATCTCATTTCCATCATGGACAAGCTGTTACAGCTGGTGAGGAGCTTTGCAGATGGGCCGGCAATTTTCAGACTGCTCGTCACTTGCCAAGATCGAGCAGTAGCTGTATCTCAATATTTTGGAGATCACATCCTGGATTTGCCGGAGACTGTTGATGAGAATGACTCTGCGCAGTACGTGTTATCTAGAATAGGACTAGAATAGGGCTCTAAACTTGGCTTGCCTTCCACGCAATTGATGTTTTCCCAGAATATGGAAGTTCCAGAAGAATAGGTCTACAGGCCTGGTTAGTTGAGTTTATTGGCAACATCTGTATCGTACATTACATGTCGAGAAATATAACCAGATCATCCACTTTTCCAGCCCTTGACCTTGTAGCATATGTAAATCAATTCACCCATTATGTGATAGTAGCTAAGTGGATTCATACAAGGACACAGCAGAGAAAAAGCCGCTTCAATCCTGCTGGTTTTCTTCTTGGGACTATAATAAATAACTATCAATATCAACCACTCAACAGGTGTGGTATCTTACAAAGTGTTCTTTTTTTTATTTTTACAATCATGCAAACTTTGTTTGTGGAGTCCTAATCCCCCCTTTCGTGATTTATTGCTTCAGGAACATGCGAGTCCACAGGATACGACGTCCAAGACGCATTGACTGGATCAAACCGCCTTGTCAGAGTCTCCTGCATTTCGCCATTTTGTATTCTCTGAATGCTCAGGTGGATGTCTCCCTTCTGGTTTCCAGGCGCCGCTATCCATAACCTATGCACTCTGGGCGGATTTGGAATGGTTGACAAGGGGTCCGGGGAGTCCCTTTTACCGTCACGTGGACTGTCTTGTACACCCCTTTCCTCGATTGTTATTACTTCTCTGGCCACACGGGCTGATAACTCCGCATCCCAGATTCCTTCATGACGCTGTCCTAACAAGATTAGCTCCACTGCTTGCCGCCTAATTCTGGGAACGCGGCATTTGATTGCTGTGTAGAACAAAGGAGGGCTGAGGCCAATGTTAACAGCATACTCAGGGACGTGGGAGCCAGGCGTGTCTGCTGCTGGCGTTGGTAACTCTGACGACGACGGCTGAATTATGTCAAGAATCTCTCGAGCGTGAGAAACGACCGAGGCAAATTGATGCGTATACAGGTCGAATATCAACTCGTTCCTTGGGTTCAGAGCGGTGTTGGCGATGATGTGTGCCATGGTGTGGTATATCGGTAATCGTCGACATACAAGCTTTTCGGCGTCTGATAAGTGGCTCCAGCTCCGAGCTTTGAAAACATCGAAACAGCGAAGCCACCCCTCTAGATCGTTCCGAAGAGCTTGTTGTGTAGCAAGAAGCTCGAAGATGTCGACTGGATCTTCTGATAAGTTTATTGTGCTGCCATTCCTCTGAAGTTTATGGGCTCTGAATAGTAGACCGTCCAGGCTGTGACTTGCATCGCGGGTCGTCTGAAAGGCCTGTGGCAACTGATGCCATATGAATGCCACGGAACAGGCAGCCCCAGAGTAGAACTCGTTCAGGAGGAGAGCTGCTTGCAAATCAAGCCTTGGAATCTCTTCAGCAAACCAGTCGTCGGCCGGATCTGAGGACATTGCCGATGTTCTGTTTCGGAGCAAGTTGCCTAACAGTTTGAGACTATATCCAAAATGAAGGAAACCGTTCTTGTACCGTTTCTGCATGAACTCCAAGCAGACAAATATTGTGCAAACAATGAGGGCAACACGAGTCGACTCGGTGCCTGGCTTTGTGAAATGAGGTTGGAGAAGTGAGATGGATTTGTTGTAGTACAGCAAACTGAGATAGTCTGCGGTCTTGGAGGACTGACATTCGCTGGCCTCCTCATTCGTGAAGTTGCATGGTTCAGTCCTTGCCAGCTCTTTCTCATGAACAGCCCCTACGGCGAGGATGGCGTAGAGTATGGCAGGCTCGGTCGAGCTTGCTTGGAGGACAAGTTGTGTCCAATATGGAGAACTGAACATACCCAGTAATCTGCTGGACGCCTCATGAACGAATAATTCGAAGTGTCGTTTGTTCGAAGGGGTCAGTCCGGCAAGACTGGCGTGCGTGTTACAACGTGCCAAGGGAACGGATGGGGTCGGCGGTGAGGGCAGTGACCTCCGGCCAGAAGAGCAACTCTCACCGCGGCCTGCGTAGGCGCATACCTTTCCCATGACAGTGCATCGCCGACATGATGGTCTCGTCTCGTCACACTTCAATCTTCGGGTTCTGGATAGTGGTCAGATGAGTTTTTGAGTAGCTGTGAAACCAGGCTGGACTTACTTGCAAGTCAAACAGCCCCTTGCCACTTGCTTAGGTGACCGAAACGTGATTCCGCAGCTATCAGGTGGGGTCTGACTACTGCCCATGGCCGTAGACTCTTGAAGGGCGCTGAGGTTGATGTTTTATTATGGCTTGCGCTGAAGTTACCACGGTACGCAGCGCAAGAGGGGCGTCGCTCGTCCTACTGAGAGGATCCGGGGTGGATCTGGACGTCAGCTTAGGCGGAGCTTTTGTATCGAGTACACAAGTACCAAAGACTGAGAGGATTGCAAAGCAGGCAGAAAAGGGGCTAACTGTGAAGCAGGTTACGATGTATAAAACCGTTTGATCCAGACAACCATTCACTGGTTAGAAATCTTTAACGCTGATTGGCTGCCGTTGCTACTGTATGGTTTCATCGCCCCTTTTCTGGTATTAATTGGTCGCCGGTCGCGGCAAAGCGTAATCTCCGCACACAAACTAAGTTTCGGTGAGGCTCACCGTGTCAAAGCGCACCGTCGGAGAAAAGACTTCGGCTTGGCCAATCTCATAACGCTTGGGCCACGGGCTGCTCGATGTTGACCAGTGTTTGTCTGAACTGAAGCAGGGAGAGAGACGGTCTCTGATACGTAACGCACCCTCATATGTTCAAAAAGTCTCCGGCTGAACTGGTATATCTGGCACACAAACTCCTGTCGTGTCATTACATTTACTTTGACGTAGGTGCTAAGCGTTTAATTGCCATCCCTTAAATCCGAGCATCCTACCGGCGGTACGGTCCCCCAGTCCTCACCCCTGTTCAGGTTGAATGTATTACTATAGCACTGGCAACGTATTCCGCTGCTCTTCAAGCACCAGAGTTCCCAATCAAGGTTTGCTATGTTGCGTAATTGCCAACGCGTGGTCCGAAGTACTCGCCTTGGGGCAACTGCAGCCTTGTGCAAGCCGTCGCTTCACATCCACTCTCTGGGTGATTGCCCCACCACTTGAGCTCTAATCCATGGTAACTGACAGCAAAAAAGATGATGACACCAGCAATGGCTATGGCTGTTGAAAGGGCTGCTGAGAAGACGTAGTTGTACTTGGACCAGAATGCTAGGTAGCGCTGCCGAAAGTACACCATGCTCAACCATCCGGGAAGAACGGCGGGCCACATGTAGGCAATATTATACTGAAGAAAATAGTAAGCACAGGGCTCGTTATCTCACAGCGAGATGGGTTGAGGACATACGGGGGACCAGCTGATACCTCCGCTAAGAATCATAACGGGATGAATCTTGGAAAACCAATGAGTGCGAGGGAACTTCCTCTGGAAGTAGTATAGAACGAATGGCACAGCAAAGCCGACAGGGAAGGCTGACAAAAGCGCGGTATAAATGCCTCCCGCGCCGAAGACCTTACGGGCACCAAGACTACCAAACAGCACAGCAGCTGTGAAGTAAGTGTTGACACCGGGGCACGTAAATCGGTCTTTCTGGTGCCTAAAAATAAACAGTCATGTTAGAGGGCGGCGTCTTCCGAATGGGGCCCAGGCAGCACCTACGTGGAACAGAGATCAGGGATGCTCTCAATCTGGAAGTTCATGATGCCAGTGCATACGAATGCCGAGACAAATACAGCCACAACCTGGGCGAAGAACGTGTGACGCTGGGGAATCTTGAGATAATGCGCGAGTTTGAGGTCGTTGGCGAAGTCTAATGCGTGAGCCGTGGTGACATAGCTGGATTTGGAGGTCAGATGGTTAGTTGAGTGCTCATAACTTCATTGGGTGATTTTACTTACCCAAAACACTTGAAGAAGTTCATGGCTAGAGCGTTGCCCGGCTGAACGGCACCTCCGATAAATTCGGCCAGAACGCTGGACAAGTTAGCCGCGTCCTAGGATGCTGGTCGTCATGAAAGAGGCTCTGTACTTAAACTCAACCTCCATTCCAGTAGTAGCAAAGATTATACCGGTTGGAATGACGAAGACCAGTGCAAGGGCGATTCCGAAAAAAACGACGCCGACGCTGGTCTGCATAAGATCGTCAGCATCTCCCGCCCTCCCACTCGAGGGCAACAGAGGAACTTACCTCGGTGGGCCATGCAGCAACGGCAGCAATACCGAAAGCAATGGCAGCCAGGTTAAGAATGAGATACCACCACTCGGGTACTAAGCGCTATTATTACGATTTGAGCCGCTATATGGACTGATGCTCTGAGCCTACCTTCGGGGTAGTTGGACATCATCTTGGTATGAACATCCTTGTAGTCGTCTGAAGCTTCTTTCTTGAAGCTACGCACAAAGCTACGAAACCCAATAGCTATATCATGACGATGATACAGAATGGCGTATGAAACCGTCGCTGAATAGACTGCGAAAAAGAAGTAGTACATGGTAATGCTACTAGCAGCCAGGTACCCTGGAGAGTAGGCTTGGTACTTGGCCTCGTCAAGCCATCCACGTCTATCAAGAATCCTGGACACGTTGTAGGGGTTGCCGAAGTGATTATACATCAGGTTGGAGTTTATGGGAAGGTATGCGGTGTTGTATGCGTTGGTCCAGTAGAGGCCGATGATTGTGATGCCTCCCAGGATGACGCCGATAAAGGTGTTGAATGTGACACGAAATGGAACAACCAGTGGTTGAATAATGTGAGTCGCAACGTTCCAGTCGAATGTAGGTAAGGGATTGAACCCTAGACCGTTCCTGACTCCGGTGATGGTGGCAAGGGCAAAGTTGTTGGGTGCGATCCAGGCCATCCAGTTGAAGAGTGACAAGGCACGAAAGATGTAGTCAGGAAACCAGAACCATACAAACATGCTGGAAAACGCGACCACAAATAATCGATATCTGGACATTTTATAAAACCTGTTGAACGGACCAGGTACTGGGGGGTTTGTTTCTGCGAAAAGCTTTAGTTGCCATCTTTGTTCTGAACATTGCTGTAGAGTACTCACCGTTGTGGAGAGAGCTGTTTAGTGCGATGGTGACGAGCGAGCCAGGCCACAGGCAAAAGGCAGGATACACTAGGAATCTCCTGCAAAGGCCAGCAAGGCCAAATCCCATAAGATTTGTTGATAGTGCCAGTAGGATCTGGTAGCTGAACGACTTTGCATACTTCTGCCCGAAATACCTGTCCATCCACTGTGTGAAGACTACGAAGACAAATCAGCAAGGAACTTTATGAGAGAGGCAATCGCCACAATATGGCATACTAATATATCTAGAACTGGGAAGCGTCTTTCCGACACTTGCCATGATTGAGATAAGCATATGCTCTTTTTTGTTGAACGGCCCATTGTTAAGAGTGTGTCTCACTCCGAACAGTGTGATTCCGACATCGGGAAGCCATCTCTCTGCTGCTTTCCCTGCGGGATACGCCAACAACTGAACCACCTCGGCACGGAGGATGATAGATGGCTGGCGCACACTGAACAACTGGTTGATAAATGCAATGAAGGTGACGAAGAATATGCCAATAACCCAGGCACGGATTGTGCTCACGGGGAGGGTGACGTCATCGTGCGAATCGACAACGGCACGCACCTCGGCGTATGGACTGTTAGTCGTCAAGAGGGAGACTTCAATCTTGACCTCGGAGATCTCGCGAGTATGCGATTCGGGGTTGGAGAAGATATCGTCATTGGCGAGAAAGACTTTGAGACGCTCGATAGCGCCGGCTGGGAAGTTGGGGTCGAGGCCGTGTTGGTGGACGAGTCTTTCGGCGGACTTTATGGTATGTTAGGAACTTACTAGATCGATATGTGCGTAGGGGCATACCTCCTTGGCCTCCTCAAGAGAAATTGTAAGGGAATGTTCTCTGGCTTCGAGGACTTCTTCAGGGGTGGCACTGAGTTGTCTTTATGATGTCAATGGCGATTCCCCCAGAGTCCATTTTCACCTATATCCTACCTTGATATTTCTTCAATGGAAACCTTCTCTTCGATGCTTTCTCCCTACATTGTGTTAGTTCTCAAACAATAAAAAATTGTCTTTCGATTATTTGGGCGTTGTAGTTAGTTACCTTCTGAGCCGTGATGGGATCGACCGTTTCCGCATTCTTCTCGTCCCCGTTTCCCATAACGGTTGGTTATGATGCACAATAATGGGAACTTTTTCAAGACCCTTAGAGTATACACAAAGTAGTACAAGTATCGCGTAAAGACGGGTGAGATGAACAGGGGCAACCTCCATTCCGGATTGAGGCCGGGAACGCCATCTTTATTTGCATCCTGCTGCAGAGAATAACCTTAAATAGGAGGCTGTTGTACCTGCAGAGATTGTGCAAGGAGAATTGGGTCAAAAGTCGCATGTCGCGCGGACGTCCTCCCCACCTTGGCAAAACACTACCAGGCTCTGCAGCATTTCAACCGTTGATGTTTTAGCCTCATTGCTTGGCCAAGCAATCAGACATTGCGTAGGTTTTGGCAAAATACTCTCAGCCCATTCTCGGGCCATGTCAACAATCGCCAATGTGTAAATACAGGTAGACTTACAAATGACGACTTTTCGTCTCAAAGTGTTGACGTCCAATGTTCGGCCATTGGAGAGCAAGTTAGTCTGTGCCCCTCCTAATGTTCCTCCGCATTTCTTGTGCTGACAAACGTCACTATGTACCAGGGATTCTTTGCTTTTTCTGCAGCCTCGCTGTTTTCGAAATAAGGCTTTCCAGCTCGAGAGCCTCACCAATAGTACCAAGTTCGAGACGCCGCATTAGCCACATAAAAGAGATAGGGGAGACGGCATGCCATTCAGTGATAGGGCCATTTGAAGTTTGAAAGCAGCAAGTCCCTTGAAAGCCGCGTAAATGTATATAGACTTAAATACCGATGTAGATTTCGATCGTCAGTTTCGTCTGGCTATCTTCGAAGAAGACAATGTACTGGTGTTGAATAAGGGCGAGATGGGTTCATGGTGAGATATCGCAACTTATATGGACCTTGGTTTAGTGCACTGTATAGAGAACATTTCATTCTGTGCATTGCCACAAACGTTAAGGACTTGGACCACCACTTCCCTACCCAGGGTGTAGCAGTGCTTCTGCTTTCGCAAAGGTGGGAACCAAGAATCGTGAGACAGACACTGAGATGCCAACTGCCATTCCGAAGCCCGAAACCCGTGTGGCGATAAATGCGATAACCAGGAACGTCATCTGTAAATGGTTGATTATTTTTCTTATCGCCTCTTGTAGATTTACCTCAACGTCGAAAACAAGCCAAGTCTCTTGGGCGATGACATTGTTCATGCAGCTCTCCCGCTCGAACTGTCAACGTGCCACTAAACTCTAACTTTATTCAACCACTCTTCGCTGACTATGGCTAGCCAATAAAGCTGCGCCACGTGCATTGACTTAACGCAGTGATCAGCAGAATGTCCGGGTGCAAAGCTCGGTTGCTTTCTATGGCAATGGTTACGATCAAAGCGGAAATTTTGACCATTTTTCCAAACTACAAGACGTACTACTGCATTCTCTGGATTTGATTTGCTATGTTCGACGTAGCTCACAAGGAAAGTGGAAAGGTAAGGATAAGGGTCACACGTCAGCCATAGAGCAGACAGATAAACAAGCCTTACTCAGCAGGCGATCACAACAGTTGTTGGAACACGTCTAAACACTGATACCAGAAGAAGCAATACTGCTTACTCGGTCGCCATCAGGTCAAACTCTCATTGAAAGTTCGACCTCGTTTGTGTAAAGTTTGCAAGTGGGTATCACGCGTCCTTCACTGCCACTGGAGCTTCAGGGGAATCCAAACTTGGGGTTTCTTAATAATCATAATCGTATACATGTCCAGCACTAGCCTCAACAGCCCCTGAGTCGCTCAGCTCATACTGAGCTCTAGCATTGGCCGATTCGAAGCTTATTGACGCGCCACGTTGCCGGAACGTTTGGGAATTAATAGTTATTGTACGTATATGACTTGATAGTAAGCAAAGGGCGTCGTAAAGTCACCAATGCTGCTGCGATAACTATGTATATACATCCCTATTGAAAAGTGAATCCCAGCACGAAACAGAAGATTGCGCGTAACAGGTGGGTATTCATAAGCAAGCAAACCTGAACTTGTGCGAGGTAAGCTAGCGATTCGTAGCTTTCACGCTCCAATTTGTTCAAACTTGCACCCAATGCCACGTCACTCGCAGCCACTTTTCATGCTCTAACAAATATATTTGACACATGGTCTATACAAAAATCAAGTTATAGGTAACTATACATGGCTGATACTATTATGAAGCAGCGCTGGCTAGCTCAGATATGTGACTTGGCGCCGAAAGAACACCCCTGGTTGTCCATTTGATTCGCATGCTGGTTGACGCGCCATCTTTTTGCCTGGTGATAGAGGCTTACCTCCTTAAGATTCAGTATACTTTCTACGTTCTTGGTTGGGAATCAATGGATAGACGCCGTTCTATTTCCAGGTCAGGCTTAGTTGATGGACGCCGCGATCGAAACACCGCCGTCAGCCACGAGAAAAGAAAGGCGGTGCTGGATCTTGCCCACTTGTCGAAAACGGGTATAAAAGCCGACGGTCCTTCTGTCAGGCGTAATGATTGAGAAAACAGCATCACAAACACAAACACTACAATAACCACTTCTTTCAACAATTATCAATTCACATCATTCATCAACGTGACAATATGCAAGGAATTACATGGACACATGCTCTTTTGGGGTTGATCTTCATGGAATCTCTAGGCTTAGCACTTGTGCTACCTGACGGAGCTGTGGCGAAGCGCTCGAATGATGTTTCTGCGAAAATCCGACGCGAAAGTCTGGCCCTTGATGAGACTCTTCGTATCCGAGATGATCACGATGATGGCGATGATTCTGGCGATGATTACTGTTAGTATTACAGCATGGAATCTGGCTCTCGGCTTCTTGATTAGCAGGCTGATGTTTGGTAACTAGATTGGCGTCGATCGCAGGACCCCGGACCACCGCCACCTCGGCCTGATAACAATGACAGTGAGCAATGCCACGCCATAAGACAATCCGCTTAGGACAAACAAGCTAATTCTTGCGCTTCAGATGGGCCTCGAAAGCGGTCGCAAGGGCCAGACTCCCCGCCGCCTCGGCCAGATGGCGGTAACAGTGAGTTCAAGTCGAAAAATATTGGCGTGCCAAGATCAACACACTAATACTTTCCACTAGGTGGTCCAAGGCGACGACAGGGCCCCGGTCCCCCGCCCCCTCGCCCAGATAATGGTGATAGTAAGTACAAATCTAATACATGGCTGTCTGGTTCGACTCAAGCAGGCTGACTTTCAGAAGGGCCCAGACAGCGGCGGCAAGACCGGCCAACTCGTCCAGATAATGGCAACAGTAAGCACAGGATAATCAATGAATGTGTTCCAAATCAAGCAGACTGATGTATCTTCATTAGATGGACCCCGACCACGACCAAATGATCCCAACCCCCCTCAGCCACCTCGTCGGCGAGACAACGGTTTGCACAGTGGTAGGTTCTTAGAAATCAAGCCAACAAGAGAAAATCCCAATAATATTCAATTAGTATCACAACAGAAGCAGACACCGCCCAAGGGTCCTGGGGGTTCGCCTGGCCGACCTGACTCTGGTCCTGGGCCTGACCAGCCCGATAATGGTCCGAAGCCACTGAGAGCCGTAGACCGCGAGTGAAATCGTAAGAAAACCTTGCGGTCGTACAGCGTGGTTCTCTGAGGACTACCAAATCAACAAACCATATGGATTTCGCCAGGAATGACGTGCGCAAAGTATGAGTGACCTGTTGTTGGGTTGACTGAACAGCGAGCCAGTCTTTCTTTCAGATACGATGAATCAGGTCAATTCCAAAGTTTCATGGTATTATTGTTGAACTATGGAAATTGACCAAATCAAGCCGATATATCAAGGCTTATCAAAAGAGATTCTATGAAAGAAGGAAATTCGGGGTTGTAATCTACTCTCGTTTAGTTGTCTTGCTTTTAATTGCGAATTCACACTCTCGTTTCCCCTTTCAGATCACCAAGATCTTCATGGAGAAATAAAAGGAAGAAGCACCTTAGTAGTATCTTGTTTGAAATTCGGCTCTTTGAGCCAGTTCCTCGTCCGGTATTGAATTGGATGTAGGATGCCCGCCACGCCGGTGCTAGGTAATGGCCAATGAGAAACTTTGGAGAATGGCTTGGCCACCGAGCCTTACTGAGGATCAGGGTCTTCAGAGACTTCATAATCAAGTGATTATACCATATTTAAGACGACATTTAATCAGCAGAAGAATGCCAGGTACAATTTTGGTCAGACAAGGTATATATTATGCAAGGTAAGCGTTTGTAATCATATACCAGTACTCAGGGTCGGAACAGCAATCTCAAACAAGTCATCAAGGACAGACTGTGAGCAAGAATGAATTATTCTGACATCCTTGTCTAATTGGGGTCAATTACACAATGGCATTATTTACTTGGCGACCAACAGTAAATCTTGTATGTTCTGACAGAGTGAATCCGCAGTTCTGCATCAGCCCCTCACGGCAGCCAAGCTTCGACGACGTGGTATTGTAAGATGTGTCAAGGTGACTTAGTCGAAATGTGCTGCTTATGAGGATGGATGATTCGTATTGACAAAAAGTTCTATGCATCTTGCATTTATCGATTATTTATCGGGAGATAATGGTCTAAATTTGCTCATGCGCTTCAATAATATGATCTAATTCTTTCCTACGAGTATAAATCTTAAACACCGACAAACAACTTGTTGTATGTAATCCACAACGTTGCAATATATACGTTATCTTGCTCATCCATCGTCTTTTACTGGCATTGAATTCATGCGACTGTAAGCAAGTTTTTCCCTTTCCACTATCCCACGTAGAGGTATGATGAGAAAATGTTTTGCCGAACGGAATTGCCCGGGTGTTAGTACTCAGGGCCATAAAGACCGCCACAGTCGACATCGCCTGAACTCTGCCTTACTCTTACTTTTCACCTTCTTTCATTGACGTACAAAATGCTAATAACAACTGGGCTGTTTTACACGAAACCTGGCACAACAGTTTACCTCTGCCATATTTCAATTTTCCGGATGTTCGGCATCCCCAGAGCTTAAGGTTAAGGATTCAAAACTGTCCCTCCCCTTGACGAACACAGTTTCAAATGGCAACCCAGACTCTGCTCTCAAGACACCGTACATGGACGAGGAATCAAGCTGCCTTCTCTCAGTGTCTGAGAACCTTTTTGCCTCTCTAAGGTGTTGCAAAACGACCGCTCCCACTTTCAGTTGTGCACCAGCCTTCTCTGCGCAGTCAATGCCGTGGCTGACGTCTTTCAAAGCCAGTGTCAAGTCCGACATGGGTCTTTCGCCTCGCGGTGGCATGTAGGCCCCCGCTGTCATCCGTTTTGATATCGATAGAGCCAGTGGTCCGTATTGCTGCCCAATAAGCGTTTCCATCGCCTCAGTGCCCAGTCCCGTCTTTTCGGCAAAGACGTGGGCTTCAGCGACGAGTTCCATCATCCCTGCGGTCATGAAGTTTCTGGGATAGGTAAGTATTGTATTCGTCCTCCAGTTCATAGGCCAACTTTGCTGTACTTACCCGGCCGTCTTCATCATACTAGACTGCTGTACATCTTCGCCGAGCCGAATGACACCCCTTCCCATGACGCCCACGATGAAGGGGTCAATCCTATCCACGGCGTCGCGAGGCCCTGCGATGATCCATAACAGCTTTCCTGCCGCAGCCACAGGACTTGCGCCAAATACAGGAGCTGCGACAAACTTTGCGTTTCTGTCTGCCAGACGATCTCTCGCTGTTGCCGACGAGGATGGGTGGACGGTGGATGTGTCCACAATGACTTTGCCCGTCAAGTTGATTGGTGCGGGCATTTCGAGTAATGCATCTAGAGTTGCCTCGAGCGCCGCATCATCGCTGAGGGACATGAAGATTATATCAGTATTATTGACAAGATCCTTGGCATTGGAACGTGCCAGCCCTCCGATCTCTGAAAGGGGGGCGCCGCGTGATAATGTCCTATTGTAGTACTGCAGATTCGGGGCACTGAGTTTGACGAGGTGTTTCTGCAGGTTGCTTGCCATGCCAAGACCCATTGATCCTAGACCTATCATAGTCTTCAGCAAGAGCGTTGAGGCTTAGTATTGAATAGCTGGTTGTTCTTTACCAATCCACCCTAGTCGCGGGTGCGGGGTCAATGGACCCGATGGTGCTGAGAGGCCTGTTTCCATGGTTGCTTATGGGCGGTTATTGATTGCTGGCCTAATGGTGTGACAGTGGTCTGAATGTGTGAGGTGAAGCTTTTCTTATGCAGATGAGGGTACACAATATTTGTAGGAGGAGAGGGTTCGGAGTGGTGAACCTGATGAGTCAAAGGTTCGGCCAACTGATAATGGCTTGCCGCACGCCCCATTTTTTCGGTTATTCATCCGCCGGTGTTAGCATCCGAAATCTGACCAAAGCCAGAGCCGACGTTGTCTCATCCGCAGGCTGGAACACGGGTTTGCATTTTCGTAATTCGTGGACTATCTCACAGCTGACTTTATCCGCAGAAGATAAACCAAGAAGTTAGACAACGGGAAAGAATTGATACTGTCGCCATTCTGTCATCGAGTGTAGGTCTCTTGATGGGTATATCTATATTACCTCATTTGATTTGCAGAACACACCGCATGTCATACAAGGAGGCGTATAGTATATTTTGTCTAATGTAGTTGCCAGCGCTATTTACTGGAGGCGGGGAAATTACGTCGTGACTAACGGCTTGGACATGCTCAATGCAGTACCATTATAAGGATGATGGAGCTCCCAGTCATCAACAACGTCATCATCATAGTCACCGATGACAACGGGAGGGATTTTGTCTATGACATCGTCTAGGCCTATCTGGTGACCAGACAATCCTACTCTGCAACTAACGAGGAAGCCAAGTTGGGCTTGACCATTAGCACAGACAAAATTGAGACAGTGGTTAGACGGATCGCTGTCTACCATCGCTAGTTCACCAGACCCGGATGCAATATGAATAGCTAGACACCCATTTTCTAAAAGGCCGACGTCATGGCCAGGGGTAAGGAGTCTATGGACTTCGACTAAGTGCTCATCGAAATTGACCTACTCTAGGACAATGAACTCATTCTCCTAACCGACATGGGAGGAGCGTAAGTCGCGGGACCTGAGATGCCAGTATTGTAACGACACGAACGGCATCGGAATGGCCAAACGCGGGCACAACAGAGGAAGCTGGATGGTCTTTTCAACATACGGGAATAGACATCAGCTGCAGTGACGAACCCGACCTAAATCAAACATCATGAGACCGTAATCAAAGCAAGAAGCATAACAGTAACCGGAATAACAACGCCACTAGTAGCTGCAGTGACGTGAAGGTCAGACATAATTTCGATTCGAGGCCGAACCATACTGATCCTCCCAGTTGGCAGATATGAGGTCCATGGTGCCAGATTTGCATTGTAACAAGAATTATTACTTCGCATTTTCGCAGCGAGCCGAGCGATTCTCTCATGATGGATTTACTTCAAGTACGATCAAGAAAAACAGAAGTCATAATGTTGTACAGCAGCTTCAGCTACAGAGGGAAATCATGCGAATTACGATGATAGGTTATACAAAGCTGACCCTGGTTCGCTGAGAAGGTCTTGGCCTCCTAAGCGACAGACTCGAGTCCTATGAGGAGTAGGTCGATGGTCAAACTCTCATCTAAACGGCGGAAGGGGGACAACATCTCGTTTTAACTCGAGAGCATCCCAACCCAGCCGAGCTAAATATCAGTAGTCCGCAACCCATAACAGCTCCTAGACACGCTGGTTTTCTTCGACCGGTTTTCTGAATTAGCAAAGGATCGGCCCGTAGTCCCGAGTTACCCGACCACTATCCGTACAGTATTAAGGGGTGCACGACCCCAACGTTATTAGGCGGATACCCTTGTTGCCTGGGCACAAACAAATACTAGCCAAGGTACGGAGTGCTCCGTACTTAAGACACCTTTTTTCCGGTATCGGATGAGAGCGGAACGGTGGGTAACCGAGGTCGATACGCCCATCATACAGTATCGTAACGCTCTTCAACACTTCGGGGGTTGGGTGTCATTCGGTTTCGGCGGCTGTAGGGCTGGCTGGAGGCTAGCCGCGAGTCTGATGACCCATTTGCCCACAGAAGAGTAACACAATGCCGTGATGAACCAACGCCGACGTAACAGTGGTTGTTCGATTGTGCATGACCGAGCTTACTGACTTGCTCCCACTTTCCGCTGCACCTCCCCCTGTTGGTAGGTGAATGGATGAAAATTTCTCTGACAAGGGTCTCGACGTGGCGTAGCCCAATAGTATGGCTTCGGCACCGATCCGGGGCGTCCCCCCAGTGGATCTTCATTTGATGTTCCCTGTCCATCCCTTGGAGGTTGAATCGCGTCTGTGCCGAGTACCAAAGTCCAAAACGAGGCGACTGGATATCCCGCATGAACAGTTGAACATTTTAAGTGTCAACATTCTCAGGAACTCGTATACAGTACTCCGTACTTGCGGGCCTCTACTCCCTCCCCTACCGCTGTCATGGAAATTACACCTTCCGGATCTGAGAGAGGTAGTGACAGCAGTTCCTCCAAACCACGGCTTGCTCAATGCAGTCAGCTCTTTTTTACATGCTTTCGTCAGTACAGTGAGTGGTTTATTGGATCGTGGAGGAGACACAGGTTTGCAAGGAAAACTGCCATTCTTTTCTCCACAGAGCCTTGCATCTTCCCTCGAACTCTGGGAAGTCTCCTCAGGTAGATGACAAATCCTCGCACGTTTCCGTCTCCAACCAATAGCTACGTGAAGTGCCTCCTGTTGGGTCCTGGTCCTGGTACCGCTCCCGTTAATGAGCGGATAGCTCTGCAGATCGGGGCCATTATGGCGGGGAGGACACTGATTGTAACTTCACCATGTCCTGGTCAGAGACAGGGAGGAGGCCAATGCAACAACGCCATTTCCCTTGTTGGTACGGAGTACTCCTGCTGAGGGCACCAGAGTTTAATATTAATTTCTGCTTCAGTCGCCCCGTTAGCTCGCAAACCTTACACATTGCATCTTCATACTAGAGACGGCACACTTCCATTTTTTGTTTTCTTTTACTTTTCCTCTCCCCTCTTTCCCCATCCTGCATAACGACTAGCGCAATGCTAGACGTAGTCATCATCGGAGCCGGTCTCGCCGGCCTTTCGGCCAGCATCTCCCTCCGCCGCGCGGGCCATAAGGTGCGAATCTATGAGGGATCCTCCTTCGAACAAGAGATTGGTGCCGCCCTCAATATCACCCCGAATACGGCAAGGTTCCTCATGCGATGGGGTCTCGATCCAAAGGCGTCCGACTTTGTCAAGGCAGGCACCATTCTCACGCAGGATGCCGTGACGATGGAGATCACATCGACCGAGTCTCATGCTGACAATGAAGATCTCTATGACGCCAACTTGTGGTATGCTCATCGTGTGGACCTGCATAGTACCCTCAGGAAGATGGCGACCGGTTCCACAGGCCCGGGTGTCCCCGTGGTCATCCATCTCAACTCGTCGGTTGCTAGATACGTGGGTGCTGCCCTTCGTAACATAAGTACTCTTGTCTTGGCTAATGCACTGCAGGACCCTGACTTGCCGGCTGCGTACCTGGAAAATGGCGAGGAGATTCGCGCTGACTTGATCGTGGGCGCGGATGGCATCCGCTCTATCGCACGTCAGGTAGTTTTTGGCCGCGAGAACCCACCCGTGCCGCCTACATGCCACAACATGTTTTATCGATTCCTGATCCCGGCGGAAGCCCTGGAAGAGGACCCCGAGACCAAGTTCTGGACCGAGGAGAACGTGGATGGTCTCATCCGTATAATGCTCGACGAAAGGTCCAACAGGACGCTGACAACATATCCATGTCGCAAGTACGTACCGAGAGCCACACTAGAAGCAATACCCAGCTGATGAAATAGCAACACCATCCACAACTTTATGGGCTACACCTGGGAGAATAATATCGATCCAGCTGCCCGCGAAGGTTCGTCGCTCCTCGTAGCCAGCTGGAAATAACGTCCCACTAATGTTGCGTTTATAGACTTCGAGGCTAAGCTCGATAAGGCGCAGCTTGTCGAGAAGTTTTCTGGCTTGCATCCAAGCCTGATGGCAGTAATCAAGTACGTCCCCTGTAGCATCGTGGGACAAATACCTTTGTCTAACATCCGCCACAGCAAGGCAACCGATGTCCGGCGATGGCCTTTGTGGTACCACCCTCCGGCGCCAACATGGCGCAAGGGCAAAATGGTCTTGGCTGGCGACGCCGCCCATCCAGTTTTGCCTCGTAAGTGATACATCAGCGAATCTATCTGTCATCGGCCAGGAGGTCATTTCCGGGCGTCGACTGACTTCTATCATATAGAACAGGGCCAAGGTGGTGCTATGGCTCTTGAAGATGGGCTCGCATTGGGCATCGTGATGTCTGGCGCTACTGATGCCTCGGATGTCGAAAAGCTGCTGGAGATGTACGAAAAAATCCGCAGAAACCGTGCCAGTGCGATCCAGATACTGAGCAACGTCGGAAAAGACGGGTTACTTTACGACGAAAACGAACTTTCAAAGTTCATGTCCAAGGAGCACATCCCCAGTACGACGCGTTCAAGCCCCCCTCCGAAGACCCCTTTAGCTAACATTTCAGCAGAAACACTCAAAGAATTCTACACTTACGACTTCGAATATGACGTTGCGGATGAAGCCATCAAGACGATGGAGGAGTTTGACCCGTCGTTCCATGTTCCCCATGACTTCTTCGAGGACGACTCCTTTAACATGAGTCTTATTAGCGAAGAGCTGTCTAAGATGTGTGGATTCATCACAGTCGAGACGTGTATCAGTGTCGAGACTGAGGAGACAATATTGTGATTTTGCTATATCATTTGAAGTAAAGCGTAAGGAGGGCATCAAGGCAGGACAAAAACCACGTACACACCATTTTATATTGTGTGGTGCCTTGAATGCACAGAACTGATACGTACTTAATCATCTATAAATAGAATGCAACGACAATAGGGAGTTCGTTAGAAGATGATAAGGGGCAAAGAAATGTTTGATTGATATTGTGACTACCCTCAGAATACGACACAAAGGCAGTTGTTCAAAATTGCATTGTTACCTGGGTACTAAACGGGGAGCTTATCAGGCTCTACTATTTCCTGACCACCTCTTCGGTTTTCTCCAAAGACGTCCATCACCACTTGGAATAAGAGATCGGGTTGAAACTTCACGAAGCTAGAGAGTTAATGGCAACACTTGACCGCGCCATCCACAACAAGCAGCTTGGCATTCCATTAGTAGTTTGAGGGAACTTCAAAGATCGGAGCCATTTATTAAAAGCAATGGGTGGCTTCTTTACGGAACGAGCAAGTTCTCAAGCGAGCGTCACTACATACCTCCAAGGCCTAGCAAAGATCGTATCAACAGTTTATATAACTGGGACATTGAAACCCCAGTATTCTAATTCCTCTTCAGTCTTCTTTCACGCGACTAGTCGTCTTGTATTATGAGTATCAGGTCCTTAGAGTGCCCTTGTTGTCGATGGAGTGGTCCGCAGAGTTGGCACCTTCGGCGGTTTCGCTATCACGGGTGGCGTTCATCTGGGTCTCCTTTTCGATCTGCTGGATGTTGAGCTGAACAACGTTGGCATCTGGACCATCAATAACCTTGACTAGCTCTTCCAAGGTTGGCCCCTTTGTCTCAACGTATTTGAAGTACACGAAGCAAAGCTCCAAGAAGATCCAGCACTGTATTGCATTATTAGCTTTGAGGACCTCAGAAGATGTTTCTGGACGTAGCATACGGTATAGATAAGGTACAGCTTCCAGGTCTCCCCCTCAAAGAAGTCGAGGGCCACAGGGTTGGCGTAATTGTTGAGAGTGAGCGCTGACTGGATAGCAATGTTAAGAATCATGAGACCCTTGGCTCGCAACTGGTAAGGGAGGATTTCCACGGCGTATCCAATCAACAAACCGGACCACGCAATTGCATATGCAACGTTGAAGACCCAGATGAAGAAGATCATCGCATGGTTCGCACCTGGAGATCCGTACTCTTCGTAGAGCGCGCAGGTCAAAGTCCAGAAAACGAAGGTGCCAAACATGCCCCCGGTCGAAGTGAGGAAAGTGGGACGGCGACCGAACTTGTCAACCATGAGGGCGAAAGTTATCGATACAATAAGTGATACCATAGACGAACCAGCAGAGAGCTACGGTGAGAGCAGTCCTGTCAGCGAAAGGTACATGGTGAGTATGATTCTAGGAGCAGAACACTTACGCCAAGTTTAGCCGTCGAATCTGTGACTCCCGCATTGTCGTACAGGATGTTGGTGTAATTGGATATGATGGCGTTTCCAGACCACTGAGAAAAGATTCCCAAAGAAATCAAAATCATCAGTCTGTAACGGTTGCCGGGGCTTCGAAAGAAATCAAGGTAGCTGCTGTGCTCCTTGGCCAACCGCTCCAACCTGATCGTGTCTCTGATTTCGCGGTACTCAAACTTGACGGTAGGGTGTTCAGCATTTCCGTTGGCGTGATACTTGGCGAGAATCTCAAGTGCCTCATCAAGTCTGTCATTTGCAATCAGGTATCTTGGCGACTCGGGCACCCCTAGTACCAAGTGAGTTAACATGTCCAGTCCAACTAGTCTTTTCGAGATTTCTCACAGTAAATTCCAACGATCTGGACGACTGAGGGAAGAGCCTGCAGGATAGCAGGGATGCGCCAAGACCAATGGGAATTCATAAAGTTGGTGCCAAAGCAAACCCACGCAACAGCTGCAACCGAGATGAGCATATAGTCAAGTCAAGATATTGATTAGAACATCGGCCCGACTTACTGAGAGATCCTACATTCCAAAGGCAGTTATAAACCTTTTCGATGTTAGATGTGTTATCACCCCTAACGAAGTCTTGACCAATCGGGTTTTGATGTCGATTGATTTGGATGAAAATCGATGGCAGGTGTTGGTAAAGGTATATCGGGGATGTGTAAGACATGAAATAATCTGAAGTTCAAATTTCACAAATTTTAAAGCAGAAAGATACGCACAGTAGTAAGCCTAGCACGATGCTGAGGGTGACAAATCTCGGTGAGCAGCATGGGCGAAGCCATCTGAGAAAATGAGTTACCGAACCCTAGCAGCACACGACCGCCCATGAATCCTATCGTGATGTCAGTTGCCTAAACAGCAAATATTGTGGGACGACTGAGGAACTGACCACCCAAATTCTGGCAGCATCCTTGAAGCAAAGCACCGGCAATGGTGATTACGCCTCCGATGACGATGGGGAGCCGTCTACCAAAGTGATCGGTAAAGTAAGGGCTGCAAACCAAGAAATGAGCACATTTACCACCTCATGATCATGGAAAAGCTTACACAATGGGAATGGAGCCAAGACTTCCAATCTGGTAGAGTGCAGCGAGAAGTCCCAAAAGGTGGTCAGTAGGATGGTCGAAGTAATCCTTCCACGAATCGAAATTCTGGACCGAGTTAAAAAACATGCCGTCGTAGCCAGTGCTAGCGGAGCCAACACAAAGAATGAAGGCATGCCAGTAAAGCTTCCGCAGACCAGGGTCCTGGTACCAGGTGACATGCTCGAAGTCAGGAGCTTCCTCTTGAGCATGGATAGTCGCCTCTTGGTTGGGCTTCGAATCCTTGAGCTTCGAGAACATCATGACGCCCAAGAGTGAAAAAGGTTTCAATGAGTGTTAAAGTATGAACTTCGAAGGGACTTGGAAGCAGTAAAGCGCTTCCAGCTTGCGGAAACATAAGTTCTGGAAACCAACACTCCGCTCAAAGAATCGTAAAAGGGGATCCCCACCTCTTATATCCAGGAAAGGCCTGGTGCGGTAATCCAACTCCGGATCACCGGGCGACTTTACCGTCCTCTATTTCTTAGGAGTTAAATTCTAGTCACATGGGGAACGCCCTGAGTCTTGGATTCGGAAAGGTGATCAATATTACCCGTTAGCACCAAGCGAGTCGGGTTAGCTGATACATGCAATCTAGTTTGCGATTCCAAGCCGGTCCAAGCCCGGCCATGGAAGTGTCCAAGACGCACCCCAGACTAATCTGGAGACGGTGGATCGCAGGCAACCATACACAGACGTCCTTTGCGTGACAAGGCTGGCCACTGTCGAATCGTAGCTGCTGAAGGATTTAGCCGGAATGGTCTTGGACTGTGGAGCGCCATGAGGCCAAGGCTGAGCTCTACAACTTCTCGTTGGGGCACCGAGACTATGCCCAGGCTGCCAAGCGGTTCTTGTGGAACCAGACCACAACACAGGCTGGAGACCCGAAGCGGCAGCATAGGGACACATGTTATATCGACCGCCGAACCAGGGCCTTCTTATGACGCCCGGGATTAGACAGATCATCCGCCGCCTGCAGGAAAGTTAAGCGAGGTGAGCATGGCGAGTAGCGTGCTTGTCCAGTGCATACATAGTGGACTAGAAACATCGTAACGGAATATGTTCCCGGTACGTGTTGGTTGCCTATGATAATACTACGCGACTCAGCCAATGTGAGGCGGCTACCGACAAAGTGTAGCAGTATCGATCTAAGCTACTTTGAGACTTGGCTGCGTATCCTCTACTACATCATTCTGATTCTATGTCATCATGCTGACCTTCTGGACTTTGATAGCTCATGTTTCCATGGTTCTCCTATAGTAATTCTCACTCCCATCATTTTGCCCCCATATTCTCTTTCTTTCTTCCTATATCTTGACTTTTGTGGTATACCCTCTCCTTCTCGAGTGGCCGTGACTGTCATGATCCATTAGACGATCGGCGGAATGGATCGATATAAACTTCACCCTGCGCACTCAAGGAACAGCTATTTTGCTAGAATTCCAGTTCATCATTATCAACACCAGTGTCAAGAAAGCACGGCAGCCAGGCCATACAGTACTGCGTTTACTTTTCCAATCATCAAAAACTATCGTCTGTCAGCTAACCATATATGAAATGATTCTATATGATCAGATCTCATGCTCTCGACTCGTTCCATGCCCAGGTCATTTCATCTTCACGACATGTCTCAAAGCCTGAAATAGGTGCAAGTTCCGACCCACAAGGCTCGGCAACTCAAATCCGCAACCAGGTTCCAGACCAAAAAGATTTTCAGTGTAATGCCGTACTGCCGCGACATAGTGTCATAGTTATGGCCTCCCGCTCTCAACCAAAACACAACGTCTCGTTTAAGTCGCTTAACGCTTGCTTGGCGTTTGAACTTTAGCTTTTTTGCTCAAATGACATCAAGAGTCTGGCTGTCGGCTATTATTATGCCGACTTATCGGGTAGAGCCCCTCATATTAATCTCGTGAACTTCATCGTGAGCGTTCACTGCCTGTTGCATGTGAATGTGGCATGAGGGCCCGTGACAAGATGACTGTAAGGGCTGAGTAGGGTAAGAAACATTGGCAACACAACGAAAGATGGCGAGAACAAGACACTTAACCTCTTGTCGTTGTAATAGAATATCAACAATAATAAATACATTGATCAGCGGTCATAGTAACCAGTCTCCAGTCCAGTTCTAACACCTAGGCCGAAGTGAAGTTAGAGTCCAGCGATATACCAACAAAGAGCTGCCAACTCCAATAGCCAGAAATTCAGTTTAAGCAGGCAATAACCATGCCAAGGGATTACTGGAAAATACTCTTCTCCGGAAGGTGTACTTCAAACAGAGACCCAACTTGACCGCCCACTTCCATTAGAATTATGTTTGAGCTGAGAGTCGACCAAGATTACTTAACTTCAGAACCAAAGTATGAAATACGCATAGTCCAGTTTCTTTGCATTCGTAACTACAGCTGCATCTTCCCTTAGACACTTCCGATGCTGACAATCAATCATAAGCAGCATACATGTATCAACACTTCACTGCGACTCAGATTGAGTGTCTCCTTTCCACTTTTTGAATCGGCGAGCGGGCAGTCTCAAGTTAAACATGTGGTCAATCTCCAACACACTTCTTCCCTTCATCTCAGGCAAAAAGAACCAGGAGAGCGCTATTTCAAGAGCACACAGCGCGACATAAAGGAAACTCGTCTTGGCTCCCAGATGGGCAGCGTCGGGGTTGTAGGCGTAAGGAAGCAGGAGGTTCATCAGCACCGAAGACCCTTGCTGGGCTACACCGCCGATGCCTTGTGTCTTGGCTCGTAACCTCAAAGAACTCGTCTCGCCCATGATGGCGTACGATGCTGGCCACACGCCCATGCCGCAAACAATTATTACGAGAATGCACCCCGCGGCCGTGAAGTAGGCGACCGCCGGGCCTTGCCAGATACCGGAAATACCGACAGCCGCCCAGAGCAAGGTTGATATCGATAAGGATATCAGGATCACCATTTCTCTGGCCGACACGGGACAAAATCCACACACCAAGCCCGTTGGCAAATGTACCAACCACGATACCGCCGATGAGAATCATGAGACTGATGCGGGACTTCATGCCGATGGTCTGCAGGAAATAACTTGACTTGGCGATGAGGTCAAGACCGAACAAAGCCGTAAAGAGGTTTGCAATGATGACAACCATTGTTCTCCGGAGGTTTGTACCTTTGAAGCAGGTGAAATAACTGGCTCCAGCAGTCATCTCCTTCTCCTCGATGATGCTGGCGCGAAGTCTCCGCAGAACTTTCATCGGATCGACGCGAGGCGCATACAGCCTTTCTGAGGCCTTGGTCGCCTTGTCAGGCTTACCGCGCTCTTCGAGATACGCAGGGCTTTCGGAGATGATGAGGGACAGGATGAACGGGACGACAGCGAGGATCCACTGAGAGCCGAAGGAGGCAAGATAGCCAGCCTTCGTCGGCACGTCATTGACGAGGAATACCACGATAGAGCCGAGAAGCTGGCCGATAAGGTTGCCTGTCGGTACCAGTCCCATTGCCGAGCCCCGCAGGGCGGTCGGCGCCGTCTCGGAGATGTAGGTCATGGCGGTGACCTTGAGGACGCCAATGGATAGGCCTTGCACAGTCTTGCCAACGAAGAACATGGCGCGCTTTGCGTTCATATCCGCAGGCAGGTGCGAGAAGAAGATACCGCCGACCCCAAGGGCGCAAATGATTGCGCCCGTCCGCAGACTCCATATACGCCCAACACGATCCTGGTACCATCCTGCAAAAACGGAGCCGAAGACCATGCCCAGCGGAATGGATGCGGACCACAGCGAGACCCAAAGCGATGGAATGATAATCTTGCCGTCGTACATCTCGCCGTAGTCTCTCTGGAACGGCTCGACGGCGATGATGGAGCCAACTATCACGAGGGCGTAACCCCAGCCAACGATGACGACGGTCAGGGACACACAGTACGCCACAACTCTGGGGTCCTGCCGGATGGCTTGGCCTAGCGGCAGATTGTCCTCGCCTGTGTCATGGCTGACAGACTCGCTGGTTGTAGGCTTGGTTAGGATGGACATCGATTCGATTCGCTTTCTTCCGGGGTCAGATAGTCTTGAGGTCGGAACCCAATTCTGTTTGGTATCCGGAGTGTGCGGAATATCTTTACCGTGTTCTGTGAATTCGATGTTGTCGGTCGTGATCGAGTCCTTGTCGTCAGGGCACGTTTTGACACGAGATGGGCTCATCGTTTAGTTGGGAATTGGGTAACAAAGCTGATTGGGGTGTGATAGAACCGTGAATAGCTCAATGCGGGTAAAATTAAACGCCCTCTTTTTTCTTTGATGATTTATAGCTAATATGGGTGGGATTGGGGTGACCCTCAAAGAGCTCTGGCTGCCATCTGGTTATCAAGAATATTCATTTGAAATCCCGGAGAGATCGCGAGCTTCTTAAGGATCATGATTTCTATTTCTCTTGCATGCTACAAATATTAATGCAACCATGCTTCAGCAATAAATCAGTCGGATTGAGAGTGCCATTGGATGGGATATGAGATACCAAGGCGCAGCACTGGGAAGCGACAAACAAACATCTCGAGAAATGGCGCAAATAGACACGCATATGCAGCTAATCAGCTTGCGACGCTTTTGTGCACAATTTCCTACGGAAGACTAGATGTGTTTTGCTGGTGGTCGTGGTCCATGTCGGAAAATAAGTTGCTTCAAAGAATACGTACGTGGTGGAAGAGGACGACGTAATGGCTCAATGCCCGTTCCGTTGCCGTCGTTGGCTCATTGTATCTCTCTTACGCGTTGACCACGAAAATAAGCATCTGTGGGAACGGGAACGGGATGAGAGACGGACTTTGGACATCTTAACGGTCGAGTTTGACGTTCCTCGCTCCTACGGCTGACGTTGCATGCCACTCCAATTGGAAGCTCGCCGTGACCGTTCCTACGGACACGGACACGGACTCATGGTCTAAGCCTCATATCATTCGATCACAGTCTCCAAACGTTGTCTCCCAACAGTTGCGTCTTTAAGAAATGTTTCTCTAGGTACGCGAGGTAACACACAATGTACAGAGTCGTTCAAGGCCATTGAGGACAGTGCATCCCCCAGCAGTACTCACGGAGGACAACCAACACATCGGTCGGAGAAAGCCTCAAGAGATGCGGATGGATTTTACTGCTTTATGCCTAATATTCCTGTTCTATGTGACACAGTTTGGTAGTTGGTTCAGGCCAGCCGCTGTTTAAAGATAGACAACGTCACAACCTCCCTTCTTCAGCCTGGTTGAACATCGACATCTTAAGCACCAGACTACGGATTGCACCGTGACAAGAATCCATGCAAGAAACGGAAAGAAACTTTCAAGCCCGATCATTTGTGAAGCCGAACAACACACCATGGATTCTAGGCTGGCTTGCCACATCGTGACCCCGGTTGGCTGCATGGGCTACGGGTTCGACGAGAACCTTGTGGCCCAAGAGCTGACAAGGCTCGCCCCCAGCAAGATTCCAACCGCCATCATTCTCGACGCAGGCTCGACCGACAGTGGCCCCGAAAAGCTGGCTCTTGGAACCACGACTTGCCCGCGCTCGGCCTATGTTAAGGATCTTAGCAAGTTGTTGAGACTGGTGCATAACTTTCGAGTTCCGTTGATCTTTAGCTCTGCCGAAGGGGACGGAGCCGATGAACATGTGAGGTTGATGGAGGAGATTATCGAAGAAATATCCGCAAAAGAGACGAACCAGTAAGTCCAACTCTTAACTTCCGGAGCAGCCACTTAGTATCCGAATAGGCACTACTCATTCAAGACCATCTCCCTCTTCTCGGTCATCGACAAGTCTGTGATCCTCGAGCGGCTCAACGCCGGTCGCATCAGCGGGTGCGGAGCGTGCGTTCCAGAATTGACTGCGAAAGACGTAACCGAATCCCTCCTTGTTCTTGCGCAGATCGGACCGGAACCCTTTATCGTCGCTATGGAGGCCACGCCGGACTTCAACGTGATCATCGGCGGTCGGGCATACGACCCTGCCCCTTATGTCGCCTTCTCGATGTACCAGCTCAAATTGCAGCACCCAGATATTGGCCCCGAGCAGCTAGAATCATGCCACGGGGGACTCCTGCATATGGGCAAGATCATGGGATGCGGCGGGCTGTGCTCGACGCCCAAGTCCCACGGAGCAATTGCCACTGTCTACATAGATAGGACTTTTGACGGAAAACCAATAGCCCCTGGTTCGCGTTGAACACCTTTGTCCGTCGCTGCGCACTCGCTATACGAGAACACGCGGCCTGATGTCCTGCGAGGTCCTGGGGGTGCGCTTCATCTGGACCAGGCCCACTACAAGCAGCTCGAAGATGAACGGACAGTTCGTGTCCACGGTGGGAGGTTTGTATCTTCGGCTTCCCACGGCCAGCCGTATCAGCTCAAATTGGAGGCTGCGCGGGTTCTGGGTTACCGATCCATCACCATGGGCAGCATGCGAGATCGTAAGTCAATACCCCCGCTCTTGATTATCTCGTGTAATTCCATCGTCTTTGATTAACGGATAATCGTGACGTAGACATTCTTGTTCAGCAGTTAGACAACTTCCTCGTCTCGGTCAAAGCATATGTCAAACAACAGCATCCGGGTATACCCGGAGACTGGGACCTTGGCTTTCACGTTTACGGCAAGGGACAGAGCACGCCCACAGGTCCGGGCGAGGTGTTCATCGTCGCGGAAGCTGTCGCACCAACTGAACAACTCGCAACGGCCCTTGTAGTTAGTATCACAGTCCAGGTGAAGCTCGTTGGGGTCGCTAACAAGCATGACAGCACGGGCCCTACCCGGGTCAGAAAGCAACTTCGGGCAACTTTGCGTTCGGCCTAGCCGGGAAGCTGGAGATCGAGACAGGGCCTTGTGCTCAGTTCTCCGTATACCACCTCATGGACCTAGAACCAGGCGAAGAACGACTCCCCTCCCCCTTTCAAGATGAGACTGGAAGACGCCTCGTTCGTGCTAGCGTCTCTGTCATTGGGAAAGGTGAAGACGGTCTAATCCCTAATGACTTATCTGAGGAGGGCAGGACTGTCGAGTCTAAGCAATCGAATCACGGTAGCAAGACAGCCACGCCGTCTGAAAATCTAGACCGTCAGGACGTTCTTGATCGTCGGCCAGAGACATTGTCCGACATCTCGCGCGTTCTTCGATCGAAAAACGCGGGTCCCTACGAGATCACCATGGATGTCATGTTTGAATCCAAATCCGTTTTTGACGCAGTCAAAGTCTCCAGTTTGTTATCTGCGGAACACGTGGCTGATGCTTTGGGGATTGGCCTAGAGGACATTATTTGGCCGGGCTTTTTTGCCCCTGCGCTTGCATTTAAGGTGACGATACCACGCTTCAGGGGTGGGAAGAAGACTTCTGCAGGGAGCTTCATGAAGAGCGATATTCACGGATCGCAGCAGCATCTGGGACTTTCGATTATGAAGTTGCCTCCTGGACTTTTATCGTAATTGGGGGGCCTATTTTTGTTATTGCGTTTCTGAGTGATGCATGTTGAATCTGCGGGTAGAAAGCGGGAGATCCCATCTATATTAGTATGCATCTCCCGCAAGTTGAAGATCACCCGCTCACATGGGTGTAAATTTCATTGTTTTACCCCGTTGACAGTTTTTGAACGAGATACTCTGGCCAGTGGGTTCGTCCCCTCTTCGCCTTCAGACATTCCATTGTCAGTTTCTTTGCGGTCCAAAGCCCCAGATATAGTTGCTCTATGATTCATCCACCGTCTAAATAGGGACTGGATGGTGAACTCTGCCGAACACCCAATCCAAGTTCATAAACCTTGGCCAAATATTTGCGGAGAGATGACGCACCAGCTGGGATATGTGTGGTTTTGTCCCTGTCGATCTTCAAGTCTAGCCGCCAAAGATCAGATGACCCAGGCTGAAACAGCAGTGACGTTTCCGTGGCCAAGGCGGCGCAGCATCACTTTCACCCGGACACACCATTTACGGTTTCGAAACCACTTTGAAGAGAGATATTGGAGACGTCTTTCGCCCGAGACAGTACGGATACCACAAGCCTACCAGAATCCAAGGCCACAATGTCTAACAAAACCATTTGCGACGTTGATACTCCGGACCCCTGGGTCGTGGCGGGCAACGGCAAGTTTTACCTTACCTTCACCCTCGACAACCGCATCGAGATCTGGGCCTCGCATACGCTCGAGGACTTCCACCACTGCCACAAGAGCGTCGTCTGGCACCCCGCGCCCGGCACCCCGTGGTCCGTTAACATATGGGCGCCGGAGCTGCACTACCTCAACGGCCGGTGGTACATCTACACCTGTGGCGCGCCGCCCGGCGTCGGGAACCCGGGCCACCGGACCACGGTGCTCCGGTCATCGTCGCATGATCCGATGGACGCCGGGGCGTGGGAGTTCCTCGGCCCGCTCAAGGGCATGCCGGACCAGTGGTCCATCGACGCGACCGTCTTCAGTCCGAACGGACATGACTTGTACTGCTGCTGGTCCGGGTGGCCGCTCGGCGACACGTCCGACACGCAGCAGGACTTGTTCCTGATCAAGCTGCGCGTGCCGGAGGAGGCGATGCCCGAGACGCTGGTCTGCATCTCGCGGGCCGAGCTACCGTGGGAGCGGCCGGACGAGGGCCGCCGCGGGGTCAACGAAGGGCCCACGTGGGTGAACATCCCCGGCGTGTTCAGCGGCATCGTGTATTCGGCCGACGGTAGCTGGACGAGCCACTACAAGCTCGGGCTGCTGCCGCTCATAGGTCAGGATCTGCTCAACCCGGCGTGCTGGGCGAAGAGATCGACGCCGCTGCTGGTCAGTCATAAGCGGTGCGGGGGTCCTTACGGCCCAGGCCACGCGAGTTTCCTGCCGAACCCGCACGACAGAAGCCGGGTGTACTGCATCTACCACGCAACGAGCAATTATGGCGAAGGATGGGCGAACAGGAAAGCGAGAGTGATTGATATGGGACCGGAATGCTTTGGGCCTCATGCGCACTCACTGTGCTGCGCGCTGGATCGACACGTGCCGAAACACAGCCATGACAGACCACGGGATTCATCATGCATCATGTCATGAGATGTCTGGCTTGTTAGTAATAGCAGATGGTCAAATCTTCAGTCATGAGATAGGAGAATGGAGAAAGGTATGCGTATTTTCTAATGAGTGTCTCAACGGTGAACTTTCAACAGTCATACATATTTCAACCTCTCACTGAATGAGGTATTATTCCAGTATGAACACCCATTCACCAGTTTCATCAAATTCGGTTATGATTTTGCAATTGCTTGCACATGTAGAATTACCAGGGATCGTGTAGTCGAATTATCAGGTCACCACGACGACAAGCAAGGTACAGATTGGAGGCCATGTGGAATGGAACGCCTGGTAATCTCCGAGGAACACGCCGGCTACATTCTAGACTTAAATCATGAAGATTGATGCGTTTGAAGGGCCTCTGTATCAGTGCCCGGCTGTTGAGAACAACCCTGACTCACCTGCCTTTGACTGGGTTCAGTGTCAGCAATCATGTTGAGATGAGTGTTTTCAACCCCCACCTACCGCACACGGGCATTTCGAGGGAAGGTCTGAGACCCTGCGAACAACGTCAAACATTTCAGCTGAACCTGTGATGCAACTCGATCGAATTAGGAAAATGACGTGTCTTGTCGTCAGATGTGGTGACTAACAGCGCCATTGAGGACTTGAAACCTGATGATGATGATGAGAGACGAACCCCGTTAGCATTCATCCAAACACAGACTCGGGTTTGAATGTGGAATCTTGAGTATGCTTTTCATGCGACCATACAACCCCTCGCATCAGACATTGATGACGATTGGAACCGGGCGAACAAGTTGACTGAAGCTTCAGGTTGAATATCGAGTGCCCTCTGCGGCAAAGTTTGATGGGCACATGACATAGTCCAAGGGCTTGAATCATGTCTGTGTATTCATCCGTAGCTCAAGAACCGGGAACACTAGTGGTATCGTTGTTTCCTCCCTAATCCTAATTCATTACCCGGCATGGACGAACCGTCGTATCTTCATAAGAAAATGTTATGCGTCATAAGGAAATATTACGGAAGCGCGAATGCGCCTCGTTGGCTTTTGGCAAGCACTTTAGAGTCCGTTGGAAGCACAACCAAAGGGCTTGCCGACTGTGCCGGCCCGGAATTCTTCGATGATACCCTCGACACTGGCATACGTTCCAGCCGTAAGGAAAAGAAGACCGGTGAGAATGATGATGATGTTGAGACCCATGGACGCCCAGTCAACAAGCTTGTTCTGTTTCGGTAGCCCGGCGCGGTTGTCGGCGCTCCTCATGCGGAAGTAGGCCAGACCCCAGAAGATGAAGCCGAAGAAGGAGTCGAAGAGAGAAGACATGAGAGAGAGGACTAGGGGCAATCAGTATTGCTCATGCAATGTTGAGCGGGCGGGCGGGCTTACGAGAGGAGAAGAAGGGAATCAACTCGGCGATCAAGAATGCCAAAAGCCAAAGCGCCACTGTTTTTGGGTGTCAGTTCGGCATGATTTCCCCCCCCAGCAGCTGCGGTCTCTGCACTCACGAAGAATGGTGGCCCACGAGCCCCAGCCGATGATGGTGTGCTCGTGCAGGTGCTTCGTTCCCTTGAACAGGCGGAAGAAGAGGAAGCGGGCCGAGACACTGGCGTACAGGACGCCGAGGAAGACGAGTGTCGGGATCATAAAGGAGAAGGATACCTTCTTGTACACGTCCTCGAGGGAGCCAAAAGCCGGGGCGGTCATGTACTGGTTGCCGACGAAGGCGTACACAACGGCGCCGACGATGCTGAAGACGATGATCTCGCCGATGGTGACGGCCCAGAGAGCTTTCGGGAAGTCGCTGGCATAATTAGCACATCGGATCGGTGTTTGGCAAGAAGAGGGAGGGGGCGGTGTCCTATCGCCTACCGAGGGTCTTTCATCTCAGCAATGAAGCTAGGCAATGTGATCTGGCCGATGAAGGTGTAGCTGATGTTCAAGAAGGCGTTCATGCCGGCCACAAACGTGGTAGACATGACCGGAACGGCTGTGACAATGGGGTTGCCGCCGGTTTGGGTTACGCCGCTCGCGTCAACGTACGTGGACCGGGGGTCGTAGCCGGCGGGATGCGACTGGACACCAGCGAAGATGGTGGCCAGCAGCACCGAGATGAAGGTGAAGACCGCCGAGGCCGTGCCGGCCTTGGAGAGCGAGTCGAACGTGCGGGGCAGCGAGCAGACCCAGCAGATGACGGTGACGACGATGGAGAAGACAACGGTTCGGCAGACGACGGGGTCGGACTCGGTCATCGTGTTGAGGTACTTGGCGCCGACGAGGACGTGGAGAGCCTGGCCGACAGTCAGCATAGCACTCGCTTGTTGGAGTCCCGTATGTGACGGACCTGGATGAACTAGGCGGGGTTAGCACTCTGGACCGGGCACGCTTGGATACAGACACGAGGACACTCACGGTGTTGTTCAAGATGAACATGACGGCGGTGGCGTACCACGCCCATTTCTTGCCCCAGAAGAGCATCTGGCCAATATCGCAGACGTCGCGGACTTCTGGATGCCTCAAGCAGAACTGCCAGAGAACCAGAGAACTACGAGCCGGGGGGTTCAGCGTTAGTGGGGGAGTTCCTCCATTTCATGCCAGGCGCGGGGACGGACGACGTACGTGTAGAGAACTATGAGGGCGATGACGGCGGTGAGGATCAGCCCGGGCACGAGCCCGAGGACGCTGTATGACCACGGGAAGCTCATGATGGCCTGAACCGTCAGCAAGTGGAGCACGGCATGGCTCGACTAGAGACTCGGAGATACTCACTAGGCAGATGTACTCGGAGAAGAGCAGGCCAGCAGTCTGCGTATGACCGTTAGCATGCACGCGCGCGCACACACGCCGGCGTCTGGGACACCTGATTGAGATCCTACCTTTTGCCAGCTGCAGGTCCGGTACTTGATAGCATGGCCGTCCTCCTCGGCGAGCTGCTTCCCCAGGATGGCGTCGGGGCTCTCTTCGCCGTCCGAGTGCTCCCCCAGGCCCTCCTGGCGAGGAGCTATCCGGGGGCCGACTTTGGTCTTGCGGCCGCCGAACCAGGCGCTGAGGCCGGTCTGGTCGCCGGTCTCGACATCTGAGCGTGCGAAGGCGAGCTCGGCCGCGCCTTTGTCGCCGGGGGCGGTCCCGGGTTGGCGCAAGTCCTTTTCCATGGCGCCAATTGGTGTCGCGACGATACGATGCGTCGGCAGGACACCTTTCAGCGGGAAGAGGTGATGGATAAGCGGGCGACGCGCCGAATGGGAATCTGTCAAGGGGGTGGGTGCCAGACAACGGCCGATGCGTGCGATGAGATGAGGTTGCGTGTGAGAATTATGCAACGCTACGACAACGACACGACTGACGGGTCACGGACGTGATGGAGAGGGAAGGGAATGGATGAAGAGAAGGACGAGAGATGAGACAGAAAGTTCGGAACAGACTCGGTATTATCAAGCACGGATATGTTGGAGCAGAGTGCGCGAGCACGTGGGAACGTGCAGGTTTAAAGAGGAGGAGAGAGCAGAGACAGAAGACGAGAACGATCAACCAGATCGGTCCGAGTTCACACAGGCCGAAAACTGCAAGAATTGTTTGATCCCGGACAGCTGGAGACTTGAAAGATACAGAGTTGCAACCCTCGACGCGGAATGGGCTGGCTCCCTGCAGGCTACCTGCGGTGCTACGCAGTTAAGCGTTCGCCTTCTGCCCGCCGCACGGCTGGGAAGAAGCCGGTACATGGCACCGCGTGGAGGGCGGGACGTCGCATGCTAAAAGGGTCGGCCAGAGATTGCAATATCCGCCAGCAGCGGACTTCCTCCAGTCAAAGGTGGTGAAATCGTAGCGTGGATCGATGTCAAGGAGAAGGGCCCAAGGTGTGGTGGGAACCGAAAAGAGCGCGCCCCCGGTCAGTGATCTTCTCTTGTCCTCCCCCCCCCCCCCCCCCCCCCCCCCCTTTGTTTCTTTCCCAACGCCCCAAAAGTTAATACCTAGGGTCGCGAGGAGAGTTGCCGAGGTCGCGGGGCACGTCATTGCAGGACATGGGCAGGGCGGAGTGGTTCGTCGGTGGATGAATCCCCCAGTCCCCAGCAAGCATCTTGCAGTAGTGTGCGGCGACAAGAGGAAACACCTACCTCATGAAGACGCCACGAAGGTGCCGTCCAAGGGGCCGCCGACATTGGTCGCTGGAGGGATCGAGTGGGATGTTGCAGCCAGTCTAAACTAGCGGCCGAGTGTTATATCACAGTCTACGGAGTACACAATACAATGCTACCAACGTGGACGAACGGTTGTCTTGTCTGCCGTCTCGAAGCCGATAAAGAAGAAGCTGGTCGGGCTATACAAGTGCTCCTCTCTCTCTCTCTCTCTTCCAAACAGAAACAGACCCCAGGGAAGCTGGGTTCGCAGTCGTTGAAGCGCTAATTGACATGCTTGCTAAATGTCAAGCGGATCGACAAAGACAAGCATCGTAAGGATGCGCCACCAGAAAAGCTTGCTCGTGCTAGTGACGTCGTCCCCCGTCAGCAACGCACCCCTGCAACGGCTACGGGGGGCAAAGCAGGCAACGCGGCGAGACGGAGGAGCCATGCCAGCGCCAAGAAGCGGCGCCGGCAGGCGTGGGAAGGGAGAGGTTAAGAGATGGCCAAGAGATGAGGCACTTTGTCTCGGCCCGCGGGTGGATGAAAGCTTGGCAGCTGGATGCCTCTGAACGGGTGTTTGCTGTTCTCCCATTCACTTCGACTTTGGCCCCCGAGCGTGGTGACATGAACAGTATTTGCACTTTGTCGAACGAGAACACCCACGCACTGGGACATCTGTTTACCATCTGTGCCATTGGGCACCTAGTGAGCTCTGTATGCGTGAAACAACGTAGCATAGGGTCCTTGAAGAGACTTTCAGGCTTGAAACCATTGTATATGGATGGTTCAGTATCCGTACACCTACTAATAACTGTGGTCCCCTCCACTTCCCCCGTCTGCCTTAGCCCGTGGGCTGACCAAGACCAAGGATTGCTGCATGCGACATGGGCAGGCCGTTGGACAATGGGGAGGGTAGGTAGGCCGCGGAGATCAAGCCGTTGAGCTGTGGTCACTGTCCGCACCGCACTGGACCGTCTCTCGAACAGGCTGCAGCATTAGCCCTGTACTCGAGGGATCTGCCTTCTTATGGAATAAAGCAGATGTGCCAGCCGGAGATGGCGTCGGGAGTCTTTGCGTGTGTTTCAGGGCTTAGCCGGCTCCTTGCTTCGACCGGGCTTACATGGTGAAAATGCCAAACCAACCAAACGTGGCGAACGTTGCTTTGACACATGGAAAACGCGCAGCAAATGTGGCATACATACCCGCCCTTTCGAGATGTGACTCTGGTAATTGCACTAGTGCGCCGACTTGAACTCGGGATCCGGCAGCCATCCATCTCTCCCCAGGAATATGGGCCGCATGGTCAAATTGCGCCATCGGTAATTAAAATTGCATCAGAGCATGAAGAAGATAGAAAGCAAAGCTAACTCGGTGGCTCTATCAACGTTTTTACGTACGCTAGGTACACACACACACACACACACACACACACACACACACACACACACACACAAGCCAACCTAAACCGGCAGGACGGGTTTTTTTGCCTCTGCTCTGTACTCCGTACTCGGTGCAGGATGTACTTTTTGTATATTGTAGTAGCCTCTTGTGGAAGTGGCAGGGTTCTGTTGATCCCCAGAATCCGCCCACACACTTGTTCTCTCTATTCTGTGAGCATTGCAGAGAGATGTCACCATGATATACCATCTGCCCGCAAACAACTGTCCCATTTGCGCCGTCTTCCATGCAAACCACACGCGCGCGAGGGGGGGGAAAAGGGAGAGTCTAAATACAACGCTGGGATGATTGTTGTCCTGTCCTGTCCTGGATCACGTCGCACTGGAGCTTACTACGCCTGCGTCTCGTCCCAGTCAACCCATCTCCGGATGACCTCGTCCACCGCCCCGATGCCCTTCTTGGACGTCTGCACCTCGAACCACTCGCGGTGGACCTGGTTGCACCCGTCGCAGGTGATGGGCCCGGCGTGCAGCCCCAGTCCCGCCAGCTCGATGTGAATCAGCCGCTCGACGCGGTGGACGTGCGGCGTCATGCGCGGCTGCTCCCCGGACGCGGCGCTCGCGCCCGGCAGGTAGGGGTAGTACCGCAGCACCTCGATCTCGTACGAGCACTGCTTGGTCCACTGCTGCATGCGGCGCTGCACGTTTGGCCGCCCGCCCGATCTTGATGAGCATCTTGTCGCCCGCCGACGCGCCGCCCGTTGGCCTTTTGCGAAGGCCGAAGGACGTCGCTCGACCGACGCTGCCGCCCCGCGCCCCCGCGCCCGGCGAGGGCGACGCAAGCCAGCGACCCGCGCCTCCTGCAGCGCGCCGCTCCTTCTTGGACGTCGGCATGATCCAGAACATGTAGATGTAGCCCGGCTCCTCGGAGCTACCATACGGGCGGGCCAGCTCGGCCATTAAGGCAGAGGCCGTCTGCGGATCGGTCGACGGCGGGATGAGGGAGAGGTACTGCGCCGTCTGGGAGGTTGACAGGGGCTGCGGCGACGGCTGCTGGGAGGAGCTCTTTCGGGAGCTGCTTGAGGCGCTCGGTCTCGGCCGGCCGTTGGAAGGGGGGGACAGGAGCTGGCTCGAGGGGCGGGGCATGGGCGCGGAGCCGCCGTTCTGCACCGGTCGCGGCTGGGGCCGTGGTGCCGGCTGGGGGTCATCGTGGACTTCGTCGATGGGGAGGGAGAAGCAGAAGCAGAAGTGCAGCATCTCCTTTTCCTTCTTCGGCGGCCGGGTGTTTCCGTTGGGGCGTCCGCCCTGCGGTCGGCTCTGCTTCTTGGTCGGGTTGGACCCGACGTCCACGAGGCCGAGGCGGTCGGCGAGGGTGTCGATGCTGGAGCGCTGCTCCAGGACGGGCCTGCCGGACAGCCTGGGCCCTGGACTCGACTGTGCAGAGCGGCTGGCCGCCTGGTCCCTGTGGTGGTGGCAGTAATGTGACTCCTCCACGACAGTCGGCGATAGCTTCTTGCCGTTGACGGGCGTGACCGGGTTTCGGCACAGGTTTCCGGCACCGGTGAGGCCTTTACAGGTCGTGTTCGGGTCTTTGGAGTCGGACCGCTCGAGGCGGTCTTCGGGGGTGTTGGCAATGTAGCCCATTGCGGCGCACTGTTCGTTCGGGGTCGGGTCACAATGGGATTGTTCGTGATCGATATCGATTGTTCGTACGAGCCAAAGCTTGATCTTTTGACTGGGAATGCCAGATTCGGTGGGAAAGGGCACGAACACAGCTCAAATACGATAGCGACGGTAACTGGACGACACGTCAAGCAAGATAAAGAGCGGTAGGGACAGAGGTAGAGAGTATATAAGAAATAAAAATAAAAAGGGTGCTTGACTGGGTAGTTATCGTGACGCAGTTGTGTATGTTTGTTTCTCGAAGCGACTCACGACCCCGGCATGCGTAAATCAAGGCTGTCCCCTCTCCCAAGACAAGACAGGACAAGATAGCCTCGCGAGTGACGAGCTACACAGGATGCAGCGCCAGCAGCAAGAGAGAGCACCCACACGATGGCCCATCTTGACTGATGTTGGCCCCATGTCACGAGGTGGGCGCTGACTTGTCGTGACTAGGGGGCATCGAGCCCGCTGAAGCTCCTGAAGGGGCCTGCCTCTGAGAAGCTTCCATGTCGACAGGGGTGGGTGTAACACGTGTGTGTGTCTGTGTGTGTGTGTGTGTGCGTGTGTGTGCGTGTGGGAGATGTTGGCGCCCAAACCGCGCCGACTGGAACGCGATGTCATGATGTGGCGCGACATCAGTGGCTGGTGCTGTGTGGCTGTACCCACGTGCCCTAATGTGGCTGTGCGGCGGCGGCACAGCCTCATCTATCCCATTGTGGCTTAGGTAATTTCTTTCTTTCTTCCTCCTCAGCCACACCACGCTTGACCCGTGAAATCTGTATCACAACATCAGGAACTCCATCACCATCTCTGCATCGCTGACTCACTTTGAGTGGTTCCTCGTTGTACGGCTTGGAATATGACTTGATTGCAAGCGCATGTTCTGTTGCACGAAGCAAACTCAGACATCAAGGCTCCAGTGCATGAGATGTCTAGACGCAGCCGCTCTCACGCACCAGACCCGAAGTGCCCGGGTGGTCCAAAGGCCGGCCATGAGTCAGTTGCAAGTCAGCCGCGTGGGCTGCGCTTGGTGCTCAAATACCGAGGACTTCATCGCATGTCTTTCAATTTCGCTCATTTGGCTTGCGGCAGTAATGTAGCCCATGCCTATGGGTGAGAGGGGGACCCCCCAGCTCTGGACACGCTCTGCATTCGCAAGGGCACCCGCACCGTGACGAAGGCGTCGGCTCGATCAACAGCCAAGCTGCCATTATCGGGCTTGATATAAAGGCCGAACAAGCCGGCGAGCCCGGTTTTCAAGGCTACGACTTCTGAACCCTTGCGTAGCTCATCCAGTCGAGCCCCATCACTTATGGGTCGCCAACATTGGCATACGTAACTTTTCACTAGGTATGGTCTCGAGCATCACATTCATACCGCAGGCCACAGCTCGAATTTGTTCAAAGGCCGTTTGATGAGTATGTCTCTAGCGTTGATGAGACTTGCATCCGGGCGGCCTGGGAGTCCCCTGTTGCCGTACCGCGGATGGGCTGACCGCCGCATGTTTGTCATTACGGTTCGGGGCGCGCGACTAATCAGCGAGTCGGCGGTCAAAACGGACCAGATCCATCTCAGAAGAAGACTGCTGCTCCGGCAGAGTGCGCGAATCCGAACAATGACCAACATGACGTTAAACGAAGCTCGTAGCTCGTTCCAGACCGGGCACAATGACTTGCTTTGAGGGCACTCATATTGCCGGTGTTTAATGATACCTAATTGCGAGAGACAGGAACATGGCATTCTCTCACCATCTAATTACCAGTTCGCCAACATACCGCCTACTCGTCCCCAGCGTACAGCTAGCTACCCTGGGGTAACGACCAGAATCACACCATAAACAGACCATCGGTAAGTGGATCATCCGGGTGGAGCAGCCTTGGGATATGGGCGCCTCTACGGATACATAATATGTATTACCTCTTCCAGCTGGACAAGCATCGGCTCTGGGCCCGTAGGTCTGGTTCGTCCTTCGCGATCCCTGTTGCAGCGTCTGACATTCTGACAAAGAGACTCAGAGGGAAAGAGGATGAATCGAAACCAAGGCGATGACCAGTTGCCGCCTCTGGACTTGTCGGTCTTACCAGCGACATATCCAACCAATGCTAGAAGCATCTCCCGACGTGCAGTATTCGTATTCGGGATGGGCTCTCCTATCCTCAATGTAGAAGCACAAATTGACCTTGGCGAGGTGAAAGATACGTCGCTTTGTCGTACCACACCTCCTGAGCGGATGCCGGTGAATTTCGATCATGCCACTGGCATCTGCCCCCCCTGCACCGTTCCCGAGTCTGCAAACAACGATCCAAAGCCCGCGCCATATCTATCCACACGCGCAGCTGTTAGTGCACGAGATCCAGGTCCCCGCTGCATGTATATGAATGTTTATAAGTCTTTAAGCTGGCCCCTTCTCTGTTTCCTGCTCTCTTATTAAACCAGGTACCGCTGTTTTGTCTTGCTCCAAGACCGGCCTCTCGTCTTTCTTCCAGTCCCTCTTTCGCTCTCTCACTCAAGTTGGGGTGCACTTGACACCATGGCGTCCTGGTAAGCCACCACCAGATACTCGTTTCTTGCGATGCATAATCCGACATCAGCTTACACATTCAACGCAGGAACTCGACTGTCGTGTTCCCCAACCACACCTCCACCCAGGACTATTTCGGCGTGCTCGACGACGTCAGCAAGTACAATGTCCAGCTCAACATCCTCGAGCGCCTCTGGGCGGCATGGTATGTGTGGATGCAGAACGACATCCTCGCCACAGGCATCATGACCTTTGTCATGCACGAGGTCGTTTACTTTGGCCGCAGTCTGCCATGGATCATCATCGACGCGATCCCCTATTTCCGCAGATGGAAGATCCAAAAGGTGCGCGCCTCCGGCCCCTTGGTCTCGTTCACGCTACGGATGACCACATGTCGTCCTGTCGAGCCCATACAATAGAAATCAACTGACGATTCCCCCAGCAAAAAATCCCAACCTGGAAAGAGCAGTTCGAATGCGGCGCCCTCGTCCTCTTCAGCCACTTCACCGTCGAGCTCCCGCAGATCTGGCTCTTCCATCCCATCGCCACCTGGTGCGGCCTCGACTACGGCGTGCCCTTCCCGCCCTGGTGGAAGACGGCCTACCAAATCGCCATCTTCTTCGTCCTTGAGGACACCTGGCACTACTGGGTGCACCGCGGCGCCCACTGGCCCCCGATCTACAAGGCCGTCCACAAGCTGCACCACTACTACTCGGCGCCCTTTGGCATGACGGCCGAGTACGCCTCTCCGATCGAGGTCATGTTCCTCGGCCTCGGCACCATCGGGTCCCCCGTACTCTGGGTCCTCATCACCAAGGAATTGCACCTGTTCACCATGTACTTGTGGATAATCTTGCGCCTGTTCCAAGCCATCGACAGCCACTCCGGCTACGACTTCCCCTGGTCCCTGAGGCATGTCCTCCCCTTCTGGGCCGGCGCCGAGCACCACGACGTGCACCACGAGAAGTTCATCGGTAACTATGCCTCGAGCTTCCGGTGGTGGGACTACATCATGGACACCGAGGCCGGTGCCGAGGCCCACCAACGCAGGCGCGAGAAGAGGTTGGCCAAGGCCAAGAAGGCCCAGTAGATGCTTCGCGAGTATCTCCAGACGGGACGGGATAGGAGGGGGAAATCAAGCATGCTGATAGAGTAGTTCCCGGTAGGGTTCGGAGAGGCCGAAGTCGTCTAAAAAGGACCAGGCCGTGTGTTCTTTTTTCCACGGCCGCAGTGACAACATTGTTATAAGGAATTGTAATTTGACTAGATTTATACATGAAATATGACGATCCCTATCGTCAGCTTGTTTAACGTCACAGAACGTCACCTTGATTTCCCTCGACAACTAGACTCGTGTATTCGGGGGCATTTCTCGGCGGATTACGAGGTAATGCAATGGATCCTCGCCTGATGGTTTGCCTCGACGGACCTAAGGACACATCATCCCAGAACTCCAACTACTGAGATCCGTAAGATATTACGACAAGTGCGTAACTTTTTCTCGAATATCTCGGTGGCAACAGCCCAAGATGGAAACCATTTGTCTGTTGTTGATTCATAGCAACTGAAAAGGGTTTTGTAGGCTTCGTCTACAAACCCGAAAAGGGGTGTGTTACGGTAGTTCGGTATTTGATCCCCTAGTCATTGGTTGTTCTATCATACGACTTTCAAGATGTTTTGAATATCCCCCGTTCCTGACTTCCATGATCCTTATCAGGGTGTTGGCATGAGTTTGAATCCATATCTGACGTAGTTGGCGGTGCGCACTAAAGCAAATCGTGGGTTTCGCCAAGCTGCTCTTTGGAAAAGAATACGGAGGCTGGGAAGAGCATGTAACAGAGCAAAACAAAGCGGGCGATCTGATGAATTCTTATTCAGGCATCGACGCATACAATACTAGCAGTAAGCTGACCGAGCCCAAGATGGCAGTGCTTGATTATACGAGAAAATAGGGCTGTCATATCAATATTTTTTATAAACGAATGGCTATTCGCCAGCAAAAGCAAGGGCCTGCATCACCACCACTTTGTGTGTATGCCCAGCTCTTTCGGTCCTAGAACAACCATGTTGGCCCCAAGGTGCATTGACCGTCAGCTCGAGCTAGTAGCAGACAACCAAAATCCCTTATCCGTCATCGTATCACATCTCGTCCTACCGTGAAACGATGGAACCCATGCATGTAAGCGATGCGCCGATGCGGCACGCCGTATCCCCCTTTAGGCAGCGTCCAAGGGCGTAGCAAGATTGGGCCAAGAACGTTGCAGGACTTTCATTGGGAATCTCACGATGCACGAGGGAAAACCACCTTGCTGAAAAATGACTTTGGAGGTGATGTGCAACTGGGTTGACCTGTCTACCTGGTTCTTTCTCATCCCTATAATTGTCAGCAGACTTCGTCGCTGAGGGCTGCAGTTCTTGTGTTATATTTCAGCTGTCTTACTCTTACCCAAGGCATTCTGCGCTACCTTCTTCCTGCCCTGGCCGCGACAGCCGTCCTAGCCAAGACTGACCAAGAGGGTGGCACGTCCTTCACCTCGACCGTCACCGTCGACCCCTCTCCGGGATATGGCAACACCTACGAGACAGTGATCTGGTATGTCCCCGATACGCTCGAAATATGCAGAGGTGTCGACTGCGGCGGCGGTCACGCCCCGCCTCGTAAGGTTCCTGGCTGTCCAGCATACTCCGGCACCGACACCGTCACCGCGAGTTTCCTCACCACCAACCCAGCCGCCAAGCCAACGGCTACGCCTACAGCTCTAGATGGTGCAACGGTGCAGACCAGCCCGGTCGCCAAGCTTACCCTCGTACTGCCCGTGTCTACGGGAGAGAGCGCGCCCACAGGCCAAAGGAGCAGCGCATCAGAGGGCGATAGCACGACGACGGCTACTGGTCCTGCTGCGACTGCTGCCACGGTGGCGACAGACAGGAGCGGTACTCAGAGCGGAACGGAGGCGGGTTCGACCAACGGGGTTCCGGCGGGGGCGGGGCCGACAGCTCGAGCGGGCGTGGCGGCAGTTCTCGGTCTTGCTGTCGCCGCTGTGGCGCTTGCTTGAACCCCAAAGATGCCAAGTTGGAATCTGAGGAATAGCGAGCTGGCTATTTAAGCGATGACTGGGTATGACAAGCGAGCGATCGAAAACGTAATGCTCTATGATCCAAACTGGAACATTTCTGGCGCGGAGCAGTACCACGTAGTCCCCGTCAATCTTGACAATGGCTTGTGCTTCGTCTAAAACAGTTCTTGACACACTTGGCAGAATGTCTACGCGTAGCACATGCCCGGCGTTATGGTACCAACTTGGGCTCAACTTAATGTTCAGACAATACAAGATGAACTCTGATCATAGCTCCGGGGTTACACGTCTGATACTTCAGAGCTGCTTTGACCAATTTCCGAAGGCCCCGAGTTACCGTCTCCGACCTGACAAATTCCACAACTGAACTCGATCTGCATTGCAGAACCCCGCAAGCCCAGCTATGATGTGCCGGGATCGTCGAGTTATTGCTGGGCCATTTAACCTTTCGCCTGGGTGAAGGGCATGAATCACGGATTAGAACCAGAGGCCGAGACCGACAAATTGAGCCAGTGAAGCCGCCGCGGGCCGCCGCGCGCCTTCGAGGCATCAACAACACCCCGCACTTGTCAGGTCCCCGGTTCCCGGCAAGCCTGGATCTGCTTGAGCTTCGAGTTTCACATGAGGGATTGAAGCATTCACGACACGTATTATGCACCGTTGTTTGTAATGCGATCGCCTCTTGGGTAATTGTTAGTCGACCGTTTAACCCGAGGACCCGAGTTTGGCTGCTGGTGATAACCTATGCAGCAGGGTAGGTAGCTGTTCAGCTACCTTCTGCTATTCGCCGTCCAAGCTTCATCCGTCGAGTTTCCGTGCACCGCACATGTACCATGTCGGGACGAGCTGAAGACCGGCAGCGTGGAACGGCACTTCCGCATAACACATGAGTCAAGGGAGCACCGAGGCGAAGCTCATATATAAGTTCCATAAGCCCCCTCGGCTTACAACACAGTCTAGAAGAGCATCTTCATTCAACAACCTATCAGTCTAACCCGAACCGAGAATCAAGTACCGTAGATCGGACACTTTCTCGCACCACCAACTTTTCTCCTCACATTACCACACCCATTTCGACAAAATGGCTTTCTGCGTTGTTATTACCCCCAAGGTTCGTGCCGACAAGAAGGAGGAGTTCCTCGCGGCCTGGCCCAAAGTCAAGGAGGAAATTTCCAAGCAACCTGGCGTCGTTCGCGTGGCCGGTGGTCAAGTTGTCAACGAGAGCGGGACGCCCGTGACCGAGTTCAAGTATATCCAAACCATAGGTAAGTGTCGTCCCATACCTGACAGCTCGAGCCTGCAAGTCTGACAGAACTTCCTCTAGTTTTCAACTCAGAAGCGGATGAGAAGGCTTTCGCCGAGTCAGCGTGGGTAAAGGATCATAAAGCCGAAAGCGAGAAATTTTGTGACGGTCCGCCACGCATCGCCAAGTTCGAGACCGGCCCCCTTCACGACGAGAAATCCAAGGCCTTTGCGCAGTTCGCATTCCTCAATATAACAGACGAGAGCAAGCATGAGGAGGCGAAGCAAGCGTGGCAGGATCTCGCTGCAGCCCTTGGACAGACCCCAAAGTTCGGTGGAAGGGGTATAGGTGACGAGCAGAGTACTGGAATGGGTGTTCTGGGCTGGGATAGCGAAGACGTAAGTCGCCTACATCTGCATCTCCTGAATTTTGATGCTGACGGCTTGAACACAGGAAGCCGGAGCGGCGTATACTAAACCGGAGGCCCAAGCTGCTTTGCAAAAGTACAAGAGCTTTGGAAAAGACGTGGCAGTCTTGGTCAAGCTGGAGGCATGAAAATGCAGATGAGGGGATCATGATCCGTCATCTCTGACAAAAGATATGGCCTCACCGGCTTGCGTAACGGTATTAGCTAAGCTAAATATAACTAGCTATCCCGTTTTGTTTCGTGTCAACTAAAGGGAAGATGATCCATAACTATGTTAGGTGCTTTCTCCAGCTGTGCAGCATGATTGTCACACAACATGTCCAAAGCCGGTGCCCATTTTGTATTGAGAACCTCTTATGATACTCTCAGAAGCATGAAAGAATAAGGCGAGCATTTTGATGTTGCGAGCAATACACTCTTACCACGTATCTGCCTTCAAGCCAATGACGCTTAAACAAAAGTAAAGAGAGCAGAAGGATCACCGTTACCCGTTTCCAATGGCTTGCACGGAACGGATTTTCTCACAGGTGCGAATACTGCCAAAATGCCCCAAAGTGGCTGCTGTTACGCTGGTAGAATGGGAACTACTGTAAATGAGGCTGGGTAAGCAGGAGGTGAGCGGCTGACAATCGAGTGTTCGATATTCATACGTATCGCAGGCCATGGCTTCACATGCCAGTCTAAATGTATGTTGTTTTTCTAGGTCTAGTATCTAGAGTATCTTGTATGTCTAGGGGTATATAACTACTGTATGCATATAGGCTTGGTCTACAAATCCCTGCTGTTAGTCTGTATTCTCTTTATCATACAAGTCTAAAGGGTGATGTATAAATACTGCAGCTAGAATTCTTTTTCTTTTACTTTATATTATCTTCACTCTTTAGTAACATTATACTGTAATACTAATAAGAAGACACTTAGACTTGTTCTTTAAGTACAAGTTAAGGACCCAGGGAAGACTAAACAGAGAAACAAAGGGAAACATCGCCAAGATAAAATTACTAACGTAGCTGTTTCTATTAACATAAATAAGTTAGACCTAAGGTCTTTTGCCCTTGCCGCCTTGGACAGACCTACGTGTAGAGTATTATGAAGCAGAACAGGCTCAATAGGCGTCTTATTCCTATTTTGGGGAGATAAGAGAAACAGGACGCACAGGATAGAGAATCAGCTGTCTGGTTGAGCCGCAGGGAGCAGGTCGATAGGGGACATTCTGTAGATAGTGCTGAGGGAAGTGGTTTTACAAATGTTGATGAGGAGTTGTTGAGTAGACTTGAATCTACCTACTGTAGTAAACTGTCACAGTACGCGTCGAGAAACGGCATCCTTGTACAGCCATTACCCGGATTTCTCTAATAGGCTAATCAAATGCATTGGAGTACATGAACTAAACAATACCCCCCTCTGGCCAGGGAGTTTACCGCTTAACTCGGATTCTATAGACCTTCTCAACATAATAAGATATGTCCTCTATATTTCAAACACCTTTTTCTCTTTTTGTACTCTCCTATCAGTTTTCATAGCAGGCAGTATCTTCATTCTACTTGCTACATCCTTATCATTTTCGTTACTCAAGACGTAGCGGGGACCTACAAACGCCCAACTAGGCATACAAGTAGCCCAATATGTCTAGTCTAATCGCACACGTAGCTATGAATTTGTCATGAAGCTAGGACAGGTTTGTGTAGCTGGCACTAGTGGTCAACGGTACAGACGTAGCTTACTAAAAGATGGACCTGCATTTGGAAGGGTATTTCTACCTAATATTCCTCATGTATGTAGACTTAGGGGGAACCAAGTTTTCTTTCAAACTCCTTCAAAAATGCCCTAGTGCTGTCGTCCATGACTTTATCGCTGTCGTTTTTTGGATACTTCGGTTGAGGACGCGGTCCTGCTCTGCGTTTTTCATCCTCGGCCGTAGAATATAGACTGATACCCCCCTTAGCCTCTGCTTCCTGCCTCATTGTAGCAGTCGCACTAATGAGTCGCTGCCAAGCACCTAATTGCAGATGCATGTGGTAGTTCAGAAGGTTGTCCTCAGGCGGGTAATACTCTTCGTCCCAGTCTTCATCATGGTCGTCAGGCCTGTTGGTGAGCTTGGCTGGCAAACTTAACGCATAGTAGCCCCTATACAACTCCTTATTCGGTCGCAGGTAGTCCTTACTCCATGCGGACTCCCAGGGCCACGGTTTACCACTTGGCAGGTTAAAACCAATATGCTGCCGCAGGTTGACCCCCTCCTCTTTGGCGCCCCGCTCTAGATGCTTCCGGTAGAATTCGTTCGGCGACAGGATTGCGGCCTCCCGTTGCTGCTGCGTCGGCTTCGCTCCCTTTGAGAGTTCAAGGAAAAGATCGCGGTAGTTCCCGGCGATGCAGGCGAGCGTGACTTGGTGTTCTAGGTCGGGCCGGCGCCACGCCAGCTCGCGCAGGGTATACTCGTGCGGGCAGTGAGGCCACCAGAACAACTCGGGAAGCCTTTTGCCCCTGAGTTCCCTGTCTATGCGGGATACATCGTCATTCATAATAAATCTTGCGTGGATGGCTTGCCAAATTAGGTCACTTTCGTATTGGCAGGGGAAGGCGTCGTCAATGGACGTTTCAAGCCACCGCGCGAACGGCGTGTGGTGGTAGGCCCCACGCACAACAGCCGAGATCTCGTTCGGGAGAGTGACTGGGCAGCGCAGGCGAGCGTATCGATCGATGTTGCCGTCCCAGGCGGCCATAAGGATCAAGATGTCCTTGTTAACAGGAGGCAAGTCTCGAGGGAGGGGCTGGTGCAGAAGGTCAATGTCCCTACCCCGTAAGACAGCGCATCCAGGGAAGGGCCACTTGTAAGAACCAGCATTAGAGTCTTCCTGGATATCAAAGTAGTGCTCAGGCCAGTGGCGCAGTGAGAACTCCTCCTCAGAGGTGGCTTCGATCTCTTCGGCGCTCGCGTGGCGTTGCAGGGAAGACCGCACGGCGGTGTCTCCGTTCAGGCAAGCTCCCGGCCGTGGGTTCTGTAGATCAACACATCGGGTGTAATCGTTCGGCCATTGTCTCGGGCTTCCTCAGCAATTGAGACGTCTGGCATCAAGTCGAGGTCATAGAGGGTTTGTATCCCGCGACAGCACATGCTCGGCCGACTTGGTAGCGCATGTCCGGGTACCGACGGGCAATCCCGCGATAGGTGTCCTCGGTGGCAACGTCAGGATACCAGATGCAGTATGGCTTCTCCGCCGGAGAGGCCATGTCTGGGATAGTGTTACTCATGATGAGACGGGCGTTGCGGGCCCTGGCGTAAAGGTCGACACCCGAGCAGACGCGTGTGACCTCTGAGGACGTGGCGAAGCCTTGGACGTGTCGAATGCCATGGACGAGGAGGTCTTCTCTTGGGCCACATCTTGCCTGGCACGAGGCAGTTCCGCTATAGACTGCAAGGTCCTCTTTTTCACTGTCACTCATGACCGTCCTGAGTGTAAAGAATAGGTACGTTCGTGGCCGAGCCCGATGTATATACGGAGAAGAATTGGCCCAGAACGGACGCAGCCGCGAGCTTATGGCCGTGGCCGGTCTAGCTGGTCGTAGCATGGTGTGTGGCCTTGGTTTCCGGCGTTTGAGTCTGTTGGTTTGTAGATGAGAAGAAGAGAGAGGGACAGAGGCGCGAAAGGTCACTTGGATTGAGGATACTCAACCTCTTGTTAAGCTTGCGGGCCACGCCAAAGCTCCGCGGCCGTTATGTTACCACTACAGGGCCCATTGTGTCCGAGTTCCATGGTTGTCACCTTCATCACACCACCAGCATTACGAGAGAATACAGGGGCATACTCCGTATTATACTACAAGTCTATCCGTACAACTACCTACTAGCTCCAACAGGGATGTCCACATGCGGTCAACAGCACGATCCACATTCATCGCAGGGCAGACCCTAGCAAAGACTACATCCAGGATCCTCTTCCCCGAAACAGAAATACACCCTGTTGAATTGGCAAGACAATATACTATAGAGCAACTTCTGTCTCTATGCGAGTATACATACCAGTAATAGGTCCCAAGCAATCATCCTAGGAGCGTAAGTAGGGCAAGGGCAACAAGGCGCGCCAAGTGTCAATCTGCTATTGAAGTCATCGCGGTCATGTACCTCTATAGCCCTCTATGTTATCTACACGCGTTGACGATCTTTTGGATCTTGGCGTCCCGCTCCACGAACCTGCCACCAAACAGGGCCAACTTATCAGCAGCTAATGCCTTTCTTGCCGCTGCCGCAGTGCGGAACCCTTAGGCTGAAGTGAGCCTTGATGCACCGCCGAATGGCCCGACGAGTAGCCCTATAATGGCGAACGGTGCCGAGACCGGGTCGTCGACGATGCCCTCCATCGTGAGGGCGGCGTTGCCAGCCTCGCCAACAAGCAAGGCGGTTCGTGCCACCATCGCCGCGCCTCCAAAGGCGGCGCTCAGCAGCCGTTTGGACAGCGTTTCGATATTGGGCATCGCCGCCTCAATGACGTCTTTAGGGTTGGAGACCTTGACGTTGCCGCTCTTCACCGGTATACCAGTCTTGTAGACCCGCATCTTCCGACACGGCATTTTGGGACCATGGATTCGCCAGTCCGGCGCATCAATGCACTCGCTGTCCCATGTCTGGTGCCACTCACCAAAGGAGATCCAATCTTTCTCAATGCCAAGGTCCCGTTCCACAGCCTCATAAAAGCCCTGTACGTCGTGGAGTGTGTAGTCAAGCGTCCAGGACTCGCCGATCTTCCAGAACTGCTCGGAAGGTGGGCAAGGTCCAGTCTTTGTCTTATTCGTGGATGTGATCGTCCAGGAACAAGTGAAGAACTTATTGCCCGGACATCCATCCAAGTCCATGCACGTCGTCAGCTGAGGATTGATGCTCTCTTCTATGTACTCGGCATAATACTTAAACGGTCCGTCATTTCGCCCTAGGCGCAGTACCCAGGACAATTTTCACGGGCACATGCGAAGGCGCAGAGGCCATGGTCTTCGGGTGCCCCATCGACAGTTCTCGCATCGCTCGAGCTTGTAGGTTCCAGCACGTCCAAGGCGCCTTGGGCCGAGCAGTAACAGACAGCAATAGGACAGAAACCATGAGCGCACGAGAAGGAACAGAGGTCGTTAAAATAGGATTCTGTGCCCATGGCCTCGCCTCGTATGCAGGCCTCAGGTAGGAACTGGGAGACGGTAGCAATGACAGTGGGGTGCTGCGTTGTGTCGCAATACGTAGAAGGACAGAAGCCCCAGTTGCACGCATTTTGACAGAGACCTTGGTAGTCGCTAGTCCTCCCGGCAGCAGGGAAAGCGTCCACGCCTTTCCACGTAGGCCTCTTGACCTGGGCGCCGAGCTTGGTGCAGTGACAGGCTCCCTGGGGGCAATATCCATAGCCGCAGGTGAACTCGCAGAGTCTCGCGAAACCGGGCAGCGGCCCGGTGCCCTCGACGCACACCTGATCCGCCCTGGAGTTCGGTTTGGCAGACACGGCATGGGAAGAAACTGCGCTGCCTACCCAGGCGTTCCAATTTGTATAGCCGTTTGTCTTACTGCAGTCGTTCGTGATGGGGATGCCTGCAACCTCGGCGACGACTGAACCCCCGCGGACCACTCGAACGCGCACGTCTCCCGTAGAGCCGTAATACCAGGCGTTGCCATGGTAGAGGCCGACGTCGCCTTCCGGGGTCGTCGACCAGGATGCCTCTTGCGTGACGCCGCCGACAACAACCTCGATCGTGGCAGGCGACGCAAGCAGGGCAGTAAAGTACACGGCATCCTTGGTCACGTTCCACGGATGGAACTCGAGCTGTAGCTGCGACGCCGTATTCCCTGACGTCCCGCCGCTGTTGCAGCTCGTCGACGGATTCGGCCGGTACCAGACCACAAGACGTTCCGAGTCGAAGGTGGTGGTGTTGTACTTGTACATGTCGATGGAGAAGGGCAACGTCTCGCGCCAGCCATCGTGGGGAAGCACGTAGTTGAAGGGGGCCTTCCCGATCGCGAAGGCCTCCAGGGCCATGTCCCTCACCGGGCCGATGTGGTGCGACTCACCATAGTCGTTCCAGGAGATGATCTCGACGAACTCGGGCCGCCACCAGAGAATCTGCTGCCAGCGGTCGAACCAGAGGTCGTCGCCGCGCCACATCCAGTTCTTGTTGTAGCCAGGCAGGTTTGTATAGAACCAGGGCGAGACGGGCATCATATAGGGCTTCCCGCCGAGGTACTCCTGATACGAGGCATCAACATAGGTATCCATGTTTTGGTCCCCCCAAGGCCAGGCCGCCCAGCTGAAAAGACCGTCGGCAACACCGCCGGCCTTGGCCATGGCGGGCTTCGCACCGAGGGAGGACCAGTCAGGAATGAAGAAACAGCCGGTGGCCGCTTTGATGTCTATCCAGTCTTCCGCCTGGTCCGGGCCCTCGAACGTTGATACAAAAGGCTTGCCCTGGTAGTGGAAGTAGGCGCCCGAGCCTGCGTATCTGTTGATGAAGGACTCCACGTCATTCTTGGGCCATGGACCGTTCCCGGCGTAATCAAAGGAGAAGAAAAGGCGAAAACCGAGACGAGAAGCATGTTCAAATGCCGCAGTCACAGACCTTTCGTTCGTGGCGTCGCCGTAGGCCATGTTGAGAGCGAAAGCGTCAATGTGAGCCTTCTGCGCGGCAGAGATATCATCAAGCCAGTCATTTGCGCTGTAGTTGGCCGAGTTGGTGATCTATTTCCACGTGTTAGTAAATGGTGTCTCGACTGAGGGCAAAGACGCAAATCTGTACCATGAAATGGGCGAAGACTGATTGACATCGAGCAACACCCAACAGGCCGAGAAGACCCACAAGTAAGGTAAAATTCATGCTATCAGATGATACAGTGATTCAAGATAGAATATGTGGTCTCGTTAACGAAAGCACTTTGGATATGAACGACAGTACTTAAAGGATGGATGAGGAGGAGCTTGACGTCCTTCCAGTCCCAGGACAAACGGTATAAGACACTCGAAGTGCTCAGAACGGTGTCTAGAAAAGCCCCGCCCGTCCCATTTAACTGCTGTAGCCGACTGACTAGGCAATAAGCTACTTCTTTTCCTGCATAAGGCGGCAACCATGTTTCTACATCACGCGATTGCCGCATCGACCAACGGGCCATATAATCGCTTTGGTTCCTAGCTTGTGAACCTTGTTCATGGTTGGAATTTTCGAGCCAACACAAAGTGTAATACAATTGCCTAATGCGGCGCAGCTCAGGACTCCTCGGACGAAACGGTCCGTTGCGCTCGTTGGAGGGCTTCTGGTGGAATCCTTGCAATAGACCCTGATCGACCCCACCCCTGTGCCGGGGCTGTCTGCAAGGGGCCAAAGGCTAAGGGTCCTTTAGAGGTGAATTATTGATGAAAAGACGAAGAGTTGTGACCTCACGGGATTGAGAACTGGGCTAGGCTGATGAAGCCCTCCTCGCCTAAGTCCAAGAAGCTTGAATACCAACAACGACGGTGCCATGGGCAATTTACCACCGTCTATCCCCCTTGGTCTGCCTAGCCATAAAAGAATGTGCTTCCAATACAAACCAGTCCCTCGCGAAAGTTCAATGTGAGCCGAGCCATGGTTCAAGAACTGGCCACTCCTATCGAGCATCACCTGAGAGTAGACAGCTGCCCCTTCCGGAGACGTACTACGCTATTTTTGCCAATATAGTGTTAGTTGGTAGTCATCACTACTAGGATCTAAACCCCATCGAGGCGCTTATGCCTGATTGTAAGCCAGGTTATTGAAAACTGACTCGAATATGGAACACCCAAGGTTGATACTGTGAAGAAAGATGCATTCATCCAACTGTAATCACCGCTTGACGATGATGTGCCGTTCCGTCTTCGAAGAAGAACTTCCGGGATTCTAGCGCCTCGTCAAACATGGCTCTTACACACACGCTTCATAGCAGCTCTCGGCCTGTTTTAACGATAAGATGCTTTTGTGGTCTCCTTAAAGGCAGGTCTCCCTCTTTCAGGCAAGTAATCAAGGATTTAAATAAAGTCACACCGGTTATTCTCTATATTGTTTGTTCTCTTCTTCGACTCTTATCTTTACCCCTCCTTGCTCTACAGACTGTAATACTCTCTCCCTATCTGCCCTCTTACAGGTCAATGTTTACTCTTTCTTTCGTTCCAACAATGCTCTTGATCAGCTTCCTCTGGCTCCTGTAAGCACACGTGGCGGCTGCGGCTGGTCGCTCCCATCCTTACGAGGTCGTCCTTAGTTACGTGGGATACCAGCTTCAGCGAAGAATGTATGGCGATTCCCAGAGTTTCTTATTCCCACTACAAACCCTTGATCGGAAACCTATTCCAGGCAGCGCTGGGCCAGACGGCAAAGGACTTCCATTCAAGGTAAGTTATTCCGTTCTAGCAATCTATTTCTCTCACCCCCCCTAGGTGTGGAAATTTGATCCTTGACTTTTAAACATTTTGGGTGTCTTTGAAGCTTACATGAACACCGGCGTTTCGTCGCTCTATACCTTGAAAGAGAAAACGTCGACGTCGAGCTGGATCTAGACAATCCCGTACGCACAGGCGACCTACTCCTTGCCGGGGACTATAACGGCGTGGCAAGAGTTCCCTACATGAAAGGCGTCAGCTCCGCAGAGCTGGGCGACGGCAAGATATTGATCAGTCCGAGATTGAGGGACTACAGTATTTTTACAGAGGAACTTACAGATATCGACGACCTCGCTGCCAAAACGTTTGGAACCGGGGTCAGCAGCCCCGTTTACAAGGAGCTTGCTGCTTTTGAACCGCTGGTGGCGAAAATCCGGCAGGTCCGTCTCAACGAGATGCGAATGAAGGAGATCATGTATAAAGACATCGCGGTGGCGTTCGATGGCATGAGCCCGAAAAAGGCAACATACCAGGACTGAATCAGCCTGGTAAACGACGCCAAAGGGTGGAAAATCATCAAGGAGCATTTCGGCTTGCAGAGCCAGCCTCCCGGATAACGACCCCAGAATCAACGCCGAGTTGAAAATGTGGATGGATGGGATTGGGTTTCTGGATAAGCCCCCGAACATTAAGGCCCCTGGATACACTAAAATCAACAGAAGACACTTGTACGTCCTGAATGGATGAACACCTCAGATGCCAGGCGAAGAAGTATCTAGGCTAGGCGCTTGTACTGTATCTCTTCTAAAGAGTATGTGCGTTGGTTCTAGCGATGGCTTATTCAACCACGCCCATAGATTGTCATTGCTATTCCATCCCCGAGTAACAAAATCTGAGTAAGTAGCAAAAGGGAAAATCTACCTGTTTACGCTGGACTTGGGGACTGTACGGAGTAGAGGACCGACCTATGCCCCGTTTGTGTGCTGTGACGGGCTATAGATAAGAACTTCTCTTAACACCCGTACTCGTGGCTATTGTCTTTTGCATTGGTATCCTTCGAATACAACACACCACTACCAGGTCTCTTCATTCTTCAGTCATTATAAAACACTTTTACAGGTAATGGAAAACGCCCCTACAAAGAGCTGGTCAAAGTTCAGGCGACCTACTCCTTGGCGGGGGCTACAATGGCCTGGCAAAAGTTCCTTATATGAAAGGCGTTGACCCCGCATAGTTGAGCGTTAGATTACTACTACCATTTTCGTCGTCTCTTTGGTTACGGTTGGTGACCTCCAGGAACTGACGAGCTCAACGGCTGCAACCGGCGGCTAAGAAGTCATTCATTGAATTCCAGACCCAGCATTGCCCCACCGTGACCGTTGGTCCTGGAGGGGCCAGCAGGACCCCCTAGCACTGCACTAGCCGGCTCAGGGTACCCTAGCTGCTCCTCTTATAAGAACCTTACCGGATAGGTTTGGCCGAACATCCCTGTGAGATGAGCAGATCAGTTCCGGGCAAAAGTCAGATGTACACCTTGGGTTGAAAGTGTGATAATAGCTGTAGTTTCCTGTACGGACTCTGGACAGAAGAAGACCCCGGCGTCCCCTGCTCGGCCTTGATCCTAGACGCTATACCCATCAGCTGCCAGGACACGCTGGGACTGATCCGTGCCGACGTCGTAGGTAAGTCACCCCACCCGCCTGTTTTGTTGTTCTCCTATCTTGGGCGTAATGATGCTGACCGTCATCGTAGCGTGGGACGCAGACACGCTCGCGGACGAGGCCTTCGCCCAGGCCGTGGTGATGGACGTGCTCAACCCCTTGTCCTGGCTCATCAGCACCGGTATCGTTAGAGAAGGAAATTCGACGGCGTATTACGAAGCATCGAGCCGCACATATATCATCGGCACTGTCTTCGGTTACAGCCCGAGCCTCGCAGATAGCCAGAGGCAGACGCCCAAGCTGTCCCTCGCTTGTCTCCGACCTGAGTGGGTGCCTCCCACCACGCCTGACACCACATCTACGAGTTTGACCCCGTATGTTTACCAGACGCAAACTTCGGTCGTCGCCACTGCTTCCGAGGCGTCTACGACGTCGTCCATGCCGCCACCCGCCACTAGCTCTGGACCTAGTTGTATCTCGGGCGGTGCGTCTCCGAACAGGGCGACGGGGGATATTCAGGAGTTATGCAGCTTCGGCTGCGAGTACGGGCACTGCCCGCCTACGGCTTGTCAGTGCTTAGAGTACTCTGTCACGCCGAAGACTGCCCCTGAAGCCGACGGGGCGGATGGGTGTCCTCTTGAAGGCGTCATGGACGATGACCTAGCTCACCTATGTAGCTTTGCCTGCAAGCGCGGCAATTGCCCGGAGTCAACATGCCGTGCTTGCTAAAGGCTTTCAGGGGAGAGGCTTTATTGGCTCCGTCGAAGTCGGGTGACGGTCCACGTGCAACACCGTCTACAACGCAGGATAGGCGGCCTTTAAGATTTGTAGTAAAATTCTCTGAATTTACGTTGATCACAAGAATTGGTACTTGAGCATAACAACTCTTTTACATCTATTTCCACCTTACTACGTCATTATTGTACCTGTATAGACAATAGTGGATCTGTTGCTGGGAAAAGCGTGGTGCTCATCTTCAGTCGGAACTTTTACTTCTCACCACTCATTTCCCGAAATCCTGGTTCGAGCAGCATGATCTAGTCTAAATCAATGAGTGTCTTCTGTCCAAAAGACTGTGTCTAATCTGAAGTTTCCGTTTCTATGCTACGAAAGCTAACGTGCCTACCACCAGGGGGTACACATGTTCAACTGCCGCAGCTTGAGTGCTTAGTAGGTCAGATCACGTAGCCTAGAAAATAGAATCACTGTCGTAGCGCATGCTACGAATAGTTTGTATCAAACGTCTGTCCATTCGATTTGAATCCTACAATTTTATTACGTTCCCAGGCTTGTGTAAGTGTACGTAAAATGTAAATCTTTTGAGACTTGTGGTGTTTACTCCACAATACTGTGTACTGCAAGGTAGACGGCAATCATAACGCTGGCGTCGTTGAAGACTTCCTAGAGATTGACGTAAAATAGTGATGATATTTCAATACTGATTCAAACGTCCAACAATAAACCACGAGGTCAGTATCATAAGCTAGGCCCTTGATGGCCAATAGCCGCAATGTCAGCATCACCTTTGGAGGACCTCTCCGAATCAACGTGTCTACGACGTAAGTTGCCCGCGTCATCGTGCTCGCTATCCCATTGGGCCAGTTCAGAGAGCGGCACTTGAACAAGACGATGCGTGTTGGCGCCATTGTCGGAAACCTCAAGGATTTCTGGTCGGATTCTGTAACCTTTCCATTTGGGCAACAACCACATCCAAGCGGCATAATAAAGAAAACAAACAATGAGGCTAATATCAAAGTCAGCGATAAACCTCCCACACCGTGGAGAAGCGTAAGGGGACTTACATAGCAATGCCGACGACGCAGTATGTTGCATACCAGAAGCTGACGCTACCTGAGTACGGACCATCCTTTGGTGGCCACCAAGGCATCACAAGGATATAGACTTGAATAAGGATGAAGAAAATGACTGTTACGTGCCACGACTTGAATTCAGTACGTCCGAGATTGGCGCGCTTGCGTCGAGTGCGAATGAGATAGACACCAACTGCCATGGCGAAGTGGAAGATGCCGTCCGGGTACGTCTTTAAGCTGACAACTTTGGGTACATTAGCGATGCCAAGTCTCACAAGAAGAACGGATACTGACCAAACTGGAACGCATCTCCGGCAGGGGGGGCAACAATCATGATAAATGTCATGAACCACTTGAGGAAGTAGGGTCCGATAGGGGTTCCAAAGGGCTTAGTGTTGACCCAGAACTCCGGCCACGGCAGTACACCTTGTCTACAAAACGACTGTTAGCAGGATAAAAAAATACTCTGAAGAGATGGTGCCACGTACCTTCCGATCTCGCGGATGACACGAGAGGCGCCAATCAAAGTTGCGAGGAGGTTGCCAAAGGCGCTTAGAAGAACCAGAAAGTTGAGGGCTTGCTCGGCAGGTCCGCTGCCGAAGACCTTGGTAAAGAACACGGCGGCAGCAATTTCTTTGGCCGTCCTGAATTCAGCCTTGGGCACTGGTTATTTATTAGCAATTTTACATACTAACCGCGTGAGTGAGGATAGTCTCACCTGCGGCAAAGTACGCAATGTTGCAGAGCATGTAGAGCAATGAGACGAGGGCAACTGAGACTGTCGCGTTACGCTTCAGCGTTGGAATAGGATTCTTGATCTCATTGACAACATTGAATGCATTCGAGTAGCCAGTGTAAGAGAAGATGACATTGACCAGGGCAGATGCCAGCTCGTTGCCATTGTCCGTGGTTCCCTGGAACGAGTTTCGGAAGTTGGAAGTCGGATCGGGGATGTGGTCGATATTACCGCCAAGGACAACGAGACCAGTGATGGAAATGAAAACAAGAGTGATGATCTTGACCACGCCGATGATGTTTGTGGCCCAGAGAGAGTACTTGTTGTGCGCGATGACGCAGATGACAGCGAACGTGTAAGCGGCGATAGCAACACCCTTCAGCTCCCAAGCGGATGGAGTTCTCCCGGCAATCCTCCACAAGTATCGAGACAGAACTGTGCCATGTTAGTGAGTTTACCGAGGGTTGAAGAGGTCAGTGTTCGTACCAATAGCGTTGCTACTGCTGAAAGAAAGCAAGACAGACTGCACAGCGAAAGCAATAGGGAAGAAATGCTTCGGTCGCGGATACGCCTGTTCGAGGTACACGACTTCGGAACCACTGCGGTTGGGAAAATAGCTAGCCAGTTCCAAGTACACGCTGAGTCCAGCGAAGGCCATCAGAGAGCCGATGGTCCAATAGAGCAAAGCCAGGCCGACGGACCCAGTATCATTCAAGATGGATGCGGCTATGAGGGCCTATCAGTATCATCGAAACTGACAGCGTGCTCTGGAGATCTTACGAGTTGAAAAGATACCAGTGCCAATCATCTGGTTGACGTTGAGAAAGATGACGGTAAGCCATCCGACGTGGTATCCCAACGGCGAGTGCTTCTCGACTGGCGCTCCAACAGCCTCTTGGTACGAAGGTTTTGAACCATTACCTCCCTTCGCAAGCATGTAGGCGAGGTCGCCATCGCGAATGATGGAGTGTTCGGAATCAGACGCCTCAACATCGACGGCGTGAGCGCCAGCGTCGCTGGACTTGAACCGCGAAGTCAACTTGGAGAACACCATGACCGCGGGCTGGTCCGAGATGGATGTCTCAAGTTGTCCTGGAGAGAACGAAGGCGAGTCACTGAGTGAACGGACAAACACGGAGGAGACAAAATGAGGGCGGCCAACCACAGATGAACATTTGGAGCAATAAAGCTTCCAAGGATGAAAGGGCGTTTATGCAGGGGAGGGAGGGAAAGCTCGAGAGGACCGCAGCGGAATGGAACATGCGTTGCGTCCCACCGAATCATCTTTAAACCATTAAAACATCAGATGGCCGAGCCTGTTGATGCTCAGAAACGGGATCAACGCCAAGTGCCAAGGAGATGCCGCGCCCCTGGCTCGCCCAGGTGCAGGCAGAGTCATGACCGACCTTCCTATGCCAGCCAGAGCCAAGAAGCACGCAATGGTGGCAGCTCATGGCGATTCCTGCTGCGAAACTGCAGGTGTGCCCGCCAAACGTGGGTGGTCACAGTGATCCCGGGTTCTGTAATAAGCTACTTTCGAAGTGCAACCTTATATAAATCCTTCTATCGCTTCCATCCTATAGGGCGATGCCGCTCACGCTTCTTATCTAGGGTACAATTGTCTGGGCAAATGCCACCTCAAGGAGAACTCGTGCCCCGTTCAGCCAAGAACCTTAGCTCGTGTTCTGGGGCCTTGGCATGGCCTAGGATCTTCCTGAGAAAGGCTCTCGAGCGGCGGCCCTTGGTGAGACTCTTACCAAGAAACGTGCTTATTCGATGGCTTCATATGAAATATTTCCGTCACGGCCCAAAACGAGCGGTTGGAACGATGAGTCAACAGGGAGGATGCTCATTTACATATGTCCGCATTTGTGTGGTTCGTATAAGCGAAAAACCCCTGTGCACAACGTCTTGGTATCGATTGAGTGCAAAGCTGACATGGACACAAGCCGCCTCATGGCCGGCCCTTGCTCTTGTTTCCTTCACTCCGGATGAACGGCTCGAGTGGAAATACCTGGGCCTCGGGCGTGATGCCTTCGTACAGCTGAGCCCATCTCTCCTTCAACGGCTCGGGCGTCTCCCACGCGTACTCGGGGTCGCGCAGCCATTGTCTCAGCAAGTGGCGTCTTCCAATAATAAGGCAAAGTCACCCTTGTCAGTGGTTCATTCTCTTGTCTTGCGCCATAATAACCGACAGAATCTGCGATCCACTCACTGTTGTTCTGGGGTATCGGTGAACCCGTCCCGGGCATGGAAGATGCCAATGTTGTTCGCGTACTGGATGTCGCCCTTTTGGAAGTCCAAGTTCACCGCAAACTTTTGGCCCAGGAAGTGAAGCGTGTCGAGGGCTTCAGCTTGTGCCTCAGAAATCGGGGGGATCTCGTCACTCCGAGGCAGTGCGCCGTAGCCTACGAAATACCGACGGGCATACTGGACTGCCAGGCGCTCTGGCGTTTTTTCGGTCGCGGGTTGGTAGTGAAGAAGAGGTCTGGATGTGAAGCATTTTTGAGGTGTCCCGAAGCTGCGCACATGCAAGCGTGAGTTGTTTACCATCAACGAAAGACCGATGCATACCAAGACTCGATGGAAACATCACTTACACTTCGAAATGCCAGTCTTCAGTGAGAGTGTGGATGAGATCCGGGCGCGTGCTCGCGATCTCGTTGTAAACCCGTGCGATGCTCGCCAGCTTACTCTTGCCACCCTCAGCCGCCGTCGACAAGGCGAATAGTGAGACAATGTCCCCGGCGTCAGTGTGGAACACCTGCTTATCTGCAGTGTACGCAGGGCTACCGATCTGGCCCTTCTCTTTTGTAAGTGTCAAATCCTTGATGTGTGTGAGGACCACGTCGGCTGGCTTGCCGTCGTATTGCCGGTCTTGACGGCCGCGTTGGGGGGCAATGTGCGAGGATAATCCTGCATAAATAATTATGTTCTCTTCCCTGGTGTGCTCGTCGACCCTAAGACCGCGGATGACGAAGAAGCCGTGGCCGTTGTGCAGCTCATAGGACAGCTTGCGGAGTTCAGCATGTAGTTTCGGCAGCGGGAAGGTCTCCTGGCTAATGTAGCCGAGCGGCAAGCCCAGCGCTGGGATGTATCGTGAGTTAATGGGGATTACATGTAGACGTAACTCAAACTCACACTTGAAATGAGCCAACGCTCCGTCGAGCTCATCGAGCTCATCCGGTGTCAGGACGTATGTCCAATCATATTCGTTAGCCAGCGTCGCACCGTCCCAGACCATATCATTCTTGAACTGTGCGGGAAGGCCCTCTGGCAGGGTCTTGGAAAGACCGGGCTCCTGGGTTCGGCGTGCCACCCTAGCTTGGAACTTCTGGTAGTCTGGGGCATATTGGATGTCCGGCTGGACGAGTCGGGCGATGGTATGGGTGGTCATTGTGTAACACTGGGCGATTCCCTGGCTCGACTGTTTGGAAAAGTAAGCGAGCTATTCTTACGCCGGATTTGCTGTCTTCTTCCGACTACCTAGTCAGTTGCTATATCCTCTGCGGCGAGAGTCTTTATGTGCCTGAATAATGGGGAGGGCTGAGAGGTCATCAACGATGGCGACATTCGATTTTCAGATGTCGTGCCACGAAGAAGGTGGAGAAACGCTCATCCAGATAGCCGATTATCTGATAACTGTCAGACGTGACCCCTCACCCGATGCAACTTCGATTCTCCAGGACCCCAGGCTGGAGAACAGTCAGGTCAGACATCAGTTGAAGAATACGTGCACTTTGGAGCCACTGGGCCCGCATGCTATGCTAGGCTTATGATTGATGAACATGTGCAGAGGATATTGGTAGCTGGTCAAGCGGCCAGATCGATGGGGATTATGCATGAACTGTTGCATCCGAGCAAGCCAACCAGAGATGCTCACCCAAGCTGTTCTCTTGCTTCGATTTTGCTCTGTTATTCTTTCATCTCTCTGTTCGTCTTGAGAATCTTCTCAAAATTTCCGAGCCCAGCCTTACGGTACCGCTCCGAGTCGAAAGCCGTTAGACCGCCGGGCCACCCACACCATCCACACCGTCCATGAGTAGATTGTAAAACACGCGATCGCTCCACCAGAGCTTCCATGCATCCTGGCTAAAACTTGCCAGTCGATCTGTCATCCCTGTTCCGGCAACCTTGTCCAACCACTTGTAGTTATCCCTGCCCAACACTTGGAACCCCATACCGAATATCGACCCGCGTCTGAGGGTGGCTACAACGCTGTCGTAATGGCTTTCGATGCCTCCCGCTATCTCTGCTTGGGGCTGCATATGCAGGCTCAGGCAAGGAAGTGCATCTTGCCGCGCATGATCTAATCCGTGGGTGGAAAGCATCGCGTATCATGATGCTTAACTTGCGGTCCTAGAAGGCATGTGCATATATCCGTCTAGGAATTGAAGCAATACAAGCCTTTATGACGCATAGCATCTAGTTAGTATCTCTAACACTCGTCTAGATAAAGATCATCACATCATGCAACGTTATACTACGTAATTCATAGCTTGGCTTCCCAAGGGCTATATCAAAGCCAAAGCTTTCTGAAATATTTCGAGCGGACGTCTACAACTCTTCTATAAACACCCTCACCCGGGACATTGCCTAGAGTAACCTGGGATCTTGGGCTACTGTTGGACTGTTGATTACCCTATCGAACATTATATCGACATAAAAGCAGTCAAACGCCATGAGTGTTTTGACTTATCTCCCTTCTGACAACAGGCATCGAATATTTCTAGCTGACAAGGATATTCTAGACAATGACCTTTGCGATCCCACTGGTTCCCTAGCGGCGCCCGCAGCCATTATTTTGTCTGCCTGAGGGCCCCATTTCAGATTAGTTGAGGTGTGAGGCTTCACAGGGCCGCTAAGAGCCTAAGACGGAGCTAGAACACGGCCAATATTCAATCTGAGCAGGTCTACTTTTTTTTCGCCGTATGGGGAAGTTTGGTATCAGGTCTGCAATTAGTTGCGGGTCGGTAGGGTAACTAGGAAAAACAATATTTGTTGAATGTGATAGTTTGTGTTTATCTACGGTTGGACAGAGTTCACCAGTCGCCGAGCGCCGGTTGTCGGCAACTGATAGATGTTGTCACGTATCCGATTGTGAAGCCCGGTATATAATTGGGATATCATGCGAAAGTCATTAAAATAAACATTCCCTGGTTCCTAACTCCTCGCTAAAAGCCAATGCTGTCTTTGAATAATGAAGGCAACATTAAAAGCCAAACCATTCGAAGTTCAAACCCCCGACTTACATGAGCACCATATACCAGGTATCACTCGTCGATGCTTTCCTTTGTCCTCTCAAAGAGAGCTCACAAAGTTGAAACCAACAATGCCCTCTGCGCAAGCATTCTCCATTCCCGATTTGGGGAATACCGAGACTCTCCGTCCGATAATGCCATCATCACCTACTTGGAGTGAGATCGGTCTCTGAAGCGCCAACTCCATTGTCGAGCCGTTTTCGAGGAGGGAGGCACCAGAAAACGCGATTCGGTGAAAAAGACCACAGTCTTCGGGTTTTTGAGTAAGATCCCCAGACTCACTGTTGAGTAACGATCTCGTCAATGACTATGGTATCCTTGATGCCGTGTGTATGCAACTTACTGAATAACAACTACCATATCAGCCAAAGACTGTAGATCGCAGTCGTCCCCGCCTGTGATCCTTGCATGTGTTGCGAAAGGGCTTGATGGTTTTCCGGGAGTGTGAAATGCAAGATCTCCTCGCAGCCTTGGGCTCGTTCCCGTTGCTTCAAGTTGACTAAATGGGTGGTCGAGGACTGCTAGTGCGCCGCCTCGAGGTTTAGTGCAAGTGTCTGGACCACACATATTGGCTGAGGCTGACGGATAGGGAAGCGTAGTGCTCTTTTGAAGAAATAGGGTATTTGCAGGTATGAATAGCCGCAAATGAAGAGCCTTCGAATTTTCACCTTTATGCAACAGCGCATGAGGCATCATATATAAAGACAATGGTCGAACTCAAGAACTCCTTTCAAGGTTCTCAATCTTCCTCATTATCCCTGTCATCCCAAAACAAGCGCGAACGGGTCCGGGCCGGGGCGTCGCCAATGATTGATCAACCAATCATGACTCGGTTTTACCCCAGAGTCGGGATTGCTGCTCCCTGCACGTGGGCTTTCGGATGAGCAAGTTAGAGCACAAATGATCACATTTAGGCCTTTGTCTCTCTCAGCATCATCGTAAAGTTACGAAAACTGGAAGACGAAAGAAAAATAGCAAAACACACCATAAGATATAGCATGAATAGCATTGAGCATGAACGAATACTAGTGGATAGTAATCCGCTCACCACCACCTAATGGTCACTGCTCAACGATGGAGATGGCGAGCCATCAAGGTACTTGTCACATCATCGGAATCAACGGAAACGATCCAGAGACCCATGGATGCCGAGATGATGAAATGTGCTCACTTGTACCCCTCTTTCTGTTGACCTGTGCTCCCATTTCTTCCCTCGAACCCTCGAACACTTAACCACTTCATCAATCTCTCCTCCTCAACCTCGTGGTATCAATCTTGGACAAAAATAACCAAAGTCAACGTCAAGAACGCATACGAATATTACCCTTTTATCAACATGGCTAGCCCACAGTACATATTGCCTAAGCTCCCATATGCGTACGACGTAAGTATCCCTTACTCGTGCTCGCGATCGCGCCCGCTGACCCCTCCTGCAGGCCCTCGAGCCTCACATCTCAGCTCAGATCATGGAGCTGCACCACAGCAAACAGTGAGATAACCATGAAATATGAAGCAGCGAAGAAGAGAGTTGACATGAAGCCACCTACAGCCATCAAGCATACGTTACAAATCTGAACAAGGCCATCGAGACTTACAATGCAAACCCGCTCCAGAATCGCATCGCCGTCCTCGCGGCCCTAAACTTCAACGGCGGCGGCCACATCAACCATTCCCTATTCTGGGAGAACCTTTCCCCAGCCTCGAGCGGTGATGCCTCGCCCGATGCGGCGCCAAAGCTCGTCGCCGAGATCACCCGCGTCTGGGGCGGGCTCGACCAGTTCAAGCAGGCTTTCAACACCACGCTGCTGGGTATCACCGGTAGCGGCTGGGGGTGGCTTGTTAAGGATGACATAACGGGCCTCAGCATTATCACGACGAAAGACCAGGACCCTGTCACCAAGGGCGTGCCCATCTTTGGTATTGACATGTGGGAGCACGCGTACTACCTTCAGGTTCGTGGACACCAACAAGACCTTTTTTGAAAAGAGATGCTAACAGTGATCGTACATAGTATCTCAACGGAAAGGCTGCATATGTCGAGAATATTTGGAACGTCCTCAACTGGAAGACGGCGGAATCGAGGTTTTCTGGCTCCCGGGATGACGCCTTCACGGCCCTCAAGGCGGTTCTCTAGGCGAGTTTTGTTCGCATGTCAGCAAAGCCGCGGACAGTGATCGAAACTTGCTTTGATTTTGATGCACAGATATTTTCGCAAAAGAAAGGTTCTTTGCAAATAAGTTAGTCTGTTGGGGGCCGCCATGCCCCTCGAGGTAGCACTTCTGGTTCAACACAAATGTATCGGCCTGGCTGAAGACAAAAGAAAGCCTCAATCTCGAGGTACCGTGACGCAATGTGATCCGTCACCAGCAATTCCACCCGGTTGTGTGACCTCTATCCGTGAAGCGGTGGCAACCCACCCTCCTGGTGGTAAGTCCAAGACAGTCTCGGCTAGCGGTAGGTGGACTCGTCCCGGCTTTACTCTCAAACTCCAACTCGTCGAAACTGAGCTGGCCTCTTTGTACGAGCAACAACAACATTACCGAACACCATCACTATCTGGTAAGGGGGTGGCGCACGTCCGGTTTCATCTAAATCCTCAGTCGTGTGTTGAGGCGATACCATCGCATGGGAAGAGGAGCTCAAAGTTCGGTCAAACAAAACTAAGCCAGCCAAACGGGTCTCGTCTCGAGGGAACCGCCTGCGCCCGACCTCCGTCGTAAATTCCGAGGGTAATCAAAGACAAACACAGTCAGCGGGTGTGAGGCGGATACTAACAACGTGGCATGGATCCAAACAAAAGTTTGCTTCCATGAGGTGGAAGATCACTCCCGTCCTCGCCTAAATACAAAAATAAATCTTTCTTAGTTCTCTACGTGTGGCCCATTGCACAGCCCCCATTCTATCTCGACCATCTCTCAATGTCTGTAATTATTATGCTCTTGCCAACTGACAGATGATGTCAAATTGTCAACCAGCATATCTGCTTTACCTGTCGTTTTTACGTTGGCTGAAAGAGTCAGAAGACGTTCTCGTTTCCGACTGGATTGTGTAGATCTACCGATTGATGAATGTCGCCATGAATGAAAGACTGAGGTGTTAGGTCTCCACTGGATTACCGGAAGCGTGCAGATGCGTCGATGCAGGGATACTCTCAACGCAGCCGCTACTCTTCGTGCTACACAGATAGATCCCTTTGAAAGAAAACCAATTTTCTCCCCTGCCCCGCCAGATCAGGCGATTCTATCGCCACAGAATCTGTCGTACTTCTGTACCACTTGGAATGATAAACCTGGGTCATTGGAATGGCCTCAGGCTTTCTGGCCTCGGCCTTGGCAAAATAGTATAGCCTCGTTTGGCGATGCTCCCAGAAACGTCTTTAACCGAATTAACTGAGATTCTGCTCCCTAAGTCCAGAGCATACCTGTGATGAACAGTTGCTTGAGATCATACCTGATCGTTGGAATGTACCGAAGGCTTGGTGTTTTCTGAGATTGCATAAAACGGCCGCCTGCAGCCGACTTCAGGACATCTGCAGATGCCGTTGTTAGTCGTGGTTTGCTTGCCAGACCGTCTGGATTGTGCGAACAAAACGTTTGAATCAGCTTAGTTTGGCTAGGATGCCGCATCAAAGCTATGGTTGCTGCACGTTGGTTCTGCCGGCCCTCGGCCAACTGTCAACTCGGGAAGAGAACCCGGTACATGCAGCTTTCCATGGTGTGGCTTTCTCTGCACGGTTTTACAAGAGATCACAGGTGCCCGTTTGACTCCCGGCATTTGCACGGTCCATGCATCGAGCAAACCATTATGCCTGGAGCCCAAACGGCTCTATGAAAGGGACCTTATGGCTCATCTCGGATTGAGTGACGGATCCTTTGCCAAGGGTCTAACGCGGCGTGGTGATTGCAGGGGCACCCTCGCTCAAGCAAAGCCAGGCAAATCCCCCATCCAGAGAAGGACGGAGTTGAGTCGAGTAGACAGTAACGAAACACCCAGGGCAATGCGATTTGATGCGTCGATGGTGTCCTCGGCGGCGGCCTGCATGCAATCTCTTGCCGAAGCCCACTCTAGATTGACGGATGGAAAGCTTGCGAGGTGAGGGTCCCTGCCGTTCCTCCCGTTGGTGCTGGGATGGCGCATGCTCGTGCCGACTTGCAGTGCCAGCTACCGTCTGGAGACACAGATATTGATATTTGCTTGGTATAAAGCCGCGAAGCCACGGTATAAGTCAAGCCGTTTCTGCCCAACTCCAGCAACCACTGACCGTTGCTATACCACACTCGTTTGATCTTCCATTTGCCTTGCTCAGAATGCTTTCTTCTACCTTTCGCTTCGTTGCCCTCTTGGGTGTCAGTCTTGGGTAGGTGACTCAGTCTTAGTTGTCTTAGAGCGATGCTGACTTTGTAGTGCTTCTTTGGTGAGCGCCATTCCTAAGGCCAACTACCTGATTGTGAGCCCTCCGGAGACGGTCACAGTCACGACTTGCGGCTACCAATGCGCCAGCACCGTTACTGTGACAGAGACCTTAACCGAGACAGCCCCGTACTTCTTCACCTGCCAGCCTTCCAGTACCTCTGTGGCAACTGGACCCTTGGGCTCCCTGACGTTGTCCTCCAGCATCATCCCGCCTCCGCCCTTCACCCTCAGCAACACAACTTCTCAAGCCTCACATACACCTACGTCTTGGGCCACTGGTCCTGCTACCAGCTTGACTCCGTCATCTTCCACCGGAATCACCATTGAGACATCAACCCCTGGAGTCACCGTCTCCTCTCAGCTACCCAGTGTCAAGACTCCCAGCTCGTCATTTACGTGGTTCGTGAACAGTACCTCCTCGTAAGTCGTTCAGCAACTCTACTCAACGTCGTACAGTTCCTGATAAAGAACACAGGTCCCGCGGCAGCTCCAGTTCATTCAGCTATGGCACTGGCACCGCTGGAACAGGCGTTACGAGCGCAAGGCCTTCGCTTTCCACCAGCCTTTGGAGCAATTCCACAAAGCCCATCACGCCCACCCTTGGCATTACCAACACCGTCTCGTCAACCACAGACGATGTGACGATCCCCACCATTCCTAGTATCAGCATCCCTCCTCCCCCGGCCACTGTCACTGGACCCAATGCCACCGCCTCTTCAGGGCCATCCTACACGGTCACAACATACACCACCGTAAGGGTCATCAACACAACCGTCTCTTCCCAGCTCCCGGGCGCCTCTACGCTCTCACTTCCGGCCTCGGTTACGACTGTGAAAACCACTATGGTTGTCACCATTACGAACACCATCCCTCGCAGCACTGGCACTGGATACTCATCTACCAGTGGTGGAACCGGAGTATCCAGCGCGTTCCCCTCGCTCTCGTCGAGTAGTTCCATCCGCCTCTCCCACTCCCTTAGCTACGGGACAACTTCTACCTCAGCATGGCTCAACACGACTCTCACCGTCCCTGGGGTCAGTACTGAGACGACTTCCTCCAAAAGGGCACCTACCACAGGCGCAACCTTCAAACCCAGTTCCGAGGTGCCTACCACAGGTGCAACCTTCAGCTCTGGCTCCAAGGTGCCCTGCACAACAGACACAGAGTTGATGACGGGGTCCTCTGCCACACCAGGAACCACTGTCTCGAGCGCTTTGCCAAGTTTGGTCACCCCCACGACCACAAGCACTTCCACTACCGCCACCGATGAATACGAATTGTCCTCATCGTCTTCTCCGGAAACAACGGTGGGCAGTGTCAAGCCGTCCCTCGTTTCGAGCAGCGCTTCTGACATTCCCGGTGCTTACACGTCCGAGTCGTTACCAGGGACAACCGTCTCAGACGTCTTGCCAACCCTTGTCACCCCTTCAATTTCCAGTATCACCGATGCTTACGGAGCCTATCCGTCCACTTCGGAGGAATCAACTTCAGATTCCCCCGGAACCACGGTTGCCAGTGCACTGCCGTCTCTGGTAACGCCGTCCGTATCCAGCATGACGCTGAAACCGACCACTTTCGAGACTCGTAAGTCTGATGAGTCTACTTCAACCACGATCTCGTACCCTAGCTACGACTATGGCCACTCTCTTGAGGGAATGGATGTAAGGGCTTGAATAGGATAGTATGCCCAATGGACGGATGTTTCGCGGTTGGATATGGACAGTACGTGCGCCATCGAGACGGCATGAGGCTGAAGTACAAAACTGTTGATTCTCTTCTTGACTTTCATTTAGACCTATTTGCTGGTGAGGATTGTACGTTCGTACTGAAGTTGGGTTGAAGAATCCATAATTAAGAAAGGGCTAGGAATAACTTCAGTAGCGAGATTATGTCTAGAAAGGTTCAATACACCGTGATTTCTTGAACTTGTGCTCAACGTGGCTTTCACTTTTCGGTGACTTGACCATGTTCGACAATAGTCTCATCCTCAAATGTGGGATAATCAACATACCCGGTCTCTCTCACACCGTCCCAAGAGCCGTCAAACCGGCTTCGGTCATAATGATGCAGCGGAGCGCCGTTCATGAGACGGGCGGGCAAGTCGGGGTTGCTCACGAACCATTTGGCAAACGCAACTGCATCCCATCCACGCTCCAGTGCCTGCTCAAAATTCCCAGAACCCCAGTCGCCGCAAGTGAAGACGGGCGTGCCATCGAGGATCTGCCGGAAATGAAGATTTGAGACCTCTCGGAGGCTCCAATTGCGATAGAAGCCATCCTTTTCGGCCTGGGAATCGATGCGGTCGAGCCGGGGCTCAATGAAATGCACATAAGATAAGCGGTCTTTGCCGACGTAGGTATGGGCGGTTTGGGAGCAGAGATAGGCCCAAGTCTCTACTCGTTCGGTACCGCGGGTGTGATTGTAGATTCCCGTCGGCTCCAAGCGAATACCGACGTTGGAAGGGCCGATTGCGCTGGCGACGGCAGAGAGGAGGTCCAGTGGGAACCTAGCTCGCTTTTCCGGGCTGCCACCGTACGCGTCTGTTCGTTTGTTTATGTTTGAGTGAAGAAATTGGTCAAGGACTAACCTGTTAGTCGGCCCGAGCTGGTTCAAACTCATGCTCCATCAACTTACAGTTACCATTACCGCCGTTGATCTCGACGCCATCAAAGCCAACTTCGATAGCGGTCCTAGCTGCAGTGACAAAGTCGGCAACGGTGCGGTCCATGTCCTCCAGGGACATGGCCTGAGGTGGATGGTCCTTATACGATATCTTCTCCTTCGTGACGGGGTCTCGGAAGGGGAACTTTTCATCATCATCCCACGGCGTCGCAAAAGCACTCAATGTCGGGGATCCCGTCATGTGCGGAATCGTTGCCCGACCGGCGTGCCACAGCTGAGCGTAGATGAAGTCACCCCTGTCATGGACACCCCTCACAACATGCCGCCAGCCGCCAATTTGTGACGGATGGAATATACCGGGCACGCCTGGCATCCCGCTTGCTTCAGCGAGGGCGGGATTCCTTCGGTGATGAGCAGGCCTCCTTTCGAGGCCCTCTGCGCGTAGTAGAGTGCAACAAGATCGTCGGGAAGCCAACCTCGGTTCGGTTTCTCGGAAGTGCCCTCTGTGAGTGGCACTCCGCGGTTGCGGGTCATGGGGGCCATGATGACCCGGTGCTGCAGTGTGATGCGCCCATTTGCGATCGAAAGCGGTGTGGACACAGTTGATGACATGGCGCGCGCAGGTGGCGGGAATCAGGCAAGTCAATGTAGTTCAACCTGCGTCTGGTGATGAATGTGAAAAACGCTTCTTGGCCTTACCACCGATGCAAGAATGTAGAGTTTCTTGGGCTTCCTGGGCACATGAAGTCACAGCGGAACGCCGGATTGCCAAGGTTCAAGTACGATGTCGCCATCTATGAACTCGGCGATTGGGCGAACACCCATGGGCTGCAGGAAGCCGCACGAGATGCGCAGACACCATCGGGACCTCGCATTCGACTTCCGGGAGTCTTGACAGATATTCTTATATCTTTCCAAGACGATCATGGATTATCCCGTTTCTGTATCGGGATTACAGTCTTCCTTGGTACAGTTTCTTCTTCCCGCTATTATTAATATTTGCTAATCATGGTGTTGAACCGTGCAGCTACGGTACCCAACTCGAGGCATAGCCTCTACCCATTTAGCTTTTGTCACAACTTCACAAAATCATACCAATTGCGTCTCATTCGATGGTTGAATAAGTATCATTCATTTTGGGGCCGTACGGTAGTTGATCAGGAGGCTTGTCGACGGCGTTGCGTGGTGATGGCCGACTTCCAACACGGGTCATTGCGGGTTGGCGCCGGATGATGTGGAAATTTTCGGGCGACATAAACTATGTCCACATATTCCCATCGGTCAAGAGATAAAATACAACACGCCGAGAATCCGATGGTCGTTGTAAACTGTCGCAAAAACGACGCCATTAATTACGGGCAGTAATTAACGTCTTATACCTTCTGTGACACAGTCGCTCTGTGCGATATAAACCTTTGCGGATACCAGTGTTGTCTAGTTCTCCCCGACAAGTTGAAAGTGTTACATACGCGATCCAAGGAAACGAAAGAAGAGGGGCATAAAAGTCGGACCAATATGCTGAAAAAAAAGGCGAGGCATTCCTCTCCTGGCCCTGCTTCGTGATAGATTTACCCAAACAGAGCGCGTCCAACGTTGGGCGGATGGATATGCTTCTATTTCTGTGGCCTAGAGCTGCCATCACCATTGGAATTTTTCCATCTTTGAAGCGGGAACTGGGGCACCTATACTACCTAATGTCTCTGGTGTGCGCAGCAAAGGTGACTCAAGCGGACTAGTGCCAGGCTCAGCTGGTTGGCTAGAAGAAAGTTCCGTCCATCCCTTGAGGTTAGAGCGTTTGCAGAATGTCGCTGACAAAGCCGACAGGAGATTACTTCGTTCTAGGAGGGTTCGTCCATCCATCCATCCCTCCTCTCCGGCAGGCCGCAAGCGTTTAAAGCACCTGGAGCTGAGATCTGTGGCACCTGTCCACCCGTTCAGTTTACTGGGACTTATGGTTCAGTGTGCCCCGTTGGTGGCATATCATGTAATCAAGTCGACACGTGCATGTAATAATATGCGTCAAGCTTCAGTCCAGCCCTGCATCGTAACCGAAAGCATCCCTTTGTTGTACACCTCTTGGCCATCCTCTCCTGGTTATAGACAAGGGTGAAGGCTAAGTACGCTGCCACAGCAAACCGGACAAAGCTATTGTCTTTCTGCATTGCGCCCCAAAGCTCATCAGTACATTATTGTTGGACCTACTGCCTTACGGGCAGGACTATCCCCGCCAAGAGTAGCCACATAGGCTGCACCTGGCATATTTCCAATGCAGCTGGCTCGACTCTATTTCCTACCAAGAGGCTCGGTAAAAGCCACCAAAGCCCGCAGCTGGGTTGCATCAATGGTGTGGCTGTCCGAGAGCGTCCAAATGCGTTCGAATTACCTCCAGATGGCGGCTACTATGGCGCCTTTGGCCAGGCTGGAACACCACAATGAATTGCTTGAAGCGGTCGCGGGAGGGCCCGACGAGCTGTGCCAGTGCCGCGAGCTCTGATTGTGTGGCATAATAAAACCAACAAATCTCTGAGGCTGTTGCGTCTGAGTGCAAAGGATTCTACACTTCTCGGGCCGTTTATGACTTGGCAAGTCTCCTCGTCTCTCAGTGCTCCTTCACCATGCGAGTCCCCTCTCTCGTTCTCGTCATTGTGGCACTGTCTGTCGGCGGAGATGCTCAGAACTTTAGCCTTTCATTGACTCGTCATGCATCGGCAGTTTCTTCTTCCGTACAACTTGCAGCGTCGCCCGCATCTGCGGACTCTCAAGGTACCAATACCTTTCCGGATGCCACGCCCTTGCCGCGGACGTGAACTTCAGCCAGGATGTCGAGCATCTTAGCAGGCTAACAAATCCCATAGCGGCGATTCGTAACAGTGAGCCCGGTAAATCAGAGGCAACACTTAGGCCATCGGCAACAAGTGCTCCCCTGAGCTCAGCACGATTTTCAGTAAGACTCAAAACCTCTTCCACGAGAGATGTGATCCCGGCCGAGCCTGCATCAAACCCTGCACCGGTAGTTGCTACGTCAGGAGGACCTGTGGTGCAGGGGGGGGGAGGCCAAGGACAAAGTGCCCGACCTCCGCAAGTCTCAACCCTAGTGAGGGCGGGCTTCGGTCTCGATGGGAGCATCAATCCAAGTTTGAGGGGGACAAAGAGCCCATTGGGCCGTCACAGAACACCTCAAGTTCTAACAAAATGCAGGGCACTCAGGCACGGCCTGATTCGGCTCGAGAATCCGACGGCATAGTCTCTGGCCAGGCACAGGCATCAGTTGCTGCTACCGCTGGTCAGCCACAAATTTCGGGGACTGGAGTGTCAGCGAGTAGCACTGATCGGAATGCATCATCACAATTGTAGGTCTTCCGCACATGCTTGGTGTCATAGACTTACTGACTTTCCAAGATCCGGGACCGGCACGCTCGATTCCGGTGTGGCCACGGGCACGATTTCGTCGCCAGAACTAGCTACTACAGCCTCTTTCCGCGCGCAACCCTCCGATGGGTTCAACGCTGTTAATGACACGGCCCTGAGAGCTATGCCCGAGTCCGATATGCTAACACGTCCAGATGTGGCGAGTGTTGAGGAACTGAATGCCGAGCTCGCCGTTAGCATTCCCGACCAGGGCATGAGTGAGAAGAACGCCAAGGCAATTGCTGTCCTCGAGACGGCGTACTTTGAATATTTTGTCACCAAGGATCCGGCGCCAGTGGACGTAGGAAAGCTATCGATTCCGCCAAGCATTTCACAATGCCAAAACAAGTACGCGGATAAGCTGACCAATTCGAAAAGTTTCATCGCCGGCGTTCTTAACTGGGTACCGCTCGTATCGAGGAACCTCCGCGGCTTCGATAATTGCAAAGCCGTTGAATCGCTGGAGGTCGGAGTTTACTTTCACTACATGAGAGCATCACCAACAGCCGCTCGCCCCAATGAACTGGAAGCCAGAGTCAAGGCACAAGTGGGTTTATTTGTGTTCTAATGATAGCAGTTCTTGCGGCTGACATTGAGCAGGTCGACACTCTTAATGAGGCACTGGGAGCAGTGAGGATCAACTTTCGCCTCATGGCGCTGAATTGGTGGGAGCCGAAGGCGAACGAGGACTGGTCAAAGGTGTCGCGACGCGAGCACAAGCTCACTGAATGGCAACATCGAACCCGAGCCCCCGGAAAGCTGGTGCTCACGGTCTGGATAGTGAACGGCCTCCGCGACGGTGGCAAGGATGACCAAGAACTGAACGGTGTAAGCCCTGTTATGCTTTTACTGCTTTGACATCTGCAGCCCAGCCATTGAAAATGAGCTGACATCAAAAGACAGTATGCCACCTTCCCCAATGAGAAGCTCGATGACGCAGACGGCATTGTAATCGAAGAGGCGCGAGTGCAGGGAGGCGATGCCACGACGCTCGTCCACGATGTTGGCCACTGGTTTGGCTTGGGCCACACGTTCAACGAGCTCGGCCAGGAATGCCTTATCCAAAGCGGCTTGACCAACGCCACACAAACGTCTGGCAACCGGGATGTAGTGTTCCAGTGCTCGCAGGTGACGTGTGCTGGCGGGCCGGCAGTAGACGTGAACAACTACATGAGCGTAATCCACCCCCCATGACTTCCATCTTGGCGTCTTTACCACTGGAAGACGGCAGCGCTAACACGGCTCGCTTTGCGAATAGTACTCTTCGTGCCGTGGCAAGACGCCGCGAGACGGCTTTACCACGGACCAAAAGGCACGGATGTTTGCCAACGCACTTCAATTCCGTCGCGGGTACGAGTCGGGAGAGTGCATGCCGGACGGGTCGGCTGCTGTGAAGAAGAGATCAAGCATGCAGGACCTGCTCGATGGGAAGTGTCCTGATGTCGACAAGCAGGCCAGCATCCTGATAAACGTGCCACACAGTTCGGGAACAATCCCTTCCTCTTCGACAGGCTGGCTTTGGGCTGCGACAGTGGCACCATGTGCTTTCGTTCTATCATTCTTGTGGGCTTTTATTTAGGCATGAGTTATTGGCATGTTCTTGTTACCCCGCCGATGCCCCTCAGTTTATGAGATAGAAGTCATTTGGGGAAGGCGAGTTTGATCGAGAATGACACCCTGCATCAACTGAGTTCACTTACGGCAGATACACGTAAAAGTTTCAGAAAAGTCATGTTATTCTTGAACCTGTGTACCGAGCTGATTGTGTTGCGTGAATTTCAAGCGCTACCCTATGACGTCCCAAGTATTAAGATCGGGCACCGCATATAGGTTTGTTTAGCCTATGGTTTACTAATACAGCATCAACCTTGGTCCACCTCGTTGAGCTTACATCTCAACACCAAGCAAACAATAAAGCCGGCCCACCATGGCAGCCAGCTCAGAATGGCCCCTCACGCTCAATATGAGTATTCAGACTTCGCTTAGATGGCAAGAGCACCAAGGAGGAGCATGGCCAAACCTCCAAAAGGAGCAACGCCAGCGGCGCCGGCCTGGACGGGAGTGGTAGTGGTCGCAGTAGCATTGGCAGTGGAAGTAGCGGCAGCGTGGCTGGTTGCGGTGGTGGCAGCGTGAGAGGCGGCAGCCGAGCTATGGTAGCTCGCGGAGGAGGCAGCGGCAGAGGTGGCGGCAGCAGCGGATGATGCGGCGGCCGGAGCAGAGCTAGCAGCACCACCACCGGCGGCAGCTTCGGCGCAAAGCTTGTCGGAAGCAGGGAGCACCTGGTCTAGAGGATGGTTAGTTTCTAATGATGATGGGACCTTCCGGATCGAACATTGTCACCACGTACTCAGGGCTGTGTCAGCGCCGCAGGCCGCAAGCACGCAGCTGCTGGCGGCGGCTGAGATGGCGGCCTTGTTGGCGGGCTCGCAGGTGCAAGCGTAATCGCCAAGCTTGCAAGAGGTGGCCGAGGAGGTGGCGTCGGCCAAGCACTTTTGAGCGCACTCGGGGATGGGGCTCGAGCCGGACTGGGCGGCGGCGACGGCGATGAGGGAGGCGAGGGCGAAGGAGTACTTCATCTTGACTGTCTTTGGGTATTGGTAGAGGTAGTGGGCGGTGATGTTGATGAGGAGTTAGAGTGGGCCGCGTACAACAACAGGAGACAACGAGTGTCAGTTTGATCGAGACAAGCGAATGTGGATGAGAGGCGATAGACGAAGAAAGGGGAGGTGGAACTGAGGGGAGCAGGGCCTTATGTAGGTGATGATCTAGAGAATGGCTGCAAACCCAATACTTTCCGTCCAATTAGGTATAGGCGGGTCTATGAGTGAGTTTGCAAGGAGATCAAACACTATCAGATGAACCTGACCGGCGTATTTGATTAAAGCTGGGAAGATACGGACAAGCACAAAGTGGAGTATCTCCGTTTCTGTCCTTTACGCCGATCATCATGCCCAGTCACTTCTCAACCGCAAAATTCGACTAGGGAAGCAAGAACCTGGAAGGACGAGAGCAATCAATGGCGGAAGAATCTGGGGAAGTGGGCAAAACGAGATCCTTGCCTTGAAGCAGTCTCTAGGAATCTCACATGTGTACACAACGCGCGCGTCGTAACGATGTGATGAAATAGTGTCCAGCGACAATAAGACCAATGTGGATGTCCTTGAGCCGTAGTGCCCCGCGCCATTCTCAGCCTACGAGTGGTCTGCGGACCTCAAGGCGACGGCGCGAGTGACCATCGGGCTGGGATGCCGGATTGGATAGCCTCTTCCGATAGATTGAGCCCTACCAAGGCTCGCGCGTGTTGCAAGGGGGCATTGTCGTAGTGGTGGTGGCGTGTATGAAGCAAAATATTAGTAGGTCCTCTTTAGTGAATTCACCTTGCTCGACATGTGAAAGAGATGGATTCCCGCGAGAAATGTGGCATGCTGCAGGCTTATGACGGCGCTTTTGCGGAGTTGGGAACCTGGATCGGCCGTATGAGACCACCCCGATCATACGACGAGGGCGGCTCGCCTCAGTCAAGGTTGTTTTCCGGCACTCAGTTCACCAGATAGAAAATCCGGGGTAAGACAACGAGATCGTTTCTTGGCCACCGCTAGCCGCTAATTCCTGCTATATGTGCGGCCTATCACGCCTCAGGACTATTGTGATGGGATGATATTTGATGCTCTATCATCAGTCAACAGAAGGTGATTGGTTGCACTAAGAGCTCGGGGCCTTATGATCTGGAAAGTGACTTGGCCCAATGGCTGGCCGGTGCTGGCCGTTTCGGTGTATTCCCGTCATAGGGAGACCTGCATTGTGTCTGAGTTGGTCGAATCGGACGTCTCAACGCTTCAGAAGCCAGGAGCTAGGCCGAGTTGCCGGAACATTGCCTGCTCGTATTTCAAAAGGTCAATGAATCAACTACCTACTCAGGATAGCCCGGTTTGCCACGCTGAGAGGCGACTAGGGACGGACAAGGCGGATGCAGGAACATGGCGGCAAAGCATGCATCAACTTACAAAAGGGGATTAGCTTTGTGCGGGGGAAATTGCCATCACATCACGCAGAGGAAACACTGCAATGCGTCCCCTCTTCCCTCCACTTCCCTCGGTATCTGGCCAAAGTGTGTGTGCAACCCATGTAGCGTAGGCGGCGGTGTGCTCTGTTCCAATCCTGCCAATAATGAAACGGATGTCGCCTTTTCGGGATGTTGATGGACGGTGGGAGGAACAACGCAGACTGGTTGGTGGCGGCTGTCTTTGATGCCGACCTACCAAGGCGAATGTACTTCTCTTTCCCGCCCCACGTACCTGATCCATCCTCTTGCAGGAACATGTTCCAAAGAGAGAAGAGAGGAATGGAATGTATCAGACAATGGGGTCAGTTGTTTGTGTGCCTGGATATTGGCGACGAATTAAATCGCACTGATGCCACATTTGATTCTGCCAAATGTACGCCATGACGCGAGCGGTTCATGGAGGAGCAAACAGCCGCGCTACCTGTTCTTGGAGCTGGATTTGTTCGGATTTCGGACTGGCTTGAGCTAGGTGGAATAATGGAGGGTCTGGCCGGTGACTGGCCAACTCTCTGATATAACTCCTTGACTCATAACTCTATAATGCCAGAGCTAACGACGGACTAGACACTATTGGCAAATCCCCTCGAAGCTGGACCCCGCTTAAGATGGTGTCCTGCGGGCCCTTTGCTAGGAGCGATGCAAGGATGTGCCGGCGATGTGGCTCGACGAATTGGCCGACCAAGCCGCACCCTTTTCCAGCTTTGCCTTCTGCCACCAAGAATGGACTGATAAACCCTCTAGCTGCTCCACACTAGCTACTTTAGCTGTGAAGTTGGTTTATGTCGATAATCACCACCTGCGCATGCTAAGTAGCGCTGGGTAAGAGACGATTTGGACCTACATTACACCTCGACCTGCATCATATTTCCCACAATTGGTTACTGGGGTGGGAGGGCTCAGGGAATAGCTTTTTGACATATCAATACTGGTGGTCTCCTCTCCTCTCCACCGCGCGCGCGCCGGTGGTATCCGTATGCCATGCGATATCCGTGCCCAAATGGAGTCTCTTTTCCTTTCATTTCATCTGGCGGTCTTGACAGCAAAACGATAATGAGGTGGGTCCCATACTACTAAGCAAGGTAATAAAAATAGCCCTTGATCTAATCAATTTATTATCGTTTCCCGTCGATGTTGAATCGTGTGTCGTTGCGCCACTTTTTCTTATCATATTTTTGGGGGGGCTAGGCCGCCCGTTTCTTCGAGTATTGATTGCTTGAATACGGATACATGATGTGAGTTTTACTACCTGTACGGAGTACATTCCACATCTGTGGCGGAACGGGCTCGCGGCTCCTTTCGCCGGCCGCCGGGCTGCAAGCTCATGGGTCTGGAAGGGGAAACTGAGTCGCGCACCTCGGTATTTCTTTGACAATCCGTTGAGGTTGAGGTCGATCATCGATGCCCACGGCCTTCCTAAGGCAAAGACTTGGCCCTGACTTTCCGCCTGTCAGTCGTCCTAGGTGTAACAGAGCTAGCCATCACACCTTACACACTAAACACCGGCCTTTAGCACTTTGTGCATTTATGCTGGTGCAAGCGCCGTGCCGCAACCCTGTTTCTCGACGGCTTTGATTCCTTCGGTGGCCATCTGTCAGCTTTTGTTTTGACGTCGCCGCATCTCTCTTCCTCTCCTCCGAGATCTCATGATCTATGTGATGGATATCACAGCTCTCCACAGACCTAATCGAGCATCGCACCGTTTCTTCTTACTTAATATTATGAAACTTGCCTGGAGGCTCTGCAATGACACTTTTTCGACGTGCTCCCAGAGCTGGAGACTTTTCACTCGAGCTATTCCAGATACGGTGTCTCCGAGCATGCTGGTAATCTTGCCTCCTTGCAGTACGCTAGTATTACCAGATGGGTTAGAGTTTGAATATGCTCGGTGAATCATTCATTTCCTGAGATTGCTTCGGATTACTATAGGCATCAACTGTCTCGGATGAGTAGATTGTTTCTACAGCGGCTTGTAGTTTTAGGCAATCCATCATTTCTTCCCCTGAATGCCTCAACATAACCTCTCCTGTGTGGGAAAGTTGATACAAGAGGACTATATGGGACTATAAGAGGGCAATATGAGAACTTCGCTGAATTAGAATCTATATTGTAGAAGCTGCGACTAGATGTTGTATTTTATGTATAGATATATAGCCTTACCACCTATACATATTGAAGTTTCTAATCTGTGTGTAATATGTGGTCTCTTACTACATGAAGTGAGAAGGTAGAAGATATTATCTAAATCTAGTCAGCAACACTAGCTTGCCTATAATCTGCCACCTTCCTCTCGACAAGATATACTCCCTCTTTCAGCCCTCATCTTTGTGCTTGACCAAGTCTCTGTTGAGCTAAACTGCCCCGAAAGTGCCTTTGCAGCCCCTGCTTACTTGAGCTTTAGTGTTTTGGCTTATATTTGATATTGCGGCGAACAGCCTCGAATACCTCCACATCCCTACATCTGCTCCTTGGAAAGATGATTTTATTGCCGCAGGTGCTGGAATGCCTTCCAATTGCAATGGCAAGTGTATTTGACCGGGTTACGATGTGATGCTGCACAACCTCCCACCGCCAACGGGCGTCAGAAATGTCCCTCGATGAATCCGGGAGCTCGTCAATAGCGTATCGACTTTCTTTCCCACGGCATCATCATGGTATCTATGTGTCGGTCTCCAGTGGGTAGTATTCCTTGACATCCCACGACTGGTGCGTGAAGCGTCGAAATCTCAACAAAGCCTCATCGATTAATTTTGGGGGCGCAATCTTCACTGATTCCCTGTCGCAGAAGTTGATCGAGCATACTGCCATGAAATGACAATGCCTTGTACTTAACAGCGTCTCTTTATCATGGAGCTAAAGCATAGAGCACAAATGAGACCTTGATCCAATTGCACACTACAAGAGCCAAAAGGGCCCCAGGCCACAGGCCAATCTCATGCTGAAGGCTAACAACGAAAAAGGTACACGCCATTGCCTCGTCCTCTAATAGACGTAGAATGCGGTGGCTTCGTCATTGGATGCCCTTAGTCTCGCATTCCGCCTCTTCACAATAATCTTAGCGAGCCACGCAAGAGCGGCTGTTGCGACGCTGAAAGCAGCACTGCTTGACATGCCAATAACGTAGCGAGGCTCGTCGCTGCTCGGCCAGAGGTAAGGTGTCCAGATAAAGCTGATGTTCATAATCATGGTAACGCAAGCAATTGCCGCCGCTTTCTTCTCTTTGGTCTGCCCGCAGACACTGCCGCACCAACCAAGCTGGGACATCATGTTAGCCGAACTGTACCCCTTTGCTTCCTCATCCCAATATTCAATTCACTTACAATGAGACTGTTGACGCCGTATGTCCCAATGGTGAAGATCACCATTGACACGTATCTGGTGACCGTGTTGAGAGTGGCGCATGCCGAAACGAAGCCAATGACAGCAACGGCTTTGGAAATAGTGATGTGCCATGTTCGCTCGTTGAACTTGCCAGATGACCAGGAAACGGCAATAGTAACGGCACCGGCGATAAGGTATGGAGGGCAGGTGAGGACCAGGGTGATGGTTGTGTTGAAACCAAGGGTCTCAACGACGGTGGGAAACTAATATCATGTCATTGTTAGTACCCGATTCAGATTTTCATGTAGGAGCAGAGAAATCTTACAAAGTTCTTGAAGCCGTTGGCAGCAAGGTGCATATGCGCCATGGCGCAGAAAATCCACACCATTGGATCCTTGGTAGCCTGGCCCAGACCTTTCCAGGTGCTTGTCTCTCCCTTGTTACCAACAGTGTCGAGTTCCATTCGGTTGTGGGCGAGATCGCGCTCCTCCTGCGTCAACCATTTAGTGGTCAGGGGAAAGTCAGGGAGAAGGAAGAAGCCGACGACAGCAATGACAAAGGTCACTGCGCCTTGCAGGATGAACAGCCACTTCCAGCCAGCAAGGCCTCCAACGTCGTCCATCCCATGGAAGATACCCGCAGCGATAAGGCCAGCGAAAGCGGTAGCGAGGATGTTCCCAGTATATAAGATGGCGATTCGGGTCGCGACCTCCTTACGGGTGTAAAAGATGGAAAGCAAATAGACAGCTCCAGGGTAATACGGGGCTTCTGTGACTCCGAGGAAGAATCGGGTAAGGAGAAGACCAGTGAAGTCCTTGGATACAGCAGTCAAAGCACTGACAACCGCCCAAAGCATCATCATGATACCCTATAAGGCAGAGTTAGCTCCATGGCAGAATTATGTTTATGGCTACAGATCGTACCATGTAGCGGCTTGGGCGAGTACGAGTGAGGAACATATTCGATGGAATCTGGCCCCTGTGGTATTACTATTAGCATCTGATGCTATGTATAGTGTACTTATGACTGAAAACATACAAAATGTAACCAACGAAGAGAATCGACACACAAGTCTGGTACTCTTACAATGATATGAGCAATTAGCTGGGACTCGTCATACGTTTCTGGGAAGTGTATTAACGTACGGGATCCAGTGAGATTGAGGTCCTCTTCGAGGTCATTAAGACGTGCCAGCGCAATGGCATTGCGATCCAGGTACTGTAGTCCAAGTCAGTATCGTGACAGGTGACGATACACCACGATAGTACCTACGTTGAGCCAATACATTGACCAGAGCATCGGCTACACACAGTTGTTAATCAGTGGTCGATGGATCTACAGAAAGAGATAGTGCATACCATGATCCATCTGTCCAACTTCTTCACCAGGGCGATTTCCTTAGGATCAGTCTTCTCCTGCGCGCCAGAATAGTCTACTTTGCTCGTGTTACGGGGGATCGGCTTTTCGGGGTTTTCATCCTCGAAGATCTGAGGCTCAGCGTCCTTGACCCTGTCAGCGTCAACGGAGTTGTTTCCAGCCATGGTGGAAAAAATAAGGCGTAAGACTTCACAGAAGTCTTGATGCAAAAAAGATGTAGAAGATGAGAGAGCCGGGATAACTACTGGGCGTCGCTGAGCTCAGAGCACCATGAAGCCAGCACTCGTCTGGCTATGTCCTCTTGGGAATGGTGGCCCTTATGTACTCATCCATGGTGGGGGATGCACAGGCTTGGAAGCTGGTGAAGACACCTCGAAAACTTCCCCTCCATGTTGTGACCCCGTGTCGTCCCCCGGATTCACCGGGGATACGGACGAGACAGTATCTGGGGATATACACACACGCATCATGACACGCTCATCGTGAAATGAACTTGGGTCATTGATTGCCAAGCCATGCCCGACATATTCCGAACACTCAAGAAGATATTAGTCTCCCAAGAACGGTCTGCCTGCATGGATGGCAAATAATCCCGGGAGATGTACGAGCTGAGCTCAAGCCGCGTGCCCGTTGACTAGCAGCTATTCCATACGGTAGGCAGCCAAGGACGATCCATGAATGAATCCTTGGTGTCGTAGAAGTCGGCAACCAAGAAAATCCAAGCTTGTGTTATGTCACATCGTTCCTGGTAAGCAAGGTGCTCAAGCTCCTTGGCCAGGGTTGGTGTCGATCAGAGACATTGAGCTTTCCCGCCTTCTTGTCGTATGGCGCTGGCAGGAAGATGAACTGCCGGAGGGGGAAATTCCCCGGTGGTATGAGGAGGGCTTTCCTTGGCTCTGCAACTTGATGACTCGCCCTGGGTCATCAGCTGGAAGCCTCTCGCAGTTTGTCCAGTGACGAGAGCTAGAACGACGAGATAGGCAGGATGCCCGTTGCAATCCATTTCGCGGGGTACCTAGGTCCACCCGGAGGCGCCCGCTTCCTGCCGTGGCCGGGGTAGTGTGTCGGGGGCTGTGCATGTTGTTTCCATCCGGGGTAAAAGGAGTATTGGCTGGCGGTGAGGTGTAGATGTTGTCGATGACGACCCTGTTGCTCGGCCTTCTTTCGGGTAGGCGGCTGAGGGAAAGCCCTCCATGGGGTGAAGAGGGGAGCCGTGGCAAGCGGCAAAGACACAGATACGGAAGTGGAACGGGGATCAAGGGGTAACATGCGGTCTTGATTTGTGAAGCACCACCAAAGGGTGCTGAGAGCGGGCTTCGATGCGGGTTCCAAGACAATGGCGTCGCGCGCCAAGCAGCTCCAACCAGTGCCAACTTGTCAATTCCAAGCTTAGCCAACGGGCTGAACGCGGTGTACACAATAGCTTGCTTCCTTGCCCTTCGAGGGAGGGGTAACTTAAGGTTTTGGGCAGCTGGCGTGCTTGTGCAACTTGAGTGTGTGTCTCGTGTGATCGGCACGTCTTGAGTAGCCCTCCTTGTTCTCATAATAGCAACAAATCATGCTTGACATGATCAAGCCCTTTCATGGCGCGGCGCGCTAGAATGCTTCAATTGAGGCTAGAAGTTGAAAAGCTGCCGAGAGAAGTGCTCGGATAAGGCCGATAGAACGGCGACGACACAGGCCAGACATCAAGTCTCCCGCAAATATCAAAATACAAAGCCCCCAAACACTGGAAAGCCAAACGTACTATCCCAGAGCAGTACTCCATTGGTCCGTCAATGGGAGAGAAGTCGGCGATAAACCAATCACGATGCGCTTGATGATTATAGTAGTACGCAAGCATGTCGTTGTCTGACCATTATGTAGGATCGCAGATGACCATCCAGGGTGGGCAGCCTGGCCTGCGCATCCTTGCGAGACACCGCTCGCACCGTGAACCAACCCAACGGGCTTCCATGGCCACGGCTGCAGTCTCATCTTGCTCTTGGGTGTTCTCCAGAGCGGGCCAGAGCAGCACGCCCAATAATGAAGATAAGCCGGCAGGCAGGACGAACGCGTTGGGGAAGAGTCCCATTCCGGCCAGGTGAGGTAAGGGGAGTCTAAGCCAAGGGCGCGTCTTCGGAAATGTCAAAAACCAGGTTGACAGGTTGACGGCAGGCGACACGGCGAGGATTCCCCGGATCCTTAACCCCACAGCGGCCCATACTATCGGACCCCAATTTTGGGTCACCACACACGAACAATGGCGTGCACTCCTGGCAGTTCTCCAATCCCAACTCAGGCCTGGGGTAGGTAGTTGTTCGAGCCGGCGTGGCGAACGAGGTAATTGCTTGGTGACTATGAGGCATAATTCTTGCGTTCCTTTCGTGCTGACTTGTAGAGACGCTTGATTGGGCTGTCTTCAGCCAAGAAATTACTGGTGTGAAAAGTCGAGAGCCCAGTGGAAGGCCAAGACCGCCGAGTGTCAGGAGGCCCAGCTGGGCATGCAGGCCTAGCGCTTGCTCTCGGCCTCTTGGCGAGAGGGGGAAAATGAGAAAGAGGACCGAGTGATAAGTTAGGGAACGCAACATCATCAGGTGTACTCAGCAGCGTTGCCCAAAGTTGAGCCCGACTCTATGGGCGTATATATGAATGAGAAAGCAGTCGACTCTGGTTGAAGGTATCATCAGAATGTCTAGAAACGGGCTATATCAGTGGTCGAATATTAATACACGTTTCGTCCCTCATGCAGAAACACAGATCCATGCATGAGAAACGGGCTAGGTATACTAGATCGCTCCCCTCAATGGCTATGCAAGCAATACCCCTGGCTCCAACTTTTGCACTAAGAGTGGAAGCGAGCCAACCTCCCCCATTCCGGGCGATAGTTCGTGTGGCCTGCCGCCTGCGCGTTCGGTCGGTTGATGATCCCCGTCATCCTTCTCCTCTTCCCCATCTCAAACCAAGACCAAGCCAACTACCTCCCACCACAACATGTCTAGCGCGCAAATTAACCCAGTTGGTGAAGTTCGACGTGGAACTCGTTTACAGGTCGGTGAAAAAGCCGACCAAGGACCAAACTCCGTCCGTGATAACGGGGGGAACACCGTGCCATATGCTTGGGGGCTTGGCTCGTCGTACGACAAACTAGCTACCCCTCCAGAGCTATATGTATTTTAAGAGAAGGGAGAAGAGAGAGGGTAGATCCAGCAAGGCCCATGATCCAGATGGCTCAACCCAGCAATGCGTGGCCCCATGGGAAAGTCGCGTGGCTCTTCAAATATGGAGCAGGGACCAGAACTGGTCGGGGGCCATTTCTTTCTACTAGCGTCGTCACGCTCAATTACGAATATGGCATGGAGACATTGCCAATAGTGGAGTTGGATATTGACGTGTGTATTTTCAAGCATCTGGCACGACCTGTCCTGCCCCAATCATATTTTATTTGACTGCCCTGTTGTCAGCCCTGCTGTAGCGAAGGACTCAATTTTGCCCTGTCTTCTGTTCATCCCAACGGTACGTGTTAGGTCGTCCGTCACCTAAATGCATTTATAAGTTGCTTACATTAAAACCAAAGATTAGAAGGTTTGGTATAGACGGGTGTGAGATTTCGGGCCGCTTTATTTGCGTAAGGAGACCTTACCGCAAAGCTGATAAACTCACTTTGTCTCATCGATAACTTCAAGATGGGTACTGAAGAAGCCGTCAACCGGAGAAATTACGTTGTTGGTCTGGATCATTTAAACGAGGAGAGATGTGGCTATTCCACGCATTATACTGCCAAGTGGTCTAAAACTCTTTATCCAAGCGTGCATATCATCAAAGCTAATTAGCATATGTGCCATCACTAGTGTTAAGTCGAATAAACCTCCCGCTACGAAGTTGGCATTAATGTCCTTATTCTATATGTTGAGCAAGAAGGCCTCTAACTAGCTACTATTCAATGTGTCCTTATGTGGGTCAAGTAGTGCAATATAAAGAAGAGCGAATCCATGCAGAAACTATGCGATGAGCAGTTCCCGCATCAATCGTGTGCAAGAACTAAGCCTCTCAGTAATGTTGAATGAAAGTGTAGTACATAGATAGACAGACACCATTGGCCGCAATATTTCCTAACTTGCTGTTATCACCAAGATTATTGTTCCACCAATGTATTGGTTCTCAAGCTTCGATACCGTTCTAAGTGAGCTGCGACCTCCGCAAGTGAGGGTGTCGTCTTTGACCTTTTCCCCAGAATACCTCAAGATTACTTCTGCTGCCGATCACTCGCTTGGAGTGTTAAGACCACATCTGTTTTAAGTTTCTTTTTGATTGCCCTCGTCAAAAGCATATAGACGTCGCCGCTCAACGGGAAAGGCGGTAATCACATATTTCGTCCTCATAAACATGTGGTCGGCCCAAGCCTTCCAAGCTCTTCCATGCCCTTTGCCATGTTGGTCCACCGCCGAAGTTCCTCTAAAATGCTTCTAGGGGCCTTGTTGAGCGATGAGCTTAGTGAGAAATGTGGCGGCTGTGTTCAGAGGCAGGTCTCCCAGAATGAAGAGTCAAAGGTACAAGAGTGAAGAAGGGGGTATAGCCGGATCTACCTCTTAACGGCAATCTTGGCCTATTCTATGCAGATGCATAAAGAATCCAAAATATCTAGATGCTGGCCTATTAAGCAGCAAATGGAAGTCTGGGCTGATCCATCACCTGATTCATATAGCGGTGCTGTCATTAACTTCTATCTGGATTGATCAGGTTACACAGTTCAGCGGCCCTATCTTAGAGAAACGGACAACACGGACGATACCGTGGAGTCTAAACTTAAGCAAAACAAGAAGAAAATTCTCACTCAGGCTGTGTCTGACGGCTGGGGCTTGTACTCCAAAGTAGTTCTCTGGGCCAGGCTGACCCGAGGGGGGAGGAGTAGGGCTTTATAGAGAAGAAAGATCTCACGAGCTAGAGCACACAGAAAATAGGGGTCATACTGAAGGTGAAGAGCAGCTTGATTGTAGGAAATGGGTTCCCACGAGAGAGGGTCCATAAAGATATAAGTTCCAAGGTTGGTCAGGTGACATCACACATGGCGTGGCTAATACTACCCGCCACACCGGCATGAGCCTCCTGTGATAGAAGATGCGACTTCATGGTTGCCATGAACACTTGACGGTATGCTTCTAAGAACATTCTGGACTGCTTGAGTAAATCATTAGAGAACTAGTGTTTGCCATGAACTTATTGAGGATATACGGTTGAATTTCGGCAGTGAGGATAAGTAACGATGATACTCGGTGCCCTCCGCACAATCGAATACAGCAGAGCTCGGATTTTCAATCCAATGCACATTACAATACAAGTATTGCATGCTAGTATCTGGGTCCTATGCTGGTTTTCATCATATATTCTCGTTCTCATTAAGTTTCATTCCTTTCATAATGAGTTAGGCAAGAGCCGCAGCCTTCTATTGTGAATCTTGATTGTCGACTGGCCTGGGATCCTTGTCAAACTGAGTTCAACTCTTTATGTGTCTGTCTTTCTTTCTTTCGTACTTGCTCTAGGCGCAAATATAGCAAAGTGTAATCCACATACAAGTGACGCTTTATTATGAGACTCACGCCCTAGCATCAATACACACACCACTAGATAAAACTGTCTTGCAGAGGACTATTACCTATAGATCCGAACTGATTTATGGACAAAATTCTCAGAGTATATGTTATTGCAGCCATTAGACAACACCATGTGACATGCAGCGCTAAAACGTGGAACGCGCTCTTACGTCGGGAGAGGTGGAGACTGCACGGACGAAGAGAGGGCAATCAGACGACTCCTCACGATAAGAGTTTCCATAACGGGATTGATTTTTCATCCGAGCAACATCCGACGAGCTGTTTTCGGGTGGCACTTCGCCACTAGGTACGTCCAATGACAGTGTACCGAAGACATGTGTGGGTTTAGAGAACGTCCTTATCACTGGCTTCTCCTTCATGGCGGGGCCAATCAGTGACATCCTCCTCCGGCAACTGGAGAGAAATCCCTGAAAGCCAGGACGCCGTGTTTGGCATGGGGGAACTTTTTCGGAGTCTTTGCTGGCTTATGTCCTACTGTTTGATGGTCTACAGAGTGGTATGAAAGCAGTCATGTATTTGGACTAGCGTCACAGCATTGCCTCTTCCCCTCCTCTCAGGTGTCTTTATGTCGTGGGCGGGGCATGCATTCTCAGGGAGAAGGGCCCGAGCAACTGCGGGTCTTGTTGGCATGCAAATATCTTTAGGATCTCCCAGTGGCAGTGTATGGTACCGCGTATGCGAAGGGTGTTGGCTGACGGATACAAGAGGCTCTTCCCGTCTTTATTTCGCCATCCATCCCCGTCCTCCGCACCGTCAATCAAGGCATGGGTGCGGCTGTCAACCTCGTTTACAATTGTTTAGTCTAAATTCCCCCACAAGCTGGTACGGGCGCAGGAGTGGGCAGGCGAAGATTTCAAAGTGCTTGGTCCCCGGCAGGCAAGAATAGCTGGTCGAGAGCGATGGTGTGGTTCTCTTGGTAGTTATGCAGCGCTGTTTGACGTCTGGGGATAGGCCCGATTCGATAAGAACGCTTAGTTGATGGAGTCGTTCGGACTGTTGTTCGGACTGTCGATGGCGCGGGTGATAAATTCTCTTGAAGTATTTCTGATGCTCGCGCTTTGTCCTGAATCACATGCATGTCTCCGGATCATGATAACGGAGTCTGAGTGTACTCGGACCTTCGGTCTTCGTGGTGGTGGCGACTGACATGGTAATAATACTACGTATGTCAAATATTTTGCTGTACAACCAGGGGTTTGACAGGCATCAAAAGGGGTCCGTGCATGTTCAATCTCACGATGCCGAGGCGAGTTCCACTCCTTGACCAAGAGAGAAACAAGACCAGGGCTCACAGCAGGTTTTGACAGTTGGGTCAAGGTAGCTTGTTGTTGCAGTAGGGCCGCTGCCTGAACTGTTGGACCAAGCAACGATCCGATTCAACACGTGGACTACTTCCGAAGGCGGTATTGTCTTGGACGCTTTCCCCCTCACACCGAGTATTGCCCTGCATCATCGCCGATGCCGGGAAACGATGAACGATGGCGTTGAGGCAGCAGCTGCTGAAGTTCATTATAAAGGCTTAAGAAGTTATTTCTCTAGTTAGGTTCTGTCCAGTTGACTAACTGTTCTTACTGCTCCGGTCGCAGGCCATATTCGGATGCGTTCCACAAGGGTGAAGATTCATCCGTGACGGGGAATTAGCCGCGTTCTCATGATAATTTCCGCCGTACTGCGCCCACGTGGTATGCGGCTTATTCTCGGTCGACCGAGCCCCTTGTACATGCTGCCTCAAGGTTATGACTAAGAAGATCGGTGAAACTAGTTATGCTGTGCTCGGCCTCTTTTCTCTTTCTTTCTTTTTCTTTTAAATTCCCATTCGTTCTCCACATGGAAAAGCAGCTGCTTAAACCCAGGAAGGAATAGCCACGATAGTGTTCGAAGCGGAAGAGATGTGGCACGACGCATGGCGGTCTTGGCTTGGGGTATTGGCTCATGTCTCCACATAGTATCTAGGCCGCAGCTGCTCGTAGAGTAAATGAACCACCAAAGAAAAAAATACCCTTATGAGTGAAAACAGTGGACAGGTCAGGTTGTTTCTTAATCATACGAAACTGGTCATGGAACCCAGGCTGTGTATCATCAGTGTTTTCCAAACGCAGGAGCTGCCGCGAAATTCAAGTCAGGTCGATTGGCCGTACAAAGCGGAGCAACACGGAAGAATTGCGAAAGATACTCTCCGTATACCGAGGTGCGAGTCCACAGCTGTACATTGTTGGCTTCCCGGCGGAGCTACGGCTGAGATCGAAAGTTAACAATCAAGTTCATCTCCGCATCTGTTGCCCCGTTCACCAGTAGGTATACCTACAAGTTTCCAGATACCTACCATCACACGATGTGTGGATACTACCCACTTCCCGCACGGTGCTCGCCAGACCCCGAGTCGCCGGGGGTTTTTACGAAGAATTCGCAAGTCCACTTCATGGTGGAGTTGTCGATATATTCCTCCCTACCTACCTACTTTGTGCAGAGGCTCCACAAGGATTCAGTCTAGTCGTCTCGTGTTGCGCCTTGCACTGCAAAGATAAGATACTGAGCGGGGTTTGGACAGTAGGTATCAGTAGCACCCCAGTAGCACGTGCGTACCACGTATGGAGGACCTGCAGCTATATCATAGACTGTGTTATATGTGAGAGCTGAAAGTGTGGTTGCAATATTCGTCAGCGGTCGAGTCAGGGTGGTTCGTTCGACTACCTTTCCGGCTAGTGCCGCATCCTTGCGGTTCCAAGACTGGATGAGCGCAAAGACTTATGATCAGGGGTCTGTTTCGACAAGATGGAGAATATGCCCCAAAACGGTTCACACAACGGCGGAAAGTCATCATCGCCTTGAATGATATATCGATCTCGGGACCCGCCCCGAATGACGAACAGAAGGATCAACTCCATTATCCCCCACACAGGGGCACGATGTTTGGGCTTCCTGGCAGGGAGGGTACGGAGACCGACGGCGCACCGACGGACAGGTGGGAGGACAATTCAAAACCATGGTACCCCCCGCCGCGCCAGCGAGGAGCCAAACGGTCGGTGTTTTCCATTAACTTTCTGTCGGCATCGTCATGTACGGGTGAGGCCGCGACGTGAACGGTGGTCGCAATGGTTTTCCAACTCCCTTCGGCTGTCGATGCAGAAGTCATCGCGTCCATCGTTTACTCGATCATATGCCTCCTTTCCAGTTTCTTATTGGTATGGCTTCTTTGGACACACAATGACAGGGCAAGCTGCAAGTTTTACCTCTCCTCTTCGATATCGGATGAAAATGACAACATGGGTTGGCTTCACGATTCATCGGGCTAACACCGGAATTGCTACAGACATCGCCTGCATCGCGTACGCCACGCTCATTATCACCGCCACTAGTATCTGGCAACAATTCTACGACTATATTTGGTGGAGGGAGATCTTGACGGACCAGTTCTACTATGCCAGGCAACACCCCGATAACGCGGCGGTTCAGTACACCAGAGGAACACAGGGGATCAAGCTCGTCTTGGGCTACATTCGTAAGTCAAAGACTTTGCGCTTGCTCGCTGGATACCGTCCTGCGGTCTGCTGGAGATTGTGTTCTCATATCGGATACAGGTATATTCGGATTCACCATTGCATCCAGCTTCGTCTTTTTCTTGTGAGTCACCGCCACTCGGCTTGATGGAACGACTCGGAATCATTACTAAAGCCGTCCAGTGCCCTGTCTCTCGCGGCAAGTGTTTATGGCTGGTTCGCCGCGACGCCGAGGATGACACGTACCCTCTCTATCATCGGCAGGATTCTGCCAGTTGTGCTCACATGCATTACCACCGGCTTGCTGCTTACGCCACTAGCTCAAGACTCGTTTTTTGTTTACATGTTGATCGCCAACATACAATGTCAGTATTGCCGGGAGCCTCAATCGCACATGACGAGCGTGAGCGACTAACAGGAAACAGTCGTTCTCAGCCTGCTCGGTAGCGCCATTTTGCTCCTGATGATCTTGGCCCGATACATCAGCTCACGACGGAACCTTACGAGCTGGAAAGTCATCTACGGCAACAACGGACCGTCGTTGCCCTGTACTAATGACGGAGGGAGCAAGACGCGGTCAATCTGGGCTGGCAGTTCGTCTAGTCGTGCTGCTGCACGGAGCGGAGCCTACAGTGCCTCAGGTCCAGCCAAGGCATATGACAATTGGCTTGTGATCCGGCTATCCATCGCCTTCGTTGTCCTCTGGTAAGTCATCATCGGCCTCCTTCTTCTCGCCGGCAAGAATCTAAAACGTGCGTCTAGTGTTTTTGAGTACACAAATACTGTCCCGCGCTTGAACGCCGCGAGCCACACGATCGACCTAACCAGCGGCTTGCAGCCCGACCTCAGCGTCAAACGCGCGCGAACAAGTATCCGAGGCTATGTCCCCGGCGTCTCGCCAAGCCTGGCAGCTTTCCTGGTGTTTGGAACCACCAAGACGTTCCAGGACAAACTATACAAAACTTTTGTTCCAAAAATATTCCAGAGACAAAACAGAAAGCGAAAGCCGTCCACGTCGCTTGCGACTCCGACCCCCGCGCCCCGGCCACCACCGTCCCGACGAGTCGATCCCTTTGGCGATGAAGTTTCCCTAGATTCCATGAGTCCGAAATCGCCCCCCCCTCCCTTCAATCAAGAAGGCCCCCTCAATTCTAAGCGTCCGAAAACGCCTCAAAACGCCAACTTCAGCCGGAAACTTCCATCTCAGAGTAGCTCGAGCCCGTATAATCCCTACGGCCATCATCCAAGAACGCCTTCGACATCCGAGGCGCTACATTCTCAACCTGTTTTAACATTTCAACCAGCTCAGACTCCTGCATCTCCGGGTAGCCGCAGCTCAAATAATCCCTACGGCCATCATCCAAGAACGCCTTCGAGATCCGAGGCACTACATTCTCAACCAGTTTTACCATTTCAACCTGCTCAGACTCCTGCATCTCCGGGTAGCCGCAGCTCATATCATTCCCACAATCATTCAAGAACGCCTTCGAGATCCGAGGCACTGCATTCGCAACCCGTTCAAGCATTTCAGCCAGTTCAAACAGCTCAACCGGTTCAGACTCCTGCACCAGCGGGCCACACAAACCCAGATTTGACCCGGCCGACGACTCGAGCAATGAGCCCAATAATAATTCCGAACTTGCATTCAAAGTTTTCGGCCCGAGGAAAATACGACCCAGAGAAAATGCTATCGTCACATCCGATTTAAGTCATAAGGTCACGGGTTAGATGTCATCAACCACGGAGTTTTAGGCGTTCAGAGAGGAACATGCCAGATACCATGTTTGCTTTACACTGGGATGTGCCGGCGCATATACCGTCTGATGATGAGTTTCTTTTACGTTCAACCACCCTGTCATTATTATGTCCCTGTGTAGAAAATAATAAATCTGCGACGTCTCGTCCTCGACGAGACACACGCATCAGCGAGCCAATTGGGCACCTATTTTCCTTTAGAAGTACCTCACATGTTCAGTTCAATATGTCGTGGAGCAGTCGCTGATATACTGCTCAGCGTGCATGTACAAATTGAGTGCGTTCGCTTTCATCAGGCGTTTCGCTGTGCCTTGTTACCCGTGGGCCGCGACGTTGATATCCCTGCCCTGTCTCCTCCAACGGACTCAAGCAAGACCTTGCCATTAAGTCGTAAGGTAACGACCTTAGTGACGGGGGATGTTACATTTATTATACCTTTGCTTTCAATCAATATAGTTTTGTCGGTGAACGAGGTCGCAGGAAATTCTGCAACAGTGTATGCCGCGGTTCTCGGAGCAGATTACGACGTAGCTTAGTACCTTGTCCCAATAGTGCATGAAGGTGCGGGCCAACATTCCATCGAAGAGTGTTACAGACCACACCGCGAAGCGGGAAAATGCATCAAAGGGGCGGCAGAGCTACTAAAGCATGGACCTGAGCTCCACAGATAGACCAAAATAGGACCTGGACCAATCACCTGATAATCGAGGTACGCATATTGCCGAATGCTACCGAGCTTCTCCTTGGCTCTCAGCTTTGATGGATTCTAGAAACCTTTGATCACGTATTGAAACGAGCGCGCAATTAAATCCTCCGTCTTGGCGCTTTCGGTGTCTCACATCTTGCTCTTCGTCTTCAGACGGCACTCCGTGGTGCCCGAAAAACGAATCCTTCCAGCAGCAGTAACACGGCATAGGCGGCTAGCTGTGGCTTGGAAGCCAGCAACGTCTTGAGTCAGAACACTTTGAGTCTCGACGTTCAGGGTAACCCGGCAACTTGCAGATCCCAGTCGTCCGCTACCTACATCCGGGCCCCAGCAGTGAAAAAGTTTGGTTCGCCGATTGGGTTTGATTAACTTCGTGGGTTGCCGGTAAAATGGGTTACGGGTAGAATGCCAGTGCAATTTGGTCGGCGGCCAGTGTCTAACCCAATCTGGAAGCACTGCCACAAAGAAGCTAGCAATACTATATTCCGTCACCCTAACTCTAACTAACCCAGACCCTAACCACTAACCCTATGTATCTTCTATCTACGTATCTATAGAAGATATATAGGGTTAGTAGTTAAGGTAGTTAGGGTCTAGGTTAGTTAGAGTTAAGGTCATAGAATATAATTATTATATCTGTGTTAGGGAAATGTGGCGGTGGTGGTGGTGTTTCTAGATTAGGTTAGACTCTGTCCGCCGACCAAGTTGCACTAGCAGTCTACCTGAAACCGTAAAATGCCAGTGTGCTTTTAGTAGTCTGCTAGTGATCTAAGCCTATTTTAGAAGGTACTGCCACCACTACTATATAAAATAATTATATTTTATCTCCCTAACTCTAGGTGACCTAGACCCTAACCTAGATCCTAACTACTAACCCTATGTATCTCCAATAGCTACATAGGCTTTTAAAGATATGTAGGGTTAGTGGTTAGGGTCTTAGTTAGGGTCTGGGTTACCTAGAGTTAGGGTGATAGAATATAGTATGTCTAGCTCCTATGTGGTAATCCTTCTAGATCGGGGTAGACACTGGCCGCCGACCAAAAGTGCACTAGCATTTTCATGGCAACCACTTCGTGTACTGTTTATTTGGGGGACCTAGCTGATCATGGTTGCTTTCGTCCCATGTTGTTAAATGTTGATATTGTGGGTAATACTCGTCATTATATCTGTACTTTTCAATGGATTCATTTAGACGCTGCACCCCTGTTTTACTAATGTTCAAAATAACGGATGATTTATTAGACAACAGTTGACAGCTATATCTGTACAGATGTCTAGTTTCGACAACCCCAGGGCAGAGCTTAAAGACCTGACATCACGGTAGATTTCTATTCTGCCGGCTTCCTTTCCCTTGCCTAGGGACTTGCTACAGAATTACTCATCCCTTCCATGACACAGAGATATTAGTTGGCTTTGCCTAGTGATAGTATGGTAGCCGTGCTTGCGAAGGAAAACTCGAACTGATACACCCGAACCTATGTTGAGTCTGGTGAAGAAAGTATAGAGAGGTTTAATCCGTTCAGGTTCAAGAAACCCGCTCAAGGGAAAGGGAATGCCAGCAGATAAAGGCAATTGGAAGCAGTGCACCAAAGAAATTGGTTAGGAGAAAAGAGGATAGAGTAAATCGGGAGAGGGGAGCGTGCTTTCACATTATGTCTCCCCTAGACATCTGAGGTAGTGTTTCAGAACCTCGGCGACAAGGCGGATACGTGTGAGAGCTGTCAGAGAATGGAACGGAACAGACAGAGAAGGCAAAAGAGACAGAGAGGATGAACCTCGACCAGTCTCTTCAGCAAGATATTGGAGAATAGGTGATGGAGGTTTATGAGGGTGAAACAAAGGTTATGAACAAGCCTGACAAGACAGATATAAGTGAAGGCAACCTGCAGACAAAGAATGCCACATCATTGACCCTAAACTGTATCCAGTTAAGCTTCAGGGGCACATGGCGTATGTAGCTTTATCAATGAGATGCCAACTGTCAACTGCCAACTGTCAGCAGCCAATCTTCAATCTGTTGGTTTTATAGTAAGAAAGGTAGGGATATCTTAATAGTCAGAATAGTAGTAAAAGTAGGTGTTGTTATTATTGTTGTTATAAGCTAGAATGTACAGAGTAGGCACTAAGTGTAGCAGCACAGGTAAGGTAGGTACTGGCGAGGTAGGCGGTGTGTCACGTGACCTATCTCTTTGGACCGTACCCTATCACGAGAGGCTTATCTTGATGTGGCGCATAGATTCCGCCACGCCATGTGCCATGTCACCTGACCAAGCTGAAGGATCGCTTCTATATAGGCCCTCTGCCTATAGGAATCCTCTTTCTACAAGACAAGGTTTTTCTTATAGCCCTACTTTACTAGTAATTTTACTAACTATATAGCTAGGATTAGCCTAGGATTGCCTAAGCACAGAATAGAAGGATTTTTCTTATTCCTTAAGAATTTTACTATAGTTATAGATATAGTAATATAATTAATTAAGTATTATAATCTTTACTGTTTAATATTTAATAACTAGTTTAATATATATATTTATTATAACTAATATACTTACCTACTAAGTAAATATTATTATAATAATTAGTAAAAATAATAATTATAAGGTCGCTATTTATAATTAAATAGTAATTAGTTTATATAGCTTAATATTATAAAAGTAAAAATAAAGTACTAGAACTTTTAGGAATATATAAGTTTTAAAGTTATAATAGTAAACTAATTAAGTCTATATATATATCTAAGGAAACTAGGTAAGCTACTAGTAGTATAATGTTAATATATATTAATTATAAAGAACTGTACTACCTACTTACAAATTACTATTACTATAGTAACTACTAGGATATTACACTAAGTAACTATGTAGCTATACTTAATAAACTTATAAATAGATATAAATATATAATAATACTAAGTAATCTTAACTAAAATAACCTTATATACTTTAATAGTCTTATAAGCTACTATTATAAAGAAATATATAAGTATACTACTTATTAAAAGAATATTAAAGCTATAACTAGTGTAGTTAATATTATAGTTAGTTTCTAGACAGTAAGGTTTCTACTAATAGTAAGTAGAGGTTAATACTTAGTTAACAGTGTTTGTTGTTCTTACTAGTCTTATTAATTACGCGGTAATTAGTTAGGTAGTCAAAGGCGTCTTAGTGCTTATATAGCTTCTTATTAATTAAATCACTAAGGTTAGATACTAAAAGGTATTTAAAGAATATATTATAAGTTAATTACTAAAGAGCTATAGAAGTCTGTCCTTAAGTGCGTCTAAGTCTATCCTATATATAAGTCCTAGCCGTTCCCTAAGTTACCTGTTATCTAATTATTATAAGGTAGAATAAGCGTCTTCCTAGGCGTTTACTAAGCGCTTATCCTATATATAAATAAGCGCTTATTCTTTATCTTATCTTATGCTTATAGTTATATAACTTATACTATAGTTCTTTTATTTTAAGGAGTTATCTATTTATCCTTATTTTACTTATCTATATAAATACTTACTATCTACTTATTAGGTAAGGTAATATAGCCTATAACTTATTAGGTTATAATATTAGGTCTCCCCTCTAAAGGTCTTACCCTTAAGACCTATATAAGTAGGTTATTATTACAGGCTAGAGCTATAGTATATATAGTAGGGCTTTGCCTATTATAACGCACTATAACGCACGCACCTATAACTAGTCTGCGCTTACTTAGCGTACCTACTTAAATACTATATATATAAAGGCATACTATAGAATAACCCCTTCTCTCCTTAGCTTAGATTAATTATATTAAGTTACTCTACACCTATTAAAAGGTAGTACTAGCCTTTTATATATCTAAGCTTATAATAAATAAATTAGATAATATAATATCTATAGTGCTTATATAATAACTTTATAATAAGAATATAAAGTTAAGAAATAGTATAAGGTCCTTTTACACTATAATAGAAGAAATATACTATAAGGCAGTAAGCGTATATAACATGCCTATCCCTAATAATAATATAGGCACTAAAGTAACAGCTAGTAGCGCTACTATAGGCCTAACTACACTTACTACGCCTGTTACTACGCTACTACACTAAAAGCTATTACTACTACCCCTAAAGTTTTCTAGGCTATACTATAACTTTCTGCTATAGTAGTAATAGATATATAATAAGGTAGAGATTAATTATAACTTCTTTACTAGTAAGTATAAAGTATAGTATCTTATTAACGTTTACTTAAAGATTAGCCCCTAGT